ATTTCTTGATATTAGCCCTCAACCCAAATATTGATTAATTAATTCTGTTTCCCTGATTTTGACTCCTTGCCTAAATATTTTTATTTGATCTTATGTTGACATTAGTCACCATTTCAAAAAGGCTGATGATGACATGGAGTGTATTGATTCCGCCATCATTACGCCAGCAGGTGTAATGGATTGATTCAATTGAAGACCAATCGATGTTGTCATTTTAACTTTTTCTTTATTCACTCAATACCGTGCCTTCCAACTAGCAGTCAATATTATTATTAATCAATTAACTCAATCTTGTTGATAGTAGGTTGAAAATATCTGATACCATCTTTATCCTTTATTCTATTATCACCGAGACATCTTATCAGCATCATGAACAATGCTATCTATTCTTATCATTTGTCTTATCTAATTTCGACATCACATGATCCAACGATCATAGATAAAATTGATTCAGATTGCGGTTAAACTAGAGTATACAGTATGTTCAAATAAGGCCGATAGACAAGTAAATAGACTGCAAACCATACTGTATAGAGTTAATAATAATCAACTGATATTGAACAACCCAATCGATTTTTATTAAAATGGATAGGCTGATAAGCATCGGCATGAGCTGTGGGCCATCGTTAGTGACTGCTGAAAAAATAATTTTGTTACTTTCTCTTTCTTCTTTCAAAGAAGAACAGACATGGTACTGTACAATCGAAAGTGATCCAGAATATCCATTTCATGGCTTGAGATAAAAAATACGTATTTACTTATTAATCTGTATCACCTATACTGTAATTATCCAAATCATTGAAATGCTCCTTTGGCTATTCTTGGAATCTCCGGCACGGCAATCCTCTTTGCATTATTAAATAGGCATTGGCCACGCACTACGTTAGTCGATAATTATAATAATAGGTAATAACACATTGCTGGTCAATTGTGGAGCAATTTGCTATCAAAAAAATTATCAAAACATCGCATAGTAACGTCGTCGATTCTAGACTGCGTTAAGGCTAAGGTTGAGATTTATTGAGTGTCATAGGCATGCCAAGAAATTCCTGGCCTATTGTGCTCTTGGGCAAGATTTAAGCTAGGCTACTACTGTAGAATACAATCGATTTTCATTGCTTCTCGTATAATTAATAACAAGCATCTGTGGAAAAAATTTTAGGGGTATAAATAACGAAAAATAAGAAATTGATCAGATACTTAAAAATTAACCATTTAAAATCCATATCTATCCGTGATCGTTCTTTCAGCGATTGCCAAGGCTGCTCCACCTGTCCTGAAACCCATGGCTAGAAATATTTCATGACATATTTCTAGAATCTCCCATCATAGTTATAATAGTATTTCAATACTTTCATTAAATATACATGTATGCTCTCTTACAAGGTCATGTCTTGTATAAGGAAATTATTATGTTAATAAGAAACAGCTTTACTTGTCGATCATGATTGAAATGAAATTTCTTAATCTATTCACTGATCATATCATATAAGTGACTTGGCACCATTCAATCACGGCATCACAATGACATCATCTGTTTTAGAGCTCAAAACAAGGAAGTAGTAAAGTTGCTTTCCATCGTAATAATCAAAAATTATCTTGAGCATCCATCGACTACTTAGAATAATACCTATTCGCTAATAGAACATGATTAAATCATGGCGTCATAATATCATCATCCATTTAGAGCTTAAATCAGGGAAGTAAAATTAAGTTCCAAGGTTATAAACAAGGATAATCATGAACGTATTTATTAATTGGAATAAAAGCTATTCAATGTCGATACTAACAATGGTTGTCCTACTTATAATTGCAAGAATACTCGGAAACTGCTTTTAAACATTCTTGGAATCGCCATCCCAGTCATGACACTTTTAAATATTAAAGATGCATTCTCCGTCGCTCAGATTATACATTGCATTCATCCTTTGCTAACACAAAATATATTATTTGTTAATCTTGGTTAAGTTATGGAATGGCAACATGATGAGATAGAAAGAATATTTTTAATGTTATAATGACATACGGAATAGACTATCCGCCCACTAGAATGGTAATGGAATACTGTACTAGAGTGAGTGCTTAAAATTTTATCCTAATATCGATCCTTTAGAGTTGCGATGCATCATTGTGATCAGTAGTTGCCTACCTCGATAAATTATCAGGAAAAATGCTTCTAATTGTATGATAATACATTATATTACCTATCTATTAAAGTCGCAATTTAATATTATGCTTAGATTTTTTATTGCTAGTTTAATCGCCAGAAGGAATACTTTTGGTGCGGTGATAGTACTGTATTTTATAGTATCTATCCATCGAGCCGCAATGCATGACCATCGATAATCTATAATTAATTACTCTTTGACCTATTCCGAGAACTCCTGTTCTAGTAATGGTACTTTTAATTATTTAATGTATTTCTTCTACGTGGTGAGAATGATCGTGTATTATCCTAATAGATGAATAGCAAAATGATATTCCATGCAGTCCACGATCAAACCATGCTATCGTCATGAAATCAATTTTCATTCCTTTGAACGAGTTATAAACCTCATACGCATGAATGAATAATTTTAAGGCTTAGATAATTACTAGCAAGAAATGTTTTCAACTATGAAATTTAAAAGTGATAAAATGATGTCAGTTTATCACTGGCTACAGTAATAATAAAATATTATCCGCATGCTAACCCTGCAATTTGAAACGTTAGAATTCTGATCTGAGCTATAACGACTGTTATATACCATGCAAGACTATGAAAGACATTTTGCTGATCGATTATATTATAATTAAACCATAGCGTAGCAATGCAATAGGATAGCTATTGGCTACTTGTCAAGAAAATATTACGAAACAATTCTTGAAGGGTCATGATAATATAGCGTTCATATACTCGTGCTATCCGATATTGCTAGAGACGCAATCTTATTTAAGAGGATGAAAGGTTATCCCATTCCGAATTAGTAAGATAATCTAAAATACTTCTTGGTCTGAAACTAGAATTTCTATCCTAGTTATAAAAGACAGTTTCAACGGCATTTTTAGATAGTATAGTCAGTTATGCATAATACTAATTAAAATGGCAGTTGCATTCCTAATGATGCAGGTAATTTGAAACGTTTCATCTCCTATTCTTGGAATTTCTATCCAAGTAATAACGATATGAAATACTTTCTTTATTACATACCTAATTTTGTCCATGATGCGCCACAGTAATGAGCTCGAAACAAGGACAGATTACCTAAAAGTTCATAATCAACCTATTATGCCACTATTCAATCATCTTCCACTGAATTTAACATCATTTAATAATGATTAGTCTTTGCTTGATTAGTGCACGTAAATAAGAGTAATAATAGCCTAAAATAAAACTTGTTCAATCTTTATTAACGCTAGTCTGCTCTTATCGATGGTGTGTGGGCAATGCAAATGCTCCATAAACTCTTTCTGGATTCCAATCATAGCTATACAGTTTTAAATGGATACTCCCTCATGCGGTATTATATATCGCGTTAATAGATAGTAAACAGGAGTCATATTGGCACTAGCCCTTCATAGAGCTAAGTATTTGTGACAGAATTGATTTTCACTTTACTTGACAGTAGAATGAGGCATTTAAAGCCCAACGTATGCCTGTGATAGAATGCTTTTCAGTTTACCGTAAATTCGATATCTACCTGTAGACTAAAGTAAGCATCCCGTCGTTCACCAATCTTGAATGGCAATAGGCAATAGCCAAATAAAACCAACTTAGTTCGCTAGTAGCCTATTACTAAAGCTATGATACGGCAATGGAAGCCAATTTATACAGTATGACGATGGTCATGATATTTATTACGTAGAAATGAATTTCCCGCCAATGCCAATAGCGTCTCTATTAAGTAAACGAATTATCAATCATTCACTATAAACCATAAAACCCTTCCCTATACTTAATCAGCTATTTCTTTGCGTAGCATTAGCTCAGAAAGTACAGGAAATAAGAAAATTTTCTCAATTTGGTTTACTGTGATGGACAATAAATTCATATAGGAAGTCATTTATTAAACGTATGGTATTCCAATGCTGTAAATATAATAGACCGTATTGGAATACCGTACGTTAATATAGCGTAATAGCAAACTGGATATGAATAGTCATCGCTCTTACAATTTTCTACTAATTGACGTATCATACAATACTGTAGTAGGCAAGAATCACAACACACCTACAGTACCTCCAAGCTACACGAAATTTTCCAAAAGGATAATCCGCATGACTATAGCAAATTTTATTACAGTACGGTAACTTTTTACTATACAATGTAGTAAAAGCCTTAGACCAAACTGAAGAGCAGATCAAACTTTTTATTTAAATACAAATTTATGCGCACAAGGGCACAATAAAACATGCTGTAAAACTTTCTACGTTTACTAAGTTTAATATAGTAAATTTTGACGCTAACGTTGCCGATATCAAATAACCAATAATTAAACTTATGCAACCGTTTCTACTAATTCTATTTTGCCTACTGTATTGATGAAATAATGTACCCGAATAGCGAGATAGACTCTAAATTTACTTGGATAAAATCATGATATCATAGATTGAATAACTATAGGCATAAAATGTTGGAAAGAAACTATGTTAGAAGTGATATGGCAATTTCATAAACAACTGTATATAAATAGAGTTTGAAAAAAATTTGAAAACTGCTGCAGCTAAATTACAGTTGAAGTTAATTTATAAACAAGATATTTAAAGCTCATTTTTTTGTACAAGCGATATTTAGACAACTGGTACAAGTACTATTAATAAAGTAATCATCTATTAAACTTTTCAGATAAGGGTAAAACATTACTAGCCCCTTTACCTACATTACTGTTTACATTACAAGCGAGTACGTGTATAATGTACGAGTATGTCAGTAAAACAGAATGTTAACGATCTATATTTTACAAGATTGACTCGTACGTAAACCATGTCTTTGCACGAGCATAGAGCCAGAAATGCTACCATTACGTTTTTCTACGTTTACTGGCTCTACTTGGAGGAGTGGCAATTGCTGCTTTAGCAGTCGATCGACTACGTTTCTTACCAGCAACTACGGGCAACATGTCTTTTGGCCATAATATATTATTGTCCGTATCCAATGCTTGCCGCAATACACCACTTAAGAGTAACTCAGCACTGTGTACAGTCATACAATTTTTAACAGCATCGAAGCAAACGTCTTCGTCTTCATCACAGCTTATAATTAACACATTATTGTTAGGATTAGTTGGCATTTTACTTAAGTAGTGACCACCAGCACATTCTACAATCATTTTCATTTGTTCCGGCGGTGGGCGTACATTCGGTGTCACATACACTTCATAATTTTCAAGTAATGGTTTTTCTTTCGCATTATCATGAGCTTGCCTGATTAGAAAGTTATTCTGCCTTTCTGCAACACGATCTTTGATGAAATAAGCAGCTGATGGTACAAATGTTTTGGCAGATTTACAGGCATCAAGCCACTTCGTATTGACGATAGGAATGCCTCTCGATAGGCCACATAAAAATTTAACGGTCCTTCGAATTTTGTCTGTCACTAAATGTGTACATTCCTGGATATTATCAACTACTTGACCTCCTAAAGATTTAATTGTCTATAAAATAAAACAATACAAATTAGTTCTTATACATGTGTAAGCTACATAAATTGAAAGTTATAGTCCACGCAGCCTGACGCAGGGCAAGAAACTAAAACTTACTTTTTCACCATCTTCATCAATGAAACCTGTAAACATAACTTTAACCGTCGGATTTTTGCATTCTGATTCAACACTAGATGCATAAATGGTAGACGAGCTATCTTTACCAGAAGATTCAAACGGCTGTTTTCTAGATCTTCCTCTTGTGCTACTGACACTTTGAGATTTATCTTTGATATTAGAAGGTGCTGATTTTTGCCTTTTATTTCCATTTCTCCTACTTGGACTTTTTACTTCCAAAGTATCCACAGTGTCGCTACTTTTCTCGGTAGTGCAACTTTCTAGTGCAATATTTGGCGATTCTTCGTCTACGGTTGCATAATTTAAATTGTCGTCGGTTTCAGATGGGGATAACTCAGTAGTCTCTTTTTGGTCATGTGATATTTTTCTTTTGATGCCAGATTTTGTAGATTCTTCTTGCTGCCGAATTGAATCAACTATCGACAATTTCTCTTCACTATCCTTAGCAGATACATCTTTATTATCAGAAAGCTTACTTGCGATCTTGCCATCTTTATTTTGATCCTCTTGAGCTACTGGAGCTGTGGAGAATAACGGACTGGAAAAGCCTTGATTATCGTCTATATCAGTAGCATCAGAGTCGTCATTTGCATCTGCAACCTCTTCAGTAATTTGCTGTTTAACAGGTCGTAAATCCAAGGTCGATGGCAATTTCTCTACAGAGGGTACACTATCGAATAAACTCTTATCAGATTGGATACTAGTTTTTACTTCATCATCTGAACTGTATGCAACAGTGGTTGCCATTGGTAGATCGACATGTTTGTCTTTTTCTTTCTGACAAACGATCGATTCATTAAACTCATCTTCTGATTCCGTATCTGCTTCATATGGATCTTGTGCTCTAGCTTTATTATCAGACGAAGCACTAGCAGCTGTGTTTGAATTAGCATTTCCTAGGAAAAGATTGGTGCAAGAAAAAAGAAATCAGAATCAGTTAGAACCAACCTTTTGTCAATTTAATGATAGCGTTGTGTTTTAAAACTAACCATCATCTACATAGGAAATAGTTTGATCTTGGTCCTTATCATCTAAATTTAATTTGTATGCTATAGTTGCATCATCATTGTTGGCAATCGTTTTTTCACTTTTATCGTCTTTATCAGCATCAGTAGAGATGTCATATGCTAGCGTTTCTTCGTAAAAACTGCTCTCTTTTCCCTTGCTAGCTATTTCATTATTATCAACCTCTATTTCATAGCAAAGCGTTTCTTGATAATCACTCGCTCGTTTTGTATCTTTATGGCTAATTTCATCATCAGTTGGTGTAGACTGCTTAGCATCATCATCAATGTTATATGGAATCGTTTCTTGATTGTAGCTATCCTGCACTTTAGAAGTACTACTATTTTGAATATTCTCGGCATTCACGATTTTGGAGTAATCATTCTTTTCTTCCGCATCATCATTACTTGTATCATCACATGGCAATGTTGCCTCATTTGAAATAGTTGCGCTATGATTTATATCTTTTCTGAACTGCGAGCTCTTACTTTCATCCGTATAAACTAGAGTCTGTTGATCGTCAGTATCCTTGTCTGCAACAGATGACCGACGTTGTTTGTTGTTAGGCTGGCTTTCTTGGCTACTTCCACTGCCAGAAGTTTCAGCTGAGTAAGCTTCAACTGCTTCCAAATTAAACGTGACCGTTTTCTTGGAATTTATTTCTTGCTGAATTTTACTGTCATCGTGCTTTCGTGGTATAGCTGGTGATACTGTTTCAACTTTTTTTAATAACAGTTCATTACTGCTGTTAGAATCAGGTAAGTCATCTCCGTTGGAATCTACAAAATATACAATCGATTCGAGTCCGGTGATTAATATAAAAGGCGTCTACGCTAACAAATTTGCATTAATCTGCAAAGGTAAAAAGCATAGCACAATGTTTAATGCTAGGATTTATTTACTTCACAGTGACATGTAAACAAGACATAATTCTATATTCACGATACACTTTATAGAAATGTGCAATCACAATTAGCAAGTTTGATTTTATTGTACTCATAGTCCTGTCATAATCAATTTATTAAGACCTGATTGTTTCTCACGATCGGGCTTTTCTTTTACATCATCGTCCATGTTTTCTGCCTACAAGGAGCACAAAATGCAAAAACGTACGTACGAGAGTAATCACTGATTTTATCCTACATGTAAAGATTTTTGCAATGTACTATTAACAAGAGCAATAATAAATTAATTACCAACGTGTGTCAAAATGATAGGTATGAGTATCTCTTACTTGTAAGTTAAGCATTAATTCTGATTCTGATGGAGTATCACTGCCATCGTCTTCTTCGTTATCATCTTGCTCTATCGTACGAATGTAACAAAGTCTAAGTGATGTCAACGTGTTTTTAAATGGCCTCAAAGAGTAATGTATTTGAAAGAAGATTCTTCTAATCACATCTTATATTTACTAACTAACATGAAATAACAGCGAGTTCAACATGACATCATACCTAAATTTTTCAAGTACTGACAGCGAACATCGCCAAAAATGAGCATATCGCAGTGGTTTAACTCGTAACGAACATGCGGCTGAAGTTGTAGCTTTCCACGACGTGATTTGTTCTTGCTATCGCAATCATACAATAGGTGCATGTCGCCAGCAATTTCGATGCATGCATGGCGTTTGGAGAGTGGTTTTACCGGAACATGCACGGTACTTTTTTTGTCGCGTCCAATATAATTTTTACCTCGGCGAATAGGAAAGATTGCTTCTTGAAATTCCTCACGCCACCGAAAGACTTTCAAGTATCCAACCTGTAAAGCATATGATGACATGGTTAACAGTGACTACCCTACTGCATATGCATAAGTTATAAATCAGCAAGCAAGTTGTAGCCAGAAAGCCATCATGCGCATGGTAAGATTCAGATTAATTATTACCCTCGTTTGATTGCACTGCACAGCCTACTCTGTATCGAACTAGATTACATTACGTCCATCTACAGTCGATGCTAAAGTCACTATTCTTGCAACTTTATACAGTAAATAACTCAGGACCAGGCTCTTGGTGCAGATTCGAGCTACTAAAAAGGTGCAATGGTGATAAATTGCGCAGGGCCACTTCAGGCCGCCATTAGCATCGTGAGCCATGAGAAATGGAGGATAAGAATCGTGGCCAAGAGTAATTCGGTTTTGTGTAGCTGTTAGCGTTGTCCAACCATGAGAAATGGATATTTTGAATCATGGCCAAAGTAGTTGGATACATTATCATTATAAAGTCATCATTTTTTGATCACTTAATTAAATGATTCATAATTATAAGCACTGCTAAATTAAGGCTATAGGCGCAGATTCGAGCTACTAAAAAGGTGAAATTGTGACGAGATGCTGCAGATCCGGTACAGCTATATTGTATACTGTATACATCTCCAGAGGTCATTTTTGGCAGTTCATCAATGATTCATCCTAAGGCTCTACAGTAGGCTACTAAAATGGTGAAATAGTGATGAAATACTTGTCGGTAAAGTCCTGCAATTTACGCCAAGGGATAATAACAATCATGGTCCAGAGAAGTTTGCTACATTCTCAACTAGATCATTAACGTGCAGAGATCAAGTCCAATAGACACAGTAAGAATATATTAAAGTCTAAGTCATGATTTATTTTCCACCTGGGTGCAGATTAGAGCTACTAACTGTATTGGGTGAAATGGTGATGAAGTACTGGCAAAGAGTATGATAGGTAGTGTCCAGATATTTATGCGATCTGCCAAGCTAGCATGTCAAGTCTAACGAGTATTTCTTGATGATTTTCTCATCCATGATATCGTGGTTGTGGTTTTCGATCGGTAGATGTATTGATTCTACTGACTATATATTCTACGAGCGTGATCTTAAGCTCCATTACGTCATAATACGATGAACAATAACGGTGAAAAAGCCATGATGATTTTACAAGAATGCAATTAAAACCTTGCAGCCCGTTCATGCGTAGGCATACCTAAAGATACTTACCGGAGTGGATGCATCCTGTGCACTCTTGACGACATCTTCTTCTTGTTGAAAGACGTCCAAGTCCAGTGGTATCGTAAAATCATCCATTGCTTTAATTGGCTTGCAACGATAACGTGTTACAATGGCAACGTGATCGCCTTTTCGAGGCTTAACAGAAAACTGGATGTAGACTGCACAAGTTGATCAAGGCGGTAGCCAATGGATGCCCTGGCAATGATCCAATTTGCTTTGACTGCTATTATTCTCAAACAGAGGATGCAAATACTCGCTTGCACAATTGGATCAGTAGAATAACGTTAATGAAACTCTGGCACTTTCATCAATGACCAATCACAACTGATAGAAGGAAAGAAATTTCTTCTTGTTAGACCATCCTAGTTCTACAAGGCTGAAAAAGGTCGTGGAGAAGAGGAATTTGGATCATCCTTCTCTTGCTTGGCACTCTATCAGGCTGAGCAAGGAGTTGCGCCAAAAGCAAACATGTACGAGCAGGTACGCTACAGTACTGTCCACTGTACTGTGCAGAATAAGCTGTCATCCCTAGGGTGATTTCTGTCTTATTGATCGTGTGATACGCGTTGAAAACCGATGACACGTTATTGACCAGCTGGAGGACGTACGGTACAGTACTGTACACTGTACTGTGCAGAATAAGCTGTCATCCCTAGAGTAATTTCTGTCTTACTGATCGTGTGATACGCGTTGAAAACCGATGACACGTTATTGACCAGCTCGAGTACAGTGTAAAAGCAGATTGTACTGTAAAAATGTAGAGTACTGTACTGTACGTTGGATTGATAAAAAGCAGAATACCGTCTTGACACCTACAGTACTGTACTGTACAGTATACAGTAATATAGATCCTGGAGTCGCACACAGCACAGTATGCTGTGGAAATCATACAGTACTGTACACTGTGCAGTAATATACTGTACAGTGTACAGTGTACAGTACAGCATAGTACTCTACTAATCTGTACTGTAGCCCGAATTTCGACTACCGTGACAATAGTTTTGCTTAAGCTGTTGCTCAATATTCACAGGCGTACATGATATTCTATTGTCTAGTGTCTACTCAACGACTCATAAACTGGTAGATTAAGTACTATAGCGTACAGTACATTGTCTTTGTTGATGGCCCGATGAATGCGAGTCATGGCTGAAATCCACTGCGGATGGCTTTCAAAATCATATCGTGCCTACAGTACGGAATCATGATCGCATTCTGTGAAACTGTGTGTAAAATAAATGTCGTAGAAAGCTGATATACTATACTGTAATTTACGACATATGTTTTCCACGAGCCTATACCGTACTATACTGTACTGTACAGTGTACAGTACTGTGATTTGGTGCATCGGTTTGCACTCTGGAGTCTCCATACTAGACAGACTGATAGATGGACCCTAAAATCGTTAGCCTACAGTAGACCTACTGAAACAACTGCACAGCTACCTAGTAATGATAGCAATGGCAGCTAAGGCTTTCAAAATCATGTCGTGCCTATAGTAAGGGAACCATGATCGCATTGTGTGAAACTGTGTGTAAAATCAATGTCGTAGAAAGCTGATACACTATAGTGTAATTGACACCTTCATTTGCGACATCTGTTTTCCACGGATCGATACGGTACTGTACTATACTGCGATTTCGTGACTGTGTCACGTCTTGCTAGTGGACAGACTGACATATGGACCCCACAATCGTTAGACTATAGTAAACCTAGTGAAACAACGGCATACTGGAAGTAGGCGCGTCTCCATACTGGACATACTGACGAACGGACAGGAGGAAGATTGGCTTAAAGTAGACCTACTGAAACATTAGTGCAGCTCGCTAGCAACGGTATACCGAAAAGACAAGCTCAAGACCAAGTGGACGCAAGCCAATCCATGCAGCCAATTCAAATTGACAGTTATTCTTCTCGCCAAGCTGAGGATAAAAACACTTTCTCGATCTTGGCCTTGATTGCAATGATGGAAAATCATCCAATCAACTAATGTACAGTTGTTATCCATCATGTCCTTAGCGGAGAGACGATTGAACGATCTTGTAGGTGGTAGAAAAGCCAAGAAATTGGTCTCCGTTAATTGAATTATTGATCGATCGAAAACAATTTAGTGGCATCGTCCTCAACATCGTTGCTGACAAGTACAACGCTAAAGCAATTTGAAATTATTGATTTCATCGACATTCGTTTCCATTTCTTCTATAATCGATACACAGGTAGTTTCCAATGTAACATAATTATCATGGAAGATTCAAGTATCCATGCTGATGGCTTTGATGCCAATCATTACGATGATGATGATCAAGTACGAAGTTTACAAGAAAGAGTCAAGCAATTAGAATTGCAAAATAAGATCTTACAACAACAAAATCAATTGGATGAAGAACACAATAAATTCAATTTAAACGATGTTCCATTAATCGATTTGAAACAGCCAACCATCCATGATGATAACGAAGACAGTTGGTGAGGATAACTTATAAATAGTGAATATATCAACATTCACTTTCATCCATCATACAGTGCATCACTTGGAAGCGATCATATGTTGACCTAAAAGTGAATCACCATCTTGAGCTGATTGTGTTGATACTCTTTCGTCATATGTTAGGAGATAGCTAATTTTCTCAATAGGATCTTCCAGTAAATCGTCAATTTTACTCCATTGACGATCTATACTTGTACATAGATTGAAATCATTCAAAATCGCAATCGAGTTGACTTTCTATGCATACGGCATTAGACGGTATTCGACGTACTTAAATTTGAAATGTAATGGAAACGACTGCAGCTTGTCAATGTTCGTATACTTTACTAGAACTGATTTAAGGTGTGCTTGAATTGTTTTAGTTGTTGATCCTCTTCCCTTCCCATCTCCCTACAAATTGTTTCAGCATACTGTAGACACAGTGTTTATTTAGATGACTACGCTGAATGGCTATTCTCAATCTTTGATATGACAGTATAAAAGTCTTATGAGTAACTTAATAATAATTATCATTTGATGATCAATCATGGCGCCGTCCAGTCTGCTACAATGACTACAGTAAACTACACTTTCCATTAAACCACGACACCTAGATGATCCCCGTTCAAGTCCGTCGTAATCCCGATTTTATCCCTTACATGGACATTTTCTCTATGTGCCTTAATCTTAATTATGTTGAGGAGTCATGCCCTGCCAACTGCCACTATTAAAACAGCAGCAGCTTAAAAATATTTACACTTGGCGCTATCCTACCGTGCTAGTCTGCAAATCATCATGCTGATGATAGGATGGATGTTCGAATTATACAGTAATTGAAGATTAAGGAGGAAATGCATGATACACGTGAAATGGTAGGCATAGCTATCCCATGCTAGCCAAAATGATTAGACAATACATTATCCTAAATTGAATTAATGAGTCATTCTATCCACTAAACAATCAATCAATGATGCATTTGTATTAAAGTCTTCTCGTCTTTTGACCGCTTATATTGGATTGTTTTAGCTTAATCTTCCTTCAAGTGCTCCAATAACAAACTCAATTATAATTAACGACATTGATTGCGTATGTGTCTGCGATATTACCATCTTTAATTTAGCCTATTTAGTTATAATCGGTAATCGTGATCCGTTTTTTGAAAAAGAGGATTAAATAGAAGAAAGCTCAACACTACATGTATAGTATAATTCAATTGAAGCAAATATGAAGTGTCGAAAGCTCTGAAATTAACAAGGCGCATTAGCTACCTTTCATTACTTTAAGTCATAGCAAATAACGAATAACTTTAACAAATCAATGTTAATATGATCTAGCATCAGTAATAATTATATAATCAATCTATTACTTTTTGCAGCCGCAAATCTTGCATTATTCCAATCCTTTTTAATAGTCTGTGAAAAATTATTTAGTTCTTCCAATACTTTTTAAATAATTAGTAAAGGACGTCATGAATGATTGGATTAACACTCAAATCATCCATTTTGTATGCGCGTATAAATATACAAAGAGCAAACGTTTGTTAGCACCTTGATGGAGTATTAACATGGATTTTACCATGGCAATGGTAACCTATTCTTTCAATAGGCTTTATGAATCACCAAAAGCTCATCCGACACCAGAACAAAAACTACAGAGCCCATGGAAATGGATGGAAGTAGGTTCTTATGATGAACTACAAGAAATTCGCGGTAATCTTGCTTCAAGATTTAACCAAGCTAGCAATGATCACCCAGGTTTGTAACTTGTTTATGAATTCAACGCTATGCTCAATTTCAAGTAAAATGCAAAGTGCAATAATGGATAGATAAACATCAGCATAGCTGAATTAATTAATATTTTTCATAATTTAAATGAATAGCCAGCATTACGCGTCTACCAAGTCAATGCAATTTTCAACCTACAGTACAATATTATAGCGTGGATTATATTCATGACTATCTCAATTACTTTAGATCACTTAAATACATCTGGCAGTCTATCATATGCGAATCGACGCTATTCGGATCTTAGTCAGGTTTCGCGATCAACTGCACGCTTATCAAAGAAAGCGTTTACTTCGCCTCCTTCTATCAAAATTCATGGCAAAGGTAATCGCCAGGAATTACAACAGGATGTAAATAATAATCATGCAGATTCCAATTTATTACATAAAAGTGCATCAAACATTTCCAATGGTGATGGCGGCTCGAAAATCAAACTACTCTCAGACACTAATTTACGACGACACTCTTTAAACACAAACAATAATCGTTCAATCCCTAGCAGCTGGAAGCTCTAATCGCTCCATCGCAGGAAGTGGATTATCGCCAAGAGGTAGTATAGAGAACTTAAACGATGGTGGATCACGACTTGGTTTAAGAAGACCTAATCTAACGACGAAGCAGACTCTGCAAGTTGGTACTCCAGTTGCACAGAGTCGTCAATTTAGCCGATCTACTAATGATGGTAAGATATTAGTGCCAGTGAGATTGCTTTGCATACGTTCATGTTATTTATCGTTTCTATTAACAATAACACAGTGATACAACCTGCCTTCTGTATCTGGTAAAGTAGGTAGTCTATACTGTCATTAAATTTCATGTTGTGTAAATCATTATTGATATACACGATCTTAACAGTTTCAGGTGATGCTAACAATAATAATTCAGCAATGATCAGATTTGGTACCTTCAGACGTTCGTCAGATGTACCACCCCGTACCCTGAATGCTTCTTATACTAATCTTCATAAAGCTGATTCTACATCACTTTTAGCGCCAAACCCCATTACAAAATCAGCCATTGCTAGATCATCCCCCTCCATCCCCCGTGGTAAATCCGGAATTACACCCCCACGGTATGTAGCAATAGGTATTTTCGCGGCCGTTGTATTATCATTATGGTTAGAGTTAAACATCTATTAACTATAATAATCAATTATTTTTATGAAGTCGTCAAGGAATTCCCCGGACAGTCCAACAAACACCCAAAGCTCAAGAGCAAGAAGACGATTTCGAATATTATTAATAAATACCTTTTACTACTGCGATATCCTACTCTACCTTTGTGAAAATCGCAAACAAACAGCATTACTCATATCATGGAATAAATAGCTTTAATGGTTCATCGCTCAAATTCGATAAATTGGAACCGATCTTACCATTTTACTTAGCTATTACGGAAAGAGCTGATGATTTTTCAAATTATTGAAAAACAACGTCACATTTCAACGGATTGTCATAATAACTGTAATAATTCAAAGCTAAATTGATACAATAATGTCAGATTGATTATATTATCTGATAAATCTTGCCTCGTTATTGAAATGTATTTATTTATGAATTTATTAAATGTACAGATGAGTAGCTTTCATATCAATTCGATCAGATGGTTTACCATGTTTTAGAATAGAGGTTACAATGCATAATTAATATGTCCCTATTTGCCTGTGTTGCTGGCGGGTTTTGCAAGCATTAGAATTAACAATGGTTATTGTATGTTATATAGTGATGTCAATATCGCATTGAAAACCAATATAGAAATTAATTGGCGACTTTCGTCTAAAGTTTTTATTGTTGCTCAAATTTATGAAATTTATGGAACGTTAATTCCAGTTTTACGACATTTATGTAATTATGATACGGTAAACTACATTGTTGTTATTACTGTACTTAAATGTTTATTAGCCTTGCTTGTAAATGAAGTTTTTATTGCTGCACTCTTTACCTAGATTTAATCCTTTAAAAACTGTCAAGTTGAGTATTTACTACTGTATTACGGCCAAAGAAAGCAATAAGCAAAAATATTTCGATTTCACTCTTTTTTTTGTTTTTCGACTAAGTTATTCTACATGGAATTCTATTGTACTCGTACATCCAGATTAAGTAAACGGCTTCTTTATCTGTATATCGCTGTCTTATAGGGGTGCAATTCATCAATTAAACATTCATAATTTAGAAATCATTCAAATACATTTATTTAAAAATATGTTGTACCTTATTTACAGTTAGTTCTACAGCATTATAATTTAGAATTGCTACAATTTAAAGAATCGCAAATCAATCTATTTATTGCATTACTACGTTCCAGCTGGTATCATACATTGCGTTTTTGTTTTACGTTGAGGTGCGTATATATATATATACAGGATAGCCCATACAATAGTAAAATGGCTGGCTAGCGCTTCATTCTGGCATTACTATTTACCGATGGATGGTAACATGAATAAAAATAGTTGTCAAACACTAACTACTGTCGATAATTGATTTTTCGTTAATGACAGTCAGGAATATTAAATCGATCGTCATGATACAGATAGTTATTTACGTGATTGCTTAATTAATAAAAAACAAACATTTGATAGGAGGATTATAATTAATTATAAACAGAGTCAAGAAAGTTGAAATGAATCAATCTAAAGTTGCATATTTACATTCACAGTCACTTAAAATACCAACATCTATATTGAATTGAACTCATAGAGGTAAGAAGACTGTATGATTGAGCTAACTAATTTAATCGAATTGTATATATTACTATACAATAATATCGTTTTTCTGAATCCAGGTATAAAGCGTCTTTAGTGTAGGTGTAACAGTAAGACCAACGCAGTGATATTAATAAGACTTCAGATACAATCAGTAAACGACAGAAGAGGGCATGTCATACGCGTTTCCTTTTACCAATCGAAAGCTTCATCATCAGATAATGCATTCCTAATTTCATAAATCAACCATTACAAAATATATAATTTTTGTCGATGAATTAGTAAAGTTATTATGGCTTGGGCTATAACAATTAAGTAATAGCAAGAATAATCACTTTATCTAATCCGAGCTATACGCCGTCAAAATCTGAATAATTATTTATCGATATCAATTGCCAGCTACTTACATTCCTATATCTTCCTGTAATAAAGAATCTTCCTTTAATGAGGACTCCGAACGGTAAGATAACGTTTCCTATAATGTAATGGAGCATAAATATAAATTATAGCTCCAAATCAAAAATCTATAAAATTATATCTCTTCTAAAAATACAACGAACCTCATCTTTGGTCGCAACCTTACTCGGCTTGGAAACTTCTGCTGCAGTCTATTTAAGTAAGTTTTTTCAAGTCAAATTATTATTAAGTGTTTTAAAGTCCATGAAACGTAAAGCTATTATTTAATTTCGCCGTACCGCACTTTCTTCCCGACGTTTTTTAACCAGTTCCATATAGTGCAACATAACCGGGTCAACCCCACCCATGCTAGAATCTTCCATTTGCTGCTTTTCATCGCTACGTTTTTCAACCTCCTGCTTCGATTTCTGTTCTTCTTCTTCACGGGCTCTTTTTTCGTTTTCAATGGCTTCCTTTTCTCTTCGTTCCTGCTCTTGTTGTTGTTGCTGTAACAGTTCTAGTTCTCGTTGCTCCTTTTCCCAAGCCTCTTGCTGTAGTCTTTTTTGCTCTTCCTCTTTCCTCCTTTTTTCTTCCTCCCAGGTCAAGGTTTCTTCTTCTTCTTTATCCATTACCAATTGAGCTTCATTTACTATATCGTCGCTTTCATGTCTTGTTTCATTACTCGATTTGGAAATAGTATCTACTTTAGTTGATGTATCTGTCCTATCAAAATCACTTTGTAAGCGTGTATACTCGACATTGGAAGTAGGCATGTCTCCGTGATTTGAACTAGGATTTCGATGACTTAAATTCTCCTCATTCTTTACTATTCTGTCTTCAAATATACCAGTGGATGGCTCAGTATCACTGCCAGAACGGTCATGTGTAATTACTTGTCTATTGTTTGCTAATGAAATGACTGAAGTATGGTAATTATTTGCAATCGGTGTTACGTTTTCGTCATGTTCAGTATGCAACGCTATTGGTCTAGATGAGGTAGACGCTATGGTTGTCGTTGGAACAGTTGATAATGACGTAGTTGCCGTGGTATGAAGATACTGATTTGATAACACTACATCGAATGTTGAACCGATTTTAAATGATTGTTCTCTTTGAGATGGTTCTGTTACAGTTGAAGGCTTGGAATTAATAATGTTGTCACTGCTTTTGAGTTTAGAGCGCCTCTGCGGTAGTCCTTCAGCAACTACAAGCAAGTAATAATACGTCATGAATACTTCTATTTGAGACATAGCTTTCATAAATAATGACCTATTTACCTGTATTACTTGTTGATATTTCAGGATATACATTTTCAGATCCAACTGATGTAGTCGAAACTAGAGGCATCCTTTTAGGTAGTAATGATTCAGTAACTATCGCAGCTGGAACAACTTGTGAATGAGTTAACCGTGATATATTATTAGTAGATACTGCATCTGAATGAGCAGTGGGTAGGTTAGAAAATGATGGAATTTGTGTAATGCTGTGGGTAGAAATAGGGCGCCTACTATCGACATTGTAGCTAGGTCCATCAAAAGAACGATCACCCCAAGCAAATTTGTGATTGATTTCATTCGGCTGTCCCTCGACAGCAATTGCATCATGAGTGTTGGTAGGATTTGAGGCTGTTGACCCATGATCGAGATAGTTGCGATAGGAGCGCTGTATGGCCTACAGAAGACGTTCCATTAGAAGGTTATACTGTATATCCTAAGCAAGGTTAACTTTACTGTTGATCAATACGATCACGTAATAAGTCTATGTATTCACCTCGGTTTGTAATTCTAATTTCTGTAGCTTTTGTCTCGCATTGATAGCGACAGATTCAACATCTTCCGCAGTATCTTTTGTTGTTGCGTTAGTCTGTAGGCCATGGCTTAGATCATTACTACTTTCTCGATGGGTCAATGATGAATTGCCAGCAAGGACTGTTGGAATCAATATCGAAATTGCAAGTATTATTGCTATAGCATAGAAGTTAAAATCATGCTCAATTACTAAAAGTGCATTAATTTTAAGGACTTACGTCGATTTATTCGTTCTGATGTTGCAGCTGCTTGCTCAAGAATGGATTTATCGCCACTATCAGTACGTTTTAATAACGATTTCATAGCAGCTGATCGATCAGGGTTTAAAATTGAATCAGGAATGGGTCTCGATCGATCCAAGTCTACTTCTTGAGTTCTACGTTTCATTTGTAGACTAAGCGCAGTTTGTGCTTGATGTAGAGCAAGACGTAAGTCGGAAATTTCTCGATTCATTTCTCTCTGATGCAGAAGCTGCTCTTCAAATCTTTGACGAATATTTCGATTACGATCTATTTCAGCTTGTTGTACTGCTTGTAATTGTTGTATTTGCTGAGCATGTTGTAAACGCATATTGTGATTGATTTCTCTGAGTTGCTTCACTTCTTGCCTTAAATTAATCTATTAATCAATGTAACTTTTCATTTAGAAGTTGTAGGAGTCTTACTACATGTAGTTTTCTATAGATAGGTCACTTACAACTTCTTCCGACGGTTGCAATAATTTATGGGTTAGCTTCTCGATTTCTTTCGACGACGTTGTTTTTTCGTCATTAAGTTGCTCTAATTGTTTCTGGCTATTACTTAATTGCTCACATAGAACGACTAGGCGCTCTCTTAAAACATTATAATCTGATACTTCTTCAATGCGTCTACGTAAATGTTCCTTCTGTTCTTTCACTACAGCCAGCTCTTGCCTGGTTCCCTCTAGTGTTTCCTGTACATTTAAAGAGCAGCAATTAAGATTATTCTAAACCTTGCTTAGGCGGTACCCATTATTGAATAAGGTCTATTTATATTGATGAAAATTTTACCCGAAGTTGTGATATTAAGCTTTTATAATCTTCTATTTCTTGCACTAATTTACGATGAAATGCTTCATCTTTATCCGATCTGGCAAGATTTTCCTTTAGTTTAGCTTCTCTTATGTCGAGATTACGCGATTTTTGTATAAATTGTTCTTGTGTTTCGAGTTTAATTCTGTTTCAAATTAAAAATTACCACAAGTGTCAGGTTAGTAGAGTTAATTACACAGTATGAAAGATTATCACTTCTTTGATAGTAACGTAAGACAGACAGTAGAATCATGCCTGGTAATATTGTCTTCCAGATCCCGCTGATATCTTTGCTCTAAATTACTGATTGAAGTTTCCTTCATTCGGATGCGCTCTTCGGCAGCTCGGGCTTTCTCACTTTCTAATTTTTGAGATCTGAATAGGCAAAACATGTTGTTAATTTTTACAAATCATTTCGTACCATGTTACAGCAACACTTTTAGGCATAGCCTATTATCTTATGTTTTATTTCCATATCTGAGTTACGTAGCTTACTGTTCGTTAAGCTCAAAACAACGCTTCAATTCCAGTTCTTTTGATCGAACCATTTCTAGTTGTTCAAGTATTGATTGGCGCTGCAAATGCAATTGGGCTTCCTTTTCTAACTCTTGATTACGAAGGTGTTGCATCGTATCTTCTTCTTTCCTTCGTAGCGCTTCCTTTTTTTGATAATAGTCTTGCTCTAGCTCTTTCCTTATGGTCTGCAATTCTTGCTGGTATTTGGTTCGTTCTTCCAGGCGCATCTTAGTAAGGGTTACATTTTCGAATCGTTCCATCTACAGTAGGATAATTATTTATTGGTATTAGATGTTGTTCTATAGTCATGACCGATATATATTTATAAAAGTAAGACATACTTCAACTTTTGCCTGCGCGATACATCTTGTTTCTATTTCTTTTTCCATAGCAATTAATTTATCTTCCACAGAATCGTGATTCTTGTCACGGGTATGATGGCTGTCCATTACGGTTTGATCTAAAATTTGAAGTCTTTGGTCTAAATTTTAATAAACAGTAATAAGCAACAAATGTAAGCTTAAAATGGGTTGCTTAACATGAAAGTGATTCGGTTGTAATTACTTAGATGTTCTTGAGTGAGTATCGGCTGTTGATCGGTTTGACAGCTATTATCCAATCGAGGAATTGGTTTGACTTGATTTTGGTTCAAGAAGTAATCTAACAATACTATTAAAAGACTTTGTTCCGCGGTGGTTGTTAAAGCAATGGCTTTACGATAGAACGGATCATTTGGTTGAAACTTCATAAAATCGATGATATCGGGTATGTTGTATACCTACATGAGTGTTGTATGAAATTAATAAGATTTTAAATAGCCAATTTTTGATCGTTCTATTAACTTTCAGTAATTGAAACGCTATATCAGACAATTACTCTATGCAATCGCATATGATTGTAGGTAGAACGAGTGCATTAGGTAGGAAAATTTCCACCTTAATTACTGGCTTTTATATGATAAATCATGTCAATAGATCTGATTAAGCTTCTATTGTTAATATTACGTGACTTTTCTTATTGCAGTAATCCATTACCTTATCTTCTGATAAATTGCATTCTGGCAGGTAGACCGATAAAGCGTAATCGTATCGATACGTCTTTAAATGGTTGCAAATGATGCTATTGCCCACATCCAAATTTAATTGATTGACAGTTTGTTCACAATGATTGATGTTGGATGTTAATACGCCTTGGCGTTGCTGAAGCTCATCAACCATTTTCTTGCGCAATTGAGACTGGTAAAGAAAACATTTGAGAGTTAATTTTTATATTTAAGGTCGATCATTTTATGATCTATTTACTGGCTAAAACTAGAATATACGTTGTAGTAAGTATGTCGCTGCAAAGCTAAACTATTGTCTAATCTACAAAACCTTTCCTAGTCATGGTAGAGATGAGATGAATGGTAGCATTTTTGTTGGATTGATTCATCCATTTGATCATTTGGATATTATTATTGTACTATACTCACTCACTGAGGGATATGGATACTGTACAGTAGAGAGATTGATCCATGGCATATGAGTTACTATCGACTGGAATGGGATGCACTAAGATAGTAAAGGGAGTTGAGCCTGTGAAGGAAGTTTTACTGTACAGTGTCGATTGTACAATCTATACGCGTCTAGCAGGATACATTGAATAACTTGGATAGTTAGGGTTGAGCGCATTCTAACAGTAGGTTATGACTAATCCTGGAGTATTTCATTTATTTGTTGTAGCTGCATTGCTTTGTGTTGCCGTATCGTATCCAAATGATGTTCTAGGAGAGTGAAAAGAAGGTGAAGGACTTTATGACGTTCCCTTGTTCAATGATGGGACTTTAGTTGAATTCTCCAAACTGTTTACAATGTAGAGTACAGTAAATGAGTTGTATTGGTTTGATGTTCAAAGTAGTATTCCAATTGCACTAGGTAATCAATGGAATAAGTGAGCTACTGTACTTTTGAATGACGATTGAAATAGTCTGTGATGGTTTCTACAGATGTACTGTTGGTCGATGGGTTCTCCTTTTGTTATATCGAGGCCATTTAAGTTGTGGTACTCCATCTCATCGCTAAACTACGCTATAGTGCCTGCCTATGGGAATGACGATGGTAAAGTCCAGGATGAAAACATTGCTTACGTTACCTTCAAAGTCGTCAATATCCCACGCTGGCGAAAGTTATGAAATAACTTGAGTTTCAATTCTTCTTCCGATAGAGTTGGTTCTTCCAAGTCCACCATGATTTAAGCTTGTAATGGCGATGACTAATCTCAGTAGAATGAGTGCAATAAGTCAAGACAGAATGGTTGAAATCAATCCAAGATTGAACACGATCACCAAGGTGATAATCAAGCTTGCGGTTGTGCAACTTGGTGGTACTGGTACCTGTCCCTTTCCGTCATGGATCCCTGCTGACGGCTGAAGATTTTCCACTAGGATCACGTCGATCCACGTCTAGTTGGGTCTAGTAATCAATGGATTCCTTCTTGTCAATGTATCAATCTCCATAGACGTCGATGGCTGACTGACTATTTCTCTATTTGGTCAGCAGCTTGGAGAATAATTTGAAATTTGAATTTTGAGCTGCAGCAAATTGGCTGGAGGCGAGGCTACAGTACTGTACTACAGTATAGCGCTGGAATGGAGAGAGTGGAAATTGCTGTTTTCTACTGTGGTACTGAGTGCGCCAACGGCAGGTCTGTTAACGTATCGCGCGGGAAAATACTGTAGTAGAAGTGGGGTGGACTACAGTACGTTGTACTGTAGTTCCCACCCTGACGGAGGATCCGTACGTCCGCACTGCCATGTCGCGAGCGCCATTCCACAGTACTGTACACTACAGTACATTGTACAGTGGTGTACCTAGTGTACAGTACAGTGTACAGTACTGTCCAATGGTGTGCATCGAATTGCTGTCCATCACCTTCCATTTTCTCTATAGTAAAAGCTGTTCAAATTGAAACTTCTTCCAACGGGAACCCTGCAGATTGAATCGTCCAAACATGACTAAGTCTGAGTGTACTCTACCATAGAGTTGACTTGATGGCGTGTAGTGTACGTCCGTATCGTCAATCTGTCATGTACAGTACAGTGCAGTACTAGACCGTGTACAGTACAATGTACTGTACATCCTTCATCCAAACATGACTGGGTGTACTGTACAGTGTACAGTGTACAGTACTGTACCATAGAGTTGACTTGATGGAGGGTAGTGTACAACTGTACAGTACGTACTGTACTGTACGCCCGTATCGTCGATCTATCATCTACAGTGCAGTTCTGGACCGTCTACACTGTCCATCCCCTCTACACTCTACTGTATTTTCCCTATAGTAAAAGCTGTTCAAATTGAAATTGCTTCCAATGGGAACCCTGCAGATCCACTCTTCCAAACATGACTGAGTGTAAGTCATTGTACTCTACCATAAAGTTGAATGGATGGAGGGTAGTGTACGTCCGTATCGTCAATCTGTCATCTACAGTGCATTACTAGACCGTGTACAATGTACTGTACTGTACAGTGTACTGTACATCCCTTCATCAAAACATGACTGCGTGTACAGTGTACAGTACTGTACAGTACCATAGAGTTGACTTGATGGAGGGTAGTGTACACTGTACACTGTACAGTACAGTACTGTACGTACGTCCGTATCGTCGATCTGTCATCTACAGTGCAGTTCTGGACCGTCTACTGTACGCTGTCCATCCCCTCTACAGTACACTCTACAGTACTGTGTTTTCCCTATAGTAAAAGCTGTTCAAATTGAAACTGCTTCCAATGGGAACCCTGCCGATCCAATCATCCAAACATGACTGAGTGTACAGTACTGTACCATACACTTCCCTCTATGGAGTGGAGAATCCATCCGCATTGTCCATCTGTCACCCACAGTGCCGTCCTCGACGGTGTACAGTGTACAGTCGGCCTATGTTAGTACTGTAGCTAGTAGGCAAAAACAACGGTTCACAGTCCCAGTATAGCAGTCAACACCAACGGCCAAGTAAGTCATCAAGTCTGCAAGAAACAGCTTGCCATCGTCAACAACATCTCTTGCTCTCCATACTTTGTTAACTCTATCCATGGAATCTTAGTGGTATGTAGAGAATGTATGCCTGCTTGCAAAGGAATGATGTACGATGAATCATGACTAGACTACCTCACTTTTTTGTTGCACTATACTATCATGCAATTGCCGCTATCCTAGACAGTTAGTCGTCGTCATCATGCATCAGCGTCTTTTCGACTTGTTGTATTTGAAATGACGCTGGAGCTAGTGCATGCTTTCCAATGGCATGCCCATGACTCTACTACAACTTCCAAATAAAACTAATAAGTTGATGATGGTACGCAGTGATAGAATAAATAGTCAGTCAGATGTACAATATTAGCATGCTTGACTATCGGTCAAGTGGAAGGAAAGTCATCAAAAACTGACATTGCTTTATGCCTCCTCGATTGCCCAATGCTATTCGTTGTGCATGCAATCAAGAAAGGATCCATGTCCTAATGCAATGGATTAGGAGAACGTGACACTAGGCTTCAATTGCTGTAGATAGAGTGGAAAGTATTAGCTTTCAATCGCTAGGATCCGATGTCATAGACGGCTACTCGAAAATTGAGAAAATTTTCGGAAACTATACTCACAACGAAATCATACTAAGATCTCATCGCTACAAGCAAACGGGCAATCTTAGCAGTATTGATCCTAACGTCCTCTTAGGATAACGGCGTACCACTACAGGACATTACAAGTGGCGTACGTATGCCAGCGAAATAGACGCACACTTGTGATGTTGCAATCATTAAAAGACAAATCTTTTAGACATGGACTGCTTAGAACTATTCTTATCAAACAATTGTGCTAAGAGATGAAATGCCATGTTGAAATATTGTCTCCCCTTCTAGCTTAATACTGTACTTGCTTGCTACCGTATTAGATAGATCGCTTTTCCACTGTACAACGATAAATCATCAACGACGTGTATACTGTACGGAGACGTACAAATAACGACGCTAGTTTTGTATGTAGACGTAGTGAGAATGGCGTTAAAGGATAAAATTAAACATGGTGAAATGTTGTCCACTTTACAGCTTGCTTTCTATTCTATTCGATATATTACTCTTCCACAACGAAAATCATAAATTCTATCTAGCAATAGAAGAATCCATCAACAACGCTGATTAGTCCAATTGTTGAACGCTAAGTCAACACTTTATATTTTCTCTCGCAGAGCACCAAATAATGTTTTCACAATCTCTTAGTGGAAATAATACTGGTACATTCAAATTTGGTGCTGGTGGCAACACGGCTACCACACAAGCCAATCCGTTAGGTGGTGGTGGTGGCGGCGGCTTTTCCTTTGGAGCATCAAATACCCAAAACGCTGCTAATAAAAGCTTTACCGGATTTGGCAACACAACCACCCAAGCTGGTAATTTCACAGGTTTGGGCGCCACCGCAGCAGCGTCCGGTGGTTTTGGTGGATTTGGCACCAATACAACCTCACAAGCAGCCGGATTTGCAGGATTTGGCAAGACAGCAACCACACAATCAACAGGATTTGGTGGACTCGGTACAAATACTTCTACACCATCGACAGGCTTTGGTAATTTCGGTACAAATACGTCCACGCAATCGGCTGGCTTTGGAGGATTCGGTACCAATCCAACGACGCAATCTGCAGGATTTAGCACTTTCGGTAAGCCAACGGCCACGCAATCCGCTGCCTTTGGGGGATTTGGTAATACATCTACTTCACAACCAGCTGGATTTGGTGGCTTTGGTACTACATCAGCGCAACCCACTGGCTTCAGTGGATTCAATATGTCAACAACATCCAAACCAACTTTCGGCACAGCAACCACTCAATCGAGCGGATTTGGTAGTTTTGGTACAACAGCACCTCAAGCAATTGGTTTCGGTGGATTTGGTAGCCTTGGAGGCAGTTCTGCCTTACAAACAGGATTTGGACCATCGACCGCGACTACCTCTCTATTCGGTAAGCCGTCTGGTAATATAAGTGGATTTGGAGCTGGAACCAGTGCGCTTAGCTTTGGCGGTCAAACTACTGCAAGTAATTTGCTTGGTGGCCAAGGATTAGCTCCTGGTGTTGGTCAACAAGGTTAGTTTTCACTGAGCTTATTTCACACTTTAATTATCTTGAAAGACGGTAATTTATTCTGTGCAGTTTAGGAAATAAGTAGTAAGAGTGCGTCTGAATTCATTATTGATCATCTATTTGTCAATAGCTGTTCAGGGTGGTGTTCCTGAGAATCTTCTTTTAGTTGCTAGTTGTACCTGTAATATTTTTGGTGATGAAAGGGATCTAACACTAGCAAAGTTTAATCAACTTCAAGCTATCTGGGGGCTCGGAAAAGGCTTTTATAATAGACACGCGCCTCCAATTGAGTACCAACGATCGAATCCTTTGTGTATATTTAAGGTTAGAATCGCTGTGACAATCATATAACTATCAAATACAGAATGTTTTATCAAGATCCTCTTCAGGGTAATTCATAATTTCAATGATCCATATTGTTCTTCTTAGACCGTATGCTTTAGTAGCCTGCCTGCAGTAAAAGAATCTGATGGACTTGTTGTTCTTAAACTCAATAAGAAAGAAGCAGATGTAAATGCTCAAAAACAAAACATTTTAGATGCACTTTATACTGCTTTAGGAAAAAGACCGTTATTATCGGTGCGATTTGTTGATGTTAGAGCTATTGGCGACAATGCGTAAGTAGATGGTATATTGACCCTATTTCGCGTAGTAGATTGACTTGCTACCAGTGGACTTCATGTTGTAGACTAGTTTAAATTGAAGGGGATTTTATTTTTAGATCCGAAATGACATTTTATATTGAAGAAAGAGCGCTCAATGGGGTTCGAAAGCGTTACCTTGCTCGTGAGATTATTGATCATTTGGCTAGAAATAATTTTTCTGTAAGTTTCATCAATGTAAACTTGGTCTACGCGTATACGAGATGTACTTTTCATAGATGGTAGCAATATTGGCAAATGATAATGATCTAGGTAATATAGAATGCATATTTTTCTGAATCATAGAGCCAAATAGCCAGCTTAGGAATAGTGGATATTTATCCAAAACCGATCATTACTCCACAACAAGTTAGAGATGTCCTAGAAAATCCTCCGTCAGGTTCTAATATCGGTATAGATTTCAATTTTTTAATTACGGCAATTGCTAACATTCTAGTATTGTGTAGGTATTAATCCAGCTGTGTGGAAACAAGCTATTGAGAATAATCCAGATTCCGCAAAGTTAGTCACTTAACTCTTTGGCGCATTAGTTAAGGAGAAAGATTGACATTATGATACAAGGCATTCTTGTTAAAAGTATTTACCCATTGTTTCCTACGCTATTCTAGTTTAATTCCTATACCAGTAGTTGGATTTGAAGAATTATGTGCTAGATTTAAGGCTCAACAAGAAGAAACAAAACGCCAAAATTCTGCTTGTGAAGTAAGACCTATTATTGTGGTAAAATAATTCAATCCTAATAATATGCTTATTTTATCCGAAATTTTTTGACAGCAAATATCGGATGAGTTGGTTAAATTACAGCAAAAGCAAGCTGTAGTTAGTGCTAGAGTAAATCAGTATCGACGTAAACACATGGAACTATGCCATCGTGTGTTAAAGATCATTAGTAAACAAGAGTTAATTAACAAGAGTGGATTTTCGTTAACCGAAGAAGAAGATCAATTCCGATTTAGACTTCAGGGAATGGAAACTGATTTCAATGCCCCAAATCAGTTTAAGGTTATTTAGCATTTTATTATATCCATGCAAATTAACTGCCTAGCTGTATATGGGATACACAAAGCGAGTGATAAAAAGGAATTGATTTTTATCCTTATTGATTGCAGAACCGGCTGTATGAGTTAATGTCTCAAATCAGTATGAAGAACACAACTTCATCAGGACCACAAAATTTAGAATTTAAGGCAGATGAAGAGACATTGCATACCATTAAAAGAGTTAGTTATACTCGTACACTATTTTTGATAAAAATAAGATTAAAATAGATTATAAAAAGGTTTTTATTAATTGATTTTGTACACGTATTTCTATTATACATAGTATCTAACAAACCAACAGAAAGCTATAACTGCCTTAGTTGAAACATTTAAAGAAGATCTAGAGGACATTAACGTTATTGAACAAGGCTGGTCAGGTTCTTCAAATAAAAGCTGAGATAGCACTCTGTTAAATTCAAAGTCAAGTCGAAGCTACTGTTGAAAGATTGCAGATTCCTAAAGATATTGTTATTACTTATACTGCAATTTCAGCAATGAATTAATTCCTTCATTAATTATTGGAAGCCATTTTTGTACAGATACTGATTCAAATTACGACATCAGTATATCATAAAATATCGAATTCAAATAACTTATCATTTTTTATTTGGATACAATCATGGTCTATAACGTACGTTTTTTTAATTGGAATATTATATGAATCTTGCGACATATAGACACCAATTGATCAATGATTATAATTAGCAGCTTTATTTGAAATATCACTGTGACGTCTAACTTTATTACTATGAGATGTATGGTAATGTTCCTTTGCTTTATTTTGGGCGTGATCCCTGCTCTTGGAACGTTTGTCTGTAGTAGTAACCGACTTTTCGTTTAAACGACTCTTCTTGACGCAGTCTTTAGCACTAGCAAGTTTGGGCAACTCTATAAAGTAAAAATGTCACATCAAACGTTACTGTAGCATTTATTCAGTCGCTTCTTTAATAAGTCAATTATTGTAAAGCAAAATAAAGTTTTCCATTTTATTTACTATGTATATTGTAATGCAATATTTGTTATCCGTCCTATCGATGCAGCGATAAGTAGCGGAGGGTCTGTACTACTACTGCTTTATATCGAATTTTATAAGTAACATTATTGTTCGTTGCATTTTGTTTATACTTATTGTAATAAGGTTACGAAATAATTTATCATTGCTACAATAATAGTAGGAACTACCTATATCGTTCTCAATTTATCTGATAGTCGCTAAGAAATCATTTATCACTCAGGTTACCTTTCCTTTTGTTTGATCGAACAGCATTTGTCATCATATTTTTCAAATAAACCTTATTAGCACCCGGTAATTTTTTCCTATGTGATGCGGTAGATAAATGTTACACATAAGCAATACACTACGTTAATTTATTATAATTATTATCGCTTTCAGACTACGTTTAACTATTTCTACTTGTGTACAGTGGTAATGTATCATAGAGCACACTACTCATTCATTTTAGTTTAATCAGAAATGCGATTTAGCTGCAATATACTACATTTATTATCGCTTTTCAGACAACGCTTAACTATTTTTGCTTGTGTACAGTGGTAATGTATCATACATAGAGTACACTACTCATTCTTTCTACTTCAATCAGGAATGCAATTTAGCTGCATTTACATTGCAGTCAATTTATCCATACTTTTACATTAGAAAGATGGATAAGGTATTTAATGTATCCTTTTGAGTAGAGATTGAAAGGAATTACCCAGTTTACTTACCATCCAATGACTCCTATTCTTTCAGAGCGATCTTTTCCTCTCTTTGCTTCTTTTAAGATTTCTTCAGCGGCTAACCTGGAAAATAGGATGAAGTATGATAGAATTAGTACCTTATTACTGCCATCCTTAGAATTAAGTCTCTCTTTCCCTCTCTCTCTCAATCATCGTTCAGTATCGTACCATTCCATACAGTAGTAAACTCGTGATTGTATCAGCCAACATGATCGCAATATAACTACAGGTATTGCACACGGTACCTCGATACCTCGCAATTGGAAGCTATCGAGAGCAACTACTGCAATGTGATATCAATTTCAAAATAAATTTATTGACTAGCTAACAGTACTTGAATCTATTCTTTACTATCTTCATACGAAGTGTATATGATACTACATAGATCACCTTTCAAGTTCGTCATCATCAAAAGTAGGAAGAGATTTGCTGTCCTTTTTATCCATTGACATTAATGCTGATGTGAAGAGTATATTTACAAGTATTCTATGTATTCCAATTTCTACTGGTGGTTGAAGATCTTCCAACTGTACACCGCATCCAGTATGATTGGTTGCTTGAATATCCGATGATCTACTGATCAGCCAATATTACTCCAAAGACCAAAGCAAAACTCCTACTTTGTCCAAATTGATCATTCCACCCATAGGATTGATTGACTTCAATAGATGACAATCATGATGGCTAAGAAAAGCTCAACTTACTGACTGTGAAGATTCTATCTATTTTTATACTTGATGAATTAGCCAAATGGAGAACGCAAGCAATCGGTTATGCAAGCCTGATCGTTGTCGTCGTTACCAGTCTACTGGTAACGACGACACTGGACCGTTAACAGACGTTTGGGTATTTTACCCATGACATCATTGACTGTATAGCCTTCCGTCTGTCTGTCGTTGTGTCCTAGACTACTCCAAGGCGAGTTGTTTTGAGGAAGTGCATCCATGGACATTGGATAGGACTTTCAATAAGGCTGGAGAAAACAACTCTTATAACGTGGTAATATTGTCTACAGTAGCTTTTTAAGACTTGAAAATGAGTCAGTAATAGAGCATGGACTCCTCGTTTATGCATGGACTTGTGTCTACCTAGTGAAACTACTTAAAAAGGTCCCTGATATAACAATATTCAACAATAGATTAAAGATCAATTTCAAGTATCTTGCACAGTGTCCAGTCCAGTGCAGAACAAGACTGTAATGTACATTCTAGTCTGCACTATTTTGCAATTATCTTTTAGTACCCTATTGCTGAAAGTGCTTACTGAAGCTGTAAAGCAGTTGCAGCAATAGATACTAAACGATAATTGCAAAATGCCAGAGTGTACAATCCACATAGACGACTAGTCCATGTTGACTGAGGCTTGTATGCGAAAACACTTTAAAGTCCCTGATGGAACAATTCAACTACAACTTTAACCATAATACAATATCTCCTATAGTACTGGATCAAAACTGTACAAGTATTTCAGGACAACTTTAAGCCCTTCAACTAGGAAAGGATCTGCAAGCGATCGGAGTGGAAGCGACTAGCTTACCATGGACTTGCAAGTCTTTCAAGTCGCTGCAGACCTTGAGCACGCCGGATCGTCTTGCATCCATACTACTTGCTATACAGTGTACAATACGGTAGCTAGAATGCAGTAGAACAAGTATGACAAGGTTCTATTGTCTATCGTTTCATGCGACACATTCTACAGTACAAGATCGTACAGTACAAGACTGTACGAGCTAGAGTGATTTGACTGAGAGTTTGGGAAATGAGCGTCGATGGTACTGTAAAATAGCGAGCAGAAATAATGTCGCAATTCTCGACCTAGAGATGGTATGATAACCTAAGCAATTCTAGTAAATACATGGTTATAAGGTGACATTCATTTTTCTACAAATTGATGGATATGCCAGCACCAAATGCGACGACGCAAAGACAAATCCATCGACTGCAATCATGGCAGATGTAGAACAGCCCGCGGCTCAAGATGAAGGATCGCCAGCCCTTTCTCAAGCTGAAAATGAAGGTATTAAAACATAATATAGTTGAGATGATGGTAGTACTTGATTCTGGACTAGAGTACTGCTTCTATCTACTGTAAACTCTGTCATTATTTTCCATTTTGTTGGCGTACTGTGAGCCCAACAAGGAGATGCTGTTCAATGTCGGCGTTTTCCTTGCAGTGACTCACCAGCTCTTGCTAGGTGCTATCTTCATGTATCATTATAGAGTTACTACCGCGAATGACTGCTCGATATGAAGTAATGTAGTATTCCAACCGCAACTATTGTGTGTTTTAGCTTAAAACTTCATTTTTTTCTGATTAAATGATGGATGATTGATATTTTGCAAAGTCCTATTCGATTTCGCTTGATTTTGATATCGGTCATTGTCGATAATGTGGACATGGCCTAGCCATGCACTCGATGCATTTTACTCTATCCATTCCTACTGTCATGAAAGCGATATAAGTGTAAAAGATCAGAGTTGTAGGATCGAATTTGTAGTGCATAGCTTATTCAATTGCGATGAATTATATCTTAGCAAGAGCCGCTAATACAATTTGCAGTTTGTAATGATGACATATTAATGCGACAGATCAGCCAAATGTAACAAATCATGAGGAACAAGCTAAGGAAGAAGCTCAAGTCATCAAACCTTTGGTAACAGTAAGACCAGATAGTGATGAACCAGTGGTAGACAATCAAGTACAGCCGGTAATGACATAATAATACCTAATCGTAGTAAATAGGCCATTGGAGTCAAGATGTTGTAGTGGCTGCATCCAATGGGACAATCACCATTCAATCAACTTTTTATGTGCACAGGAGGAAGAAGAAACGCCAAAAATAGAGATGGAATCCCAGGGTGAAGATGCTGAAGAAAATATTGAAAAAACTACTGAAGAAAATATGGAAGAAAATATGGAAGAAAATATGGATGAAAATATTGAAAAAAATATTGAAGAAAATATGGATGAAAATATGGAAGAAAATATTGAAGAGAATATTGCGGAAAATATTGAAGAAAATATAGAAGAAAATATTGAAAATGAGCAAGCAAATGAAGATAATAAGGATGAAGGAGATAATGACGACAAAGGCAACGATGACGATAATGATAATGATGATGATGATGATGATGATGATGATGATGATGATGATGACGATGATATCCAAATTCATATCGGGGATGTAACAGCGACATCGACTACCTCCTTTCCAAGGTATTTAACCATTGTAGACAACTTTAACTAAGATATATTATAATAATAATTAAAATTCTTACTAACGATACAATCTGACTAAACGCTAGCGGTCCAAATGTACCATTTAAAAGTGGTACTCGAACATCGGGAACTGGAACAGGTAAATCATTGATCCCGTAGCCGACTTTCTTGCAGTAGCAGCATAAATTCTCTAGCTTATGTTTCAGAGCTTATATTTAGAAATTAATAATCGATACAAGTGGAAAGAGAAAGTTCCATTCGATGTAGTCCGCTAATTACTTTTATATTTGTACATAGGTGCAAGCAAGAAGGTTATTGATATTGAAGCTGAAGGACAAGTGGATGGCACCCCTTTGTACGAGTATGATATAGATGATAGTGAAAAACCATGGAGGAAGCCAGGTACGACTTTTGGCTAATAGCACATTTACGTCTATTTATAAACAGTAAAGATAGTCAGATTCTTGACGTTGTCAATATCTTTTATGCTTATGCACCACATAGTCATCCCTTAGCCTTGCCTCTAGTACTAACTGAGACTAACTGAACCCTTTATTAGGTGCTGATATTACTGACTACTTTAATTACGGATTTAATGAAGAAGTTTGGAAGCAATATTGCGAGAAGCAACGCAAATTGAGGGCAGAGATTGCAAATGGATTATATAATCCACCACCAAAAGTACAAGAAAACTTTTACATATTATTAATAACCGTCGCCATCGTAGTAATCTTGCTATTGATAATCTGATAGTATTATCTTCCATTAATCCTACTCTTATGAATTAGGGATCATTGCCATCAATACATAAGAGTGAACTTAATACTCAAGCTGCTAAGACTGATGCAGTGAGTGCGACTGGTAAGGATTGACTCTAATTTAGAATCCTACTTTCTCCAGATACTCTGAAGCTGTACAGCTGTTGCATTTATTGTTGACTTTATACTGGTCTACTTATCATTAGATGCACTATTAAAATGAATTTTTTTATTAATCTAGCAGGAAAGCGACTTCCCAACAAAGCTGGACCGCCTCCAGATAGGAAAACAGAGGGAGCTATCGCTGTTATTGGAGTCGGTAAGTGTATCCGCTATCACAAGTTTATATCTTATACTAACCATCGGCGTTTTGAATTAGTGTTGGTATCTTTTATCATTGATTGAAAATTTGTCGCATGCAGTGCAATGATTGAAGTTGCTATTTGTTTTACGTAGCTGACAGCCGACGCAGACTGGATGAGTTACCTGCAACATCGGAAATAAACATTCCCCAGAGGTTTTGGAATAATTTAATGCAAAGTTGTAATTAATCGAACTACTGGATATTGGATATTTATAACATCTTACTAATTACCATTTTAGGGACACGAATAAAAATAATTCTAGCCAATCTCGACAATCGCAATCCAACGTAGGTCCTGGTATGGTACAGGTAAATACTAGTATTCCACCGCCTATGATGAGTGGCCAGCAATTTTCTCAGCCAGCAAATCAAGCCAATTCGGCTAGTGGTCCAATCATGAATAATCATCCCAATCCAGCCCCTCCTGTGCAGCAGTTTCTCGTTCCTCCACTTAGTCATAACTTACCACCACCCAATATGCAACTTCCGCCACCCATTCCAAATCCACCTCCAATGGTTGTACCAGGATTTAATGCTATGCAAGGTGAAGGAATACCTCCGGCTGGCTTTCATAATATGAATATGCCTCCAGTTGGTATGGGTAGAGGCCGTGGAAGAGGTGGTATGGGTATCCCGGGAATGGGCCTACCCGGTCAAGGTCCAGGTGAATTCCAACCAGGAATGGAAGATAGGTACAATGTCATGTCACGAATATAACAAATGTGAACGTAATAGCAGACAATGTTAATCACTACATTCTTTTTTACTATAATGGTGGATGGTAGACCTTTTTTTGCCGGCTCAGGTAATGCTGCTAATTACGTAATTATATTTGAATTGTTGATATTCACTGTTGACTATAAAACTTATCCTGATATTTTTTTATGGCAAACATTCTATTTGATATAGGTCAGGCGACTTCACCTGATATTTGGCCTCCTAATCAAGAATTCCCTCAAGGCTTTAACCCAGAGTCGAGAGGTCATAGCTCTGTTTCCGATAGTGAAAATTCTAGTGAAAGCTATGAATATGAACACCCTAGAAGTAGTAAAGAAAAGAGTAGTAAACGGCGTGAACGAGGACGCGATCGAGATCATCGAGAACACAGAGATCGTGATCGTGATCATAGTGACCGGCACCGAGAACGACATCGAGATAGAGAGCATAGAGATCACGATAGAGATAGGAAGCATAGAGAGCGAGACAGAGATAGAAGAGATCATGATCGAGATAGGAGAGAGGTACAATAATAATTGTACAGTACTTTAGCGTGTTTCCTTAGGCTGAACTAGATACAGTTAATCTCACATCATTTCTTTTGTGGTTAAATCTAGGACCGGCGCAAGAGAGATGATCGAAATACTAAGGAAGATAAGAAAAGGTGCCTAGCACAGTGCTATTTGTAGTTTACTAATCGCAGTCATTTTATGTTTACTGTAGAACTGGTCATGCTTTGCTGACAAAAAGAGAATCATTGAGGCTGATCATTGAAACATTTATTGATCGTATTATTTTTTTGCACTAGGAGACGCCATAGTGCTGGTTCTAGTGATGGAGAAACTCCACGTCGACCCAGCAAACATTCAAAAGATAGAGAGGAAGCGATTGCAGATGAAGATGTCAACGCATCATAAGAAAGTTATTGTACTGATTCTGGAGATTATCTGTATGATAAAACGTCGATTTTATTCAATCATAAAATGCAAATTTGAAATTTCCTATTACTTAATATGCTTTTCACTTAGCATGCTTGCCTGTAAATTCGAATTAATGTTAAGATGTATGTATAAAGACATGGCTTAATAATAGGCCGGATATCAGGCTTGGTTCCAAATTGTTTAAAGTGTTGATCTTGTCAACGTACTGATTTCGTCGACTTTTGTTGAAGTAATGTGGTGAACATTGAGCTCTAAAATATATTGGCCGCAACAATATCAAAGAATAGCTGCTAACACTCCAATTTTAACAAACGCGACAGTATCAACATTGATGAGAATTGGCCCAGTTTCAGGGCCCCCTTTAAACTGTACTAGCGTACCAGCGTACTGTACATGGTCATCTACAATAGGTAACTTCAATGTTACTACGGTGATCGTATCTCGTTACATTAACTAATTAATTGATTATATCATAATAAATTATGCGACCGTATTTTGTTCAAGAAAACTCTCGCGCGTACAGTATTTTATGATGTAGGGATTTCGTAATTTCACTATGAATTATACAGTAAATTCGTCCTGCACCTACATTAAGGTTAAAGATTACCAAATCCGTAATGTTGAACTGTGTTTTAAGATTTTTGCCCAATTCACTATTGTAAATTGTTAAAAAAAAAGTTTTGTTGTCTGGATATTCAGGAAATTAATTAAGGCAAACGCTACATCCACTACTGTATATTACAGCATGCGAAATAACATTATGATACCATTGTACATTCATTTCATTTTGTTGTCGTTATGATCCAAAACAATAAATCTAACAACTAGAAATTTTTTAATTAAATTTAAATGACTTTATTGATGTTGAACTTGATGTCAAGGATGACAATATATTACATGATAAATCCTCCAGTATTTCCAACACCTAGCTGAGAATAATAAGAAATGAATTAGAGTCAGTAGTTTACGCAAGGTAACGTTATGATAATGTTTGATTACAATACAAGCACGATCTCAGAAGTCAACCTTAAATCGAGCCCGACACAATTAATCAAGTCAATATCGCATTCTTAATCAACAAGTGAAATGCGATTAACCATTTTCACCAGTTAACGAGAAGAATGCGTCGATTACTAAATACTGCTATAAATAGCCAAGCTATATTCACAGTATCGTTCGATTATTTTTGATTCGTTATTATACCGCACATATGTAACTAAAGCAAGTTAGGATATTACAAAATTTTCCCTCATTTCGTAATTCATAGATTTACTTACCGATTGAAATCGGATCTGCGGTAGCTTAAAAAACATCCAGGTTAATTATCCTTGCTAGAGTCATATTGCTCAAAGACTTCACTCTTGGGTTCAGAAATGCTAACATAATCAGGCAATGGTTTCTTAGGTCCACTCTTGCCAGTGGGATCTGTTGGCAACATGATTTTGACTTTGATACCAAGTACACCTAAAAATTTTTGTCACGGATAGAGAAAAGTTTGAAGTTAGAGAAATACTACTATTTCTCACACATACGAGGCAAAGTAGTTCTATTCATTTAGCTAAGGCTTTACCTTGTCGAAGATATACGTGGCGAATAGCTGTATCGACATAATCAACACAGGGTTGACCTGTGTGAATCATTAAACCATCTACAAATTTCATAGACTTTGCACGCTGTCCACGTAATTTACCAGAGACAACGATTTCACAGCCTTTAGCACCACTTTCCATGATGAATCTCAATACACCATAGCAAGCCCTAAAGTAATATCATAACGATTAAAGTTACCATCTGACTAATAAAAATGTCGAAAGATAGGATAATACTACTTCTAGAGTATTCATGTTGCAATAACTAAGGCTTAGCACAGGGGAAACAATGCACTAAGCTTAACTCTTCACTAGATTACTCGATAGTAGCGATTGTCATTTTTTTTACGCTTACCTTCTAACTGCTAAGCCTCCGATCAATTTGTAACGGAGAGATTCACACTGCGCGATAGCACATAAACCACGAGCAGCAACTTTTTCTGCATAGATCTATGATATCAACGACAAGAAAACACTGCAATTACGATCGTGAAATAACAGCCAGTGTAATGCTGTACAATTTTAGCCGTAACTATAACGATAATAGTTTAAGTAATTGGGCGAGCGACTGTCGTTTTTAAGTGATAGATGTACAACATTCAAGACACTTCTTTTACCTCAACACTGTCTTCGGGGAAATTGAATCGTTTCTGAATCAGAGACATGAGCTCACGGATTCTTCTACCCTTTTCACCAAGTACATTTTGAGTACGAGTGGCAGAGATGATAATTTCAGTTCTAGTAGGGGTAACGCGAACTTCTACACCGCTATAGCCATCTTCAGCTAATTCACGGCTTAAGAAATTGTTCAGTTCAGCCCTAAAGATTCCATCAGCTACAAACTAGTACAAAAATCAAAATACCACTGTTAAAGGATGGCATAATTTCAACTTTCTACTGTTACTATTAGCTAGACTACTCGGCCTCTACTGTAACAGGCCTTAACTTGATCCTGTGCAATTCTACAGTTCGATTTAAAATAGCCATAATTTCATGTAATGTCGCGCGAATAAAGTGGTCGTTTTCATAGATACGAAATCATATCCCTATTGCATCGTCACTAAGACCATTGGCTACAGTCATAGGAGTCATTTCATTACTTAAGTAATGAGATTACGTTTAGTAAAGAATTAAGATGAAGGTCTTACAGATAAAGTATCTAGCAATCTGTACAAACTATGGGCATCGCTTTCGCTCGTATTCATAATAGAGCGGTAGGGAATGCACTGATGATCTACTAGTAGTACAGTCTATATAAATTTAGTAATTAAGGCAGCGCATGCAGGCATATTCGATCGATACTGGTCAATGGGTTATTTTTGTCGATGATAATTCATCTTCAACGATGGGATACAATGTCACGCCTTGCATGTCCAGCTAGTCATGTTACTGTAAGAGCGATTCATTATCAGAACTGTCTTCAGTAAGTCCAATTTTGGCCTATGCAGACGTTCAATTCTCTTCAGGACAAGTTTTCCTTGTCATTCTATCGTATCACTGAAATAGGAGCTATTACTCATTCCTAGTTATCAGGCTATTGGTGGGCTTCAATCGTACTCATCCAAGGAAGAGACAAGGATATTTCCAAGCGTAACGTTAGCAATTGTCAGTGATGAGAATGCGCTTTTTTAGAGTACGGCCCCGATCACTTTTTCAACGTATCTAAGCCATGACTATATCAAGTTGGATTGCTCTAGAAGACTAAAAGATTTTTAAAAGTAGGCTAATATTAACGAGTGGCCTATTATGAAGGCCATCGACTAGCAAGACTATACCGAAATCAATCTTGTCCATCTTTGCTAACCGGACTATGACAAAATCTACTAAGACAGTATCCATCCATGTTGATGGCTATTACTAACGCACGAGTAGAATATGGGCAATGGACATTATAATCGGATGGAAATCCGTGTTTTCTATAGTCATCCATATTCAAACACCTTCGCCATCGGTCCAATATGTACGTAAAGACATGATTGAACAATTTTTTGTTCAATTTAATGGCAAAATAATGGAATTTCTGAATTAAAATTGGCCTACCTTTCTTTTCTTACTGATACTCGCTGCAGCCATATTCGACTTTGTTGCGAAAGATTGAGAAGAGGGCTGGCTAAAGTGCGCCTGCGCTACTTATACCCACTTGACTGTTGCCACTTGCAAGTACAGTCACTAGCAACCACGTGGGCCGTCGGCAGTGGCAGCCAGGCTGTACGTGATGTGTTGTCTGTCATACTGTTCACTGTAGTGTACGGACGCTTTGAGTCCTTTTGCTCTCACTGCTTGTGGTACTCGTGGGTAACGTTGGTACAGTCACTGTAGTTTAGGATGGCACTTTTTTATACCGTAAACACAGTACAGGCACTAGTCTACAGTCTAGTACACAGAGTCCAGTCATGGACTACTATAGCAGAAAGAAAGGAACACCACCCCTCGGCATTGCTTGATGAATACAAGAGTACACTGACTGAGTACAGTATGTATGCAGTGAAGAAGGCATGTTAACATAGGGAAAGGTGATTCTTCAGTAAGAGTGAAAAGAAAAAAATGAACAGAAACTTGACTAGTAAAGCATACAGTATCCTGTAGTATGCAACGTGGTACTCCATGCTGAAGATCATAAAGGAAAAATTGCAATCAGTAAATGATTTTTCTTTCTTTCTTTGGCCTCAGTCAAGTGGACAGCAAAGATCATCATCGATGCTGTCCAGTTAGACCTGACAGTCCAGTACAGTACACAGAGTACAGTACACTGTACAGTACAGTACTCCTGTATGGACAGATGGACTACTAGAAATTACTTCCAGTACAGTACAATATAGTACTGTACTGTATAGTGTACAGTACAGTACTGTACAGTATAAGTGCCCATACGCAAGTACTGTACACTAGTGTACAGTGTACACTAATTCTGTAAGGACAGACGGACTACTAGAAATTACTTCCAGTTACAGTACTGAGTACACTAATTCTGTATGGACAGATGGACTGCTAGAAATTACTTTAAGTACAGTACTGTACACTAATTACAGTACAGTATGTACGTATGGATAGATGGACTACGGTACTAGAAATTACTTCCAGTACTGTACACTGTACACTGTTCAGTCCAGTAATTCTGTATGGACAGATGGACGAAAAGAAATTACTTCAAGTACAGTACAGTGTACACTAATTACAGTACAGTATAGTATACAATCACTATATAGTTCTGTACTGTATGTAGCTGAATTGATGCCAAAATTTCCAAATTATTCTGTAACATTAGTATAGTATACTGGCTGTACACTATTTACAGTATATATGGACAGATGGACTACTAGAAATTACTTCCAGTACAGTACAGTACAGTAATTCTGTATGGACAGATGGACTACTAGAAGTTACTTCCAGTACTGTAGCCTGCCAAGGATGCAGAACGGACCATTCGGACAGACAGCCGCTAACATGGTGGAAATAAATTGAATTGAAACAATGCCCCTTACCACTTGCGTTCCATCTTATACTCCAATACAGTGATCAAGCGTTCAAGGAATGATCGAGAATTGAATCAGTTTAGAGTCAATACATTTTCCACTCTATTCTACTCTAGCATGCCATGATGCTGTGCAGTGTACAGTATATGTCATACATAGCCAAGACTATTCCATTGGTGTACATTTCAGTAATTTCAAATTTCGTTCATCGATTATATACTGTATACAGGATGTTGATTTCCATAAATACCAGAAGGACGGAATATAAAATAAATAAATGAATAAGTAAAAAATAAAAGGAAGAAATTCTTCTATACATCAATATCTACTGTATGTTGAGGCTATTGTTGTTTTGGAGACAAGTGAAATCACCACAGCACGGTAGTGCTGTATCCTTTCCAGCACAAGTTCTCAATGCCAGTACAGTATTGCCCATTTTCAGGTATTTCGCCTTATGCCATCATCCAGCTCCCACTTATATCGCATTTCTGTCAATTCAAAGTCGTGCCTTAGTCATTCTCTCTTGTAACTCTTTAACCATTTAAAAAAAAATGGTTTAACTCAAGTGATTCTTAGGAAATCACAGACAAGAACTGCAATCAAGAATGCAACTGTCAGATAGGTTGACCAGTTTACATCTTGCGTCATCTCCTACACTTATATTATGAGCGTTTCTTCAATGAATCATGGATATGGCGACACTCTAATCGCTATCACAAGACACTTTAGGTATCCAACTTTCTACTACTGTATCCAATGATGGATAACGGGGATACGCTTCGGTTGGATCCTCAATGCTTTCCATGATTTGATGGAAGCAATTGTATCAACCTCGAATATATATTAAAGCCAAGTTGTCCAGGACCTCATTCGATACTAAAACAATATTGCAATTTTCAATTAGCGATCGTCTCGTATATTGCGTTTTTCTCCATTTTACAATATTCAGTATTAACCATAACTGAGAATTTATCCATATACGTTATACCCGATATGTAGTAATAGTACTCTACAGCAGTGGAATACCTTCGGTTTCTTCTATCCGTTCGAAACTCAGACACATACGTATACAGTATTACAAAAAAAAAAAATAGACCATAAGCTGCTATATCGAACAGAGTAACTGCGGATTATTGATAGATAGATAAATTCTCTCCATGATTATAAATGGTCTAAGCAATCTCCAAATTAAATCAATTTCATAATAACACCGGATGAACAGGGAATAATTATTATTAAAGAGAGAATCTTAGCGTCCCGTTGAAAAACTACCAAATTAAAAATAGATTAGAATGATAAAGTCTGCAGTACACAGCGTTCAATGTTGTGCTAGTTCTTGATTGTTGAGAAGAAAAATATCCTGACGTATTATTATAAATTCTGTCTTCAATGTCTTCTCTGATCAATAACTTTTAATTATAGTAGTCCCTGCTAAAAGTATCCAAATAGAAAGAGTAGGTATGATTTCTAAATCGAAGTAGGAAAAAAGCAACCGTGGAATTGTCAATAAAACAGTGAGTCAATCAGATGTATAGCACTTTCTATAATCCGTATTTATTGTAAATTAAAAAAATTGATAAAGTAATAGTGAAAGATAGCGTAATCGATTATGATAAAGGTAAAGTAAAAAAGGAATAAAATAGTCGACAGAACTCAAGGAAATCAATACAATCTGAGTCCAGTCATACCGGTACAATATATGTGCTCTAAATATAGTTCAGTTGCAAACGTGTTAAATGAATCAATAGCAATCCATTTTCTAGCATCGCGTTGACTTGGAAAGGCAATATCATTACCCCACCGGCAGATGAAATTAGACAAGGTAATTATTTCAAGTCGATATAATTGCCATGATCACCTGATAACTTTGCTATTGATCATTGAAGAATTCATTTTGTTTTGTTCCTATGGTGTTGGCGAATGGAATTAATCAATTCCATGCTCAAAAACAGTATCGTCAAATTGAATCATGCCTATTAAAATAAAGAGATAAAAGCTAGAGCGTACAGTATTAAGCTAGTAGCAAAAATCAATGCTTTCTATTTGATCAAAGCATTAGATAAGAAACAATCGCAATTGATATTCTTTCACGCTCATTCGATCGAACAAAATAAACATCAAAATCTTATCTATTCATTGACTTGTTTCGTTAAGATGATGAATAAACAAGTCTACATTTAGACATCATTCCAATCGATCAGTTACTTTGTTTCAATCCTTTCTGTCATTTTTTCGCAATCGATCGCCATCGTCGACAGATCGATTCAGCATTTTCCTTGTAAATAGGCTGTTAACGCTAGGAAATTGTTCACGTAAGGATAAAATTCTGTCTTGCTTCCCTTTCGTATTTTATCGTCAATGATTCTCCACCATCCTTGGTTAATTAATGATCCTTTCTAATCTATTCGCTGATAACGATATATCAAAATCAATTTAATATTGGCAACGTATGTATCTTTAGTATAACTAATCGAATAAAAAACCATCATTATTGGTATGAGTTAATCAATTTACAACAGGAATACGTGCAGAATTTAAAATATCAATAATCGTCTTGTTGACCAGATAGATTAATATTGTATAGCAAATGATTCTTGACAATAGTTGGTTAATGATTACTTCTATTTTAGTCGTCGATAGCGATAGATCAGAAAGCTATTTTACTTTTTTGCAACGTATGGTTTCTTTAGCATGAATAATCAAATAAGAATAGATCGTTATTATCAAAAGTTAATCAGCTTTGAACTAGAATACGCATAGAAATTAAAATAGAGAATATCATCTTGTTTAATAGGTTGATTAATCTTTCATCATAAAATAATTTTCAACAATCCTCATTTATTATTATTTCTTATGTAGTCGCAGATAATAATGTATTTATAATTTACTTTATGCTAGCAGCTTAGACATCATCAGAACTAATAATCGAATAAGAATCGCTAATCATTGCCATGAGTTAATCTATCTTAAACTGTAAAGTGCTAAATAAAATACGTGTAGAATTGAAGATGAACTTCGATATAGGACCAATGAATACCTGATTCAAAATTTTCTAATCATATATTTCATGATTGGCAAGGAATTGAGGTTTTCGTCAACAGCAATCCTAGACCTATCACATCGCTTGACGACCCTTTCCGTTCTCCAAGTCCAATTAACTTACTAATGAAATAGTTGTTATCGCCAAGAAAAGCATCCAAAATCAACAAAGTAGCCCATTGATCAAAGTGTATACAGCAAGTGAGTAATGAAAAAAGTTTTATCGTGTTAATAAAGTGAAAGTAATCATTCATTTCATAATTCTGGACACATTGTTACTTTATGTTGAATTGAAGCTAAATATAAATATCCACCTTGGCATCTCCATGGATAATTAACCAATATCGTAAAGTATCTAATTTATTACAATTCTTAGCATTTTGATGAAACGTCATGATATCATTGATTAATGATAGTGTTTCATCAATAATACAACACTATACTTCATCGGGTATTTGAAAGGGGAAAGATGCTATCATGATTTTATTATCTATACTATTTTTGTAACTTAAATCTTCTGTTCTTTCATTTGATATTGGTAATGGTTGAGTAATTTTTATAATCTCCATTTTGGCGATAATTCAATTCATAGCTAAAAAGATTGAAATGTAATCGTGATAGAAACAATATCACTGTCCTAGTTAAACTTTAAAAGGAATAAATACTTTATCAATCTTTGTTTTACTATGATTGAACGCTTGAATCAATTTTGGATTGATCCCATATTCAATGATTGGCCTAAACATTTATCCTTGAACATTGAATATACTATCTTTAAAGCAAGACCACATCATTGATGCATCTCATAACTAAGTTACAAGTTGAACTAGCAAGAACAGTTTAATCAAGTACCACACTATTTCCTCTTTCAGTTTTTCTCGCCTTTTTCTTTTCTTTTTTATCGTCATTTAAAGTCAGTGCTAAATAATCTGAAGAATACTCTTGAATATCACCTCTTACTTGCCCGCTTCAGTTCTATTTGTCTGATTTATTTTAACGTCCAATCTCCTTACCTTGAACTTCTAAAGTCATTAATTTATCTACAAATGTTGATTGGATTCTATCATAACAGCAAGTAAATTACCGTTGATATTACAATATTTGTATAGTTAATCTTTGGTAGGCACGGAAAGAGTGAGTTTGTATTAATACTAAATTTATTTAATTCTTATTGTATTATTTCCCTATTAAATTTTATAGCTAATCACTGTTTATCTTGCCAATCAATTCAAGCAATCATATGATCACAGTATCAAGGCAGGAAAGAGGTATGGTAGGCAATGTAAAGTATTAATTAATCAAGAAAATGTTAGTCGTCCTAATTATTTGAATTTTTTTCTATAACAATAGAAGGTACTATTTAATAGGTAGGAATACGAAGTATTTATTTCAAAATTGAATCATTTATCCTTATAAAGTGAATAGCAACGCATATTTATCAGTTAATAGTTTGTCTCAATATATTTTAAAGCGTACGAAGAAATTCTTAGCGTTAATAAATCTCGTTATGGGCATTTCTTATAGCAACAACGATATGGTAAATAACAATCCTGCATTAGAAGAATTTCGTATTGAACTTACTGATAATCGAAGTAGTTATCGAAATGGACAAATACTATCTGGTGTCGTTACCATTCAGCCCAAGGAGCAGTGGCAGGCTAAGCAAATATGGATTGAAATTGTCGGGGTAGGCCATTCAAGGATTCGAGCTTTGCAGGCTTTCCGAAAGAGAAAGACGGCATCTTTAGCTAGAATGGGTAGTATAACTGGTTTCTTAGAAGAAACAGAAACTTATTTTAAGCAGAAAAAAGTTCTATGGGGCAAAGAAGGTATAGCATTGTTTTAAATTTGTAGAATTTATTCTAGCGTAAGCGGATACTTTGAATACGAGATATTCAATTATTTTTTCTTTTCTTTTGTGATTGTACGGCCATTTCTTTCAAATTTGACTATTATTAATGTTCAACAAACTTTGATTTATATCAACGATAGCTTGTGGCGATTGCCCTTGCTGTTTAAATTCAGATTTTAGCCCAAAACAATTAACTGCTCTATCCCTACGAAGGCATCGATTCCCATTTAGTTTTATGATTACTGGCGATCAATTACCTTCCTCTTTTGAAAATAATCATTGCTATATACGTTATTCATTGCAAGCTTGTATTGAAAAATTGAATGAAATAGATCATTCTGCTAGTAGAGTTTTTACACTATTGGAGAATAGTGATGTGAATCGTTCAGAATATAAGGTATGGCCATTTTCAAGCAATTTACATCACCTAGGAAATCAATCTGTTTTAACATGCAGTTCCGTGATGATTACTAAAAAATGGATCACATCTCATGTCGGTGTTGATTCCTATTCTAGATGCCTCCACCAATCTTTGAGAAAGAAACTTACTTTCGTTGTTACAATTGTCGTTCTGGTCCATTGCGATTATTTGCAAATATTGACCATAGTGGCTATGTTCCTGGTGATACCCTTAATCTTGACGTAACCATCGAGAATTCTACCGATGCAACTGTCGATCGGATGAATGCTTCTTTAATGCAGTGCATTACTATTAAGGCTCAGAATGGTTACCAAAATGAGCGAAGAACTTGTGTTTCTGTTCAGGATGAAGAATCGGTTCGGCCTGGAGATGTTAAAAGGTGGGCCAATAAATCTATCATCATTCCAAATCTTACACCTACCATTCGCAGCAGTGGCGTTATTAAATTGGATTATTTATTAGAGGTTGGTATTTATTTCTGGGCATTTTAGTCGATTTTATCCTACTATTCGCAACAGTAGTATTGACTAAAGTGAGTTAATTATTTCGAGTTGGAGTTAATTTCTATGATTTTTAGTTGATTTTATCCTACTATTTGCATCAGCAGTATTGTCTAAAGTGAGTTAGTTATTTCGGGTGGGAGTTAATTTCTGCAGTTTTCTAGTTGACTTTATCCTGCCATTCGTAATAGCACAGTATAGTATTATTGTAGTATTCAACTGGGTTGATTATATGAAAATTGTATTACTTTCTGCCAATTTTAGTCGCAGAATTACAGTATTGATTGTAATTGAATTGATTATTTGAGCATGATGTTATTTTATGGAATTCTAGTTACAAAAGTACAGTGAAAGCTGGGTTACTTTTTCCAAAAGGGTTCATTTATGAAATTTCTAGTTAATTTTTACTTACCGTCCTCAGCAGTAGTATTACAGTTTTGAAACCGGGTTGGGTTTTAGAAGAGAGTGTTTTTTCCACAATTTCTAGTTGATTTCAACTACCATCCACAACAGCAGTGTTAGAGTTTTCTATTGAACTGACGATTATAGGATAATGCTCATTAGTGAAAGTTCTAGTTGATTTCACCTACCTTCTCCAGTAGCAGAATTCGAATGTTAAATTAGATTAGCTATGAGAGGATGATGTTCATATCTCTAATTTCTAACTGAATTCATTTCTAAAATTGCTATTATATCGGGTTAATTATTATCTACGTGTGTATAATTATCCAGATGCTCAATATCGTTATCTTTTGTTGACAAGCTACATGCCTATAAATATATAAATTAGCCTTAGTAGTTATTTTGGGTTAAGTCATAGAGGTCAATAATGTCTATGGACTCAGTATAAAAATATAGAATACTATCCTACATGAAATTATAAATTTCATGAGTTTGTGATAACTGTTTGTAGTGCAGTCCAGTGGAATGATTTTAACTAGTAAATACTGTGTAATAGTTATTATTCAATTAAAAACTAACGGGTTATAAATCGAATCCAGACATAGAATCCAAAAATACTTGCTTGTTAATTTGATTTGGACCAAATATCGCATGACCTTAGTCTCTAACAATAACTACGGAAACCATGACAGCTTGTTGTTTGACTTTATATGTGAAAGTTTAATGATGTGCAAAGCTACTCTTGCGAGATTATAGAATAGTGAGAACGTTGATAGTTCAATTCACTTGCCGCAATTTAGCTAACTGTAAAGTAGATTTAGACTGACGATTATCTAATTAGATCCCTAAAAATGAAACGATTTCAACTTTTAGTCTCCTTTGTCCACTCGATTAGATTCATTATTCAATGATAAAAAATGTTTGAGAAATCGATTATTAACATGATATAAATTAGTAATGATATGCCTCATTTATTACATTTCTAGATCGCTGTAGCTGTGAAGAACAAAAATTTAATTACAGCAACATTTCCAATTGTTATTGGTACACCGGGTATAAATGAATTAGAAAAGGAAGATTCCGTTTCGTCTGGTAAGTAAAATAAATAATATCCATTCTGTATTTGCGCCTTAGTTGAATCTATTCATGACCATAACGACCTTGTTATTGAAGTAGCAATTGTTACTAGCTATAATTAATTGCATGATTTTCATTATCGGCTATTGATTTTCATTCTAGTAGGTAGAATAGCAATTCCAAATTCATCGCTAAGCCAAGATAAGATAGATACAGCCAAGAGTAGCGGCAATGTCATCCGTAGAAATATTAACGGGGAACAAGCATTAAGCGACCGTTGTCCAAGAATACTTATTAGTATAGAGAGCACAGTATAAGTAATTTAAAACATAGTAGTCAGAGAAGGATTAGAATAAGTTTCTTCCCCTCTTTCTTTCCTAGAACTTAGAAGTATTATATTGACAGCAGATAATGGAATAGATAATAGTTCTAGGATCAGTAAGTGTATTGACGATTCTGTACCATAAATTAATCTTTTAAATTGATTTCAATTCCATTGTAAGACTTTGCTTATTCTTGTAATATAAAAGTTAATAAATAACAATATACCCAAGTTGGGTGAAATACATTGATCTGATTGTGAATGACTAATGGTCTCAACTTGAAAGTGTAATTTATATGAAGATCCAGCATAGAGCCAGTTTACAATCCTTTTCAGCCAAGCACTTCAGTTTCTCTCTCATCAAGTATCTCATGAATAACATTTATGACCGATTGCATGGATTAAAGTTAGCGTACTCGCAATGTATCTTATGTCTGCAGATATAGTTGTTATGACTAGTTAAGCCTTGAAATTTGTATAAATTGTTAAAATTATTTCAAGCATGTTATTATTGAGTAGGACATGTTTTAATTTTGCCTATACTGTATGTATGCGTGTACCGTTGATTCTGAACACATGTTCTTGGTTGCTTATGCTTTTACCGTCTTTTGAAGCATCTCACCAAGGCATAAGATGGTATTGGCAGTTCACAATTCGATTCTGAGAATGTATCTTATATATCTACCAGCATCATTGCCACCGTTCATTAAGCTTAGGCATGGATCGTGGATCGCAAAGTTATTTGAAGTAGGTTATTACAAAACAGAAGGTCTTATAGGTTTGCTTAAATTTTTACCGTCTTTTAAAGTATTTTATTAAGGTATAAGATGGATTGACGAACTAGAAATGTTAAGCGTTGGAACTTATAATGGATCGTAAAGTTATCTAAAGAGTGTTATCATAGACTGAAACATGTCCCAAGTGTAGATTCTAATAACACTATTCGCGCTATCTTTTGCTTCCTTTTTAATGAAGGTGCTTTATTAAAGCATAAGATAGCATTAGCGATTTAGAATCAGGATTCTGGATCATATCCCTGTTAACATACATTGCCAAAGCTTGCTAAGAGTTGGCGTTAATACTGTAAAGCTTTTTAACGTGTATTATTATAAAATAGAAAGTATTGCAGGTTTACGACTCGTAGTTCAATTTTAACGGAAGTGTCTAATTAAAGCAAAGGATGGTATTAGTAGTTTAGAATCAGAATTCTGGAAATAAATTTTAAAGCTATTAAGCGTAGTTGCCATGCTAGTTAACTGTAGGTATTTATAGCGAATTTTATGATTGTTCGATGTATGCTGTTTTGATTAAATAGAAAATTTTTCCACACTAGATTTAATTTTTACCTCGTAATTGATCTCACGAAGGCCTAAGAAGATGTGTATTTTTCTCGTTTGCAATTAGAATTCTGGAAAGATACCTTGTATTTGTTACCCTTAACTTAGTATACCTGTCACGATTAGCCAAACGTAGGCATTGATGGCGAATCTTCGAGTTGTTTGAAGTATGGAGTTATTACTATTAAATATTGTCGCTGTTTTCATGAATCTATCCAATAATTAAATGTATAATTTTCAAACTATGGAGTAGCAAGAACTTTATGTCTTAAAAAGCAATCACCGTTTCCAACTTTCTGTGGAACTTTATCGAAAGATGGACAATTCTGATCTCTTCTTATATCTTAAATTGTTTAATACCATATAGAACCAGGTTGAAGCTTCTTATTAACACTAAATAATGCTATAAAACTATATCAACGAGTAGATAAATAGCTTTAGCCAGACTTTCAAAAACTGTTATCCCTATATTTCCATCTATAGACTTTTATATGACGAGAAAAATGGCTCGTTTCAACCCTTCAGAATATTTATTCTATGGTCAATCATTATTGCCATATTTAATCATGGAGAAATGATCCAAACGACTTCATCTCTCTTCTCGCCAAATATGTCAATAGAGTAAAATTCAAGTCGAGTTATTTTACGCAGTGTTTCACATCAATAATATAATCCTTGCGAAGATTACTCCCAATTCAGCAAGGCGAGATTGGAAACGATTATATATTATCATGAATCATTTAGACGAATTTAATATTGAGATTCCCGATGGTAGTCATATTTTACGACGCGGTCAGCAATTAACAGGCTTAATCAGATTAAAACCTAAGGAAACATGGATAGCGAAATGTCTTTGGATCGAATTTTATGGTCGAGCAAGTATAAAAGCTAACAACGCAAATTTGTCAACATATCGGCAACGACGGGGTCGAAGATTTATGCTTTATGATCTCTACACAGAAAAAACTGAATTGTTCTTTAAAGTCAAGAAATGTCTGTGGGGATTCAATGGTAAAATGGCTACAGTCCAATCATGACTTAAAATCCAATAACTTAAATAAGCATAACTAAATTGAATTTTTCCTGAGTGAGTAAGCTAATAATTTATAATTAAGTTTTCCTTTATAACTATGAACAATTTAGGATTACCTGATGAATCTGAGAATTCGAAACTCATGGACAATCCTTGTCATTTGAAAATTTTAGCCGCTAAATCTCATCAGTTTTCCTTTGCTTTTTTCGTACCTAATGACGAATTACCTTCCTCTATCGAAGGTGATCGATTCTATGTTCGATATTCCCTTCGAGCATGCATTGAAAAGCTTAACGGAAGGGATTACTTCATGGAAAGGATTTTAACATTGAGAACTCCAGTTGACGTCAGTTCATTCAATTTCATCGTAAGTAAAAATTAGCGAATGATTGCCTTGTATTTAGGACTCTATTAAAATTCAACGTTGCAACGAATTTAGCCATGTCAATTTGTTTATTAGTCTTCTTTCTAGCACAGCTGCTTAGCATTGGAAAGTTGATTTCACTCACAGTTTTAAGAATTCATTGTGAGATGCTTTGAATTACTGTTTGCAACTTGGCTATTGCAAAACAATTGCTTTCCTAGCTATTAATCTGAACTAATTTCATAAAAGATTATTGTGTTATGACGTGAGCAGTTGTGGCAGGCTTATCCTAGAATACTTACGTTAAATCTTTCATCGTTATGTAATTATGGCATATATTTTGCACTTAATCACATAAATAGCAATCTAACCTAAACAAGTTAAATAGCAGCTAAATAACCTACTAATAGTAATGATGTCTACCTGAATTATCAAAGTAATTATCGTTATTGATATTTTTATTGGCATTATTGCATAAGCACTAACGCAAATATTTTGGTTCTAATAGCTAACGATTGTTTGGTAATACGAGATCAATCCAAATAGATTTAGGAAATGTTAAAGTAGCTTCGAAACAAGTTCAAAGCTAATCATTGTTTGAGTATCTAATTTAAGCTTTAGGATGTTCTATCTTTCCTACGAAGTCCATTATTCTACTCTATCCATACACTAGAATATCGATCCCTTTTATTTATAGTTTATTTTCATCACTCGATAACGAAAGACAGCTTATGCGAGCAATGTCTACTAATTCGATTGTCTTGACTACTATCGATTAAGCCCTTATTAAGTTTGCCATGATTGCGTAATTATCTTTCTGATCAGAAACGACGGTTAAAATTCAAGTTAAGAATATAAATCAAAAAGAATGTAATAAATCGCATTTTAGCTCTGCAATAAATCGAGTATAGGTCGATATTAAAGTAATGTGAGTGAGTTGAAAAAAGTACTTGGACCTTCGTTATATTGACATTCATTTTCACTTAAAAATGATTACTTTAGATCCCGCCACTATCCTACCAAGCCGAGAGAGTTGTTACTAGCTGGTGTTGTCATTCTAGACCAGTACGATTGTTAGTCTCCATTAATCGCAATGGTTATTACCCTGGTGAAGATATTTCATTTAGCGTAAAAGCTACAAATAAAACTAGAAAAATCCTTGGCAAGATCAAAGTGAAACTCTATCAGGTATTGAATTCTAGATTTGTTAGAGGCCCACAACGTAAATGCTACGCTCGTCAGCAGTATGATCGCAAGCTTGGACCTGGTGATACCATCTTTTGGCAAAATGGTAGAATAACTATTCCTAATATTCCACCTACCATTCAAGCTTGTGCACTAGCTCGCATTGATTACGAAGTGCAGGTTGGTCCTTCATAGAAAGTTGCTTTAGTTAATGTTTATCCCTATTAAAATCAGAAAGACTTTGACATTTTACTTTACTGATTCCATTAAAATAAAAAAGAATTCTATGCGACTATTTCCGTTGATATTATACCTTGCTCATAGTACCTACAAACCAGAGTATTCCTAAAATAAAAGTGAATTAGAAAATATTTATCGCATTATACTGTACTGTATTGCACCTATTCTAGAAAAGCCGGAATTATTCAAGATTGAATCTTATCTATTTTAGTTGATGTCAAAAAATTGGCAATTGCGTAATACTGAAATTTTATTGAATACTCGTGACTGAATTTATTTTTGCTTTGCTATAGTACCTGTTTAACTTAATTATTAAATCTTTAGATACTTTTCCTTGCTATCTTAATTAATTTGATACGTTTAGATCGAATACAAAGGGAAGTAGTTGATTTTCATTATTTTTAATTTTTAATCATCCATAGATAACTAGGCTTCAATTGTAATTGGCAGAGTGTAAGATAAGTGAGACTAAATTCAATTTACAAATGTATCTATCTACTGACACAGGCAATAGTACCTATACCCTTCGATCATGACATTATAGTAGCATTTAAGATTGTCATTGGGAGTGAACCAGTTCAAACTACTCTATCGCATCAAGAAAATACATTGCGTAAGTTACGATACATAGAATTCATCATGCACGTTGTCTTGAAATATTGCTGTACTACAGATTTCAAAACTGACAATATATAGGGCGGTAAACATAATATTATTTCACATAATAGGACAATCAACACATCGTATACGTCAATTCAGTTGCGATGAAATTGAAGAGATCACTAGAAAATTTAAAAATACCATGACATGGGAGAATGATGATGATTTTGGATATAAAGACAGCTTGGAGACTACCGTGTAAAGTACCAGTATACTCTTAAAAATTCCGTAAACTTTAAGAAGCTGTATAAAATACGATAAGATAAAGCAGCTGCTCTCCTACTTTATGCAGTACGAATATTTGTCTTGGATTTTGTCAATAGAAACGATGAAGCATTTGTTATTGCGTATTTTTGCCGCTTAACAATTACAGCATCAAGCCTAGTTTGAGAAATGAATCTGATAATACACAATTGGCTAATGTTTAGTATATCGCCATGAATCTTTAAAAAAAATCATATTTTGCAGTAAATCTAGGCAACTGTAGGGAGTTTGATAAGTGTTGCTACTGTTTTGTTATAAGTTCTGTTTATTATGCTATAAATGATATGCTTTATTCATCTTTTGCAGCTTCTTTTAACATAGAATAACTTGAAGCTTAGTTTACGAAATCGGTTATTAAACTTTTGGCAAGTTTGATATGTATAACTCTGTTCAAAATCATATAATTATAATGCTTTTAATTGTTGATAAAAGTGTCTACACGACTGCTGTATGTTCATCAGCGCAATAAGCTTGCTGCTGTTGTAAGTTGAGTATCAGAATCTTCCAGCTTTATATGCTCTTTCCGATTCCCTTCTTTCAGCATTTCTAGGGTTATCTTTTGTTCTTGATTTTTCTTGTTGTGGGTTACAGCAACATGAATGTCGCAGTTAGGTTGAATCAAATCACGCTCATGAGCAGCCGCTAATTGATTAATGATACGTTTTTCGGTCTAGAGAAAAGTAAGAAATTATAGTAAAGTATTAAATCTGCGTCGCTTCGTTAAAAATATTATTTCTTAAGAAATAGCTAAGGAATTTATAATATGACCACTTTACCTCATATTTAATCGATCTAGCGCCATAATAAACGTCATATCCGTCCGCAATAACCTCGAGAACTTCTTTGTCCCAAGTTAAATTAATATTGTGTCTATGCTTTGCCTATATAAAACAAAATATAGTTGAAGGAAACAGCGTTGATACTTTAAGAGGAGTGAATCTATTCAGAAATGCTATATATACTGTATACTGTACGTACAATTTTCGACCAATAGCATAATTCCTTGTTAACCAGTAGTAATAGTTCAGATCGAGAAAACGGTAGAAAATATAGTATTTCGTTAATTCTTCCAAGAAATTCATCGCGCCTAAAATGACTCTATATAAAATCGGATAATGTACATTTATTTAATTTTCAGCATTTTAATTTCGTTGCAAAGTAGAAAATGTACTGTATCATTTATCCAATCATAAAATGTTTAATTGAATGATTACTTTTAAAATTGGCTTTATGACTTTATCGCAAAAACTTTTAGACAGGGTAATTTTATCTTCTAAATCGCTAATTTCTTCGATGAATAGAAATAGAAATTAGGTTTAGTACAGATAGACATACAGTTAAATTATTAAGAATAGATAAAACAGAAAATCCTCAAGCCGGAAACGATGGAAGCATGGATTAATTAAAATTATAATTGAAAGATTACTGTACAAATTCTAACCAGCATCTGATTTCTTTCTTTCGATAGCTAATTCTTTGGCTTTTTTTCTCAATTCCATTGCATAATTTGCAATTTCGGCATTGCCGAGGTTGCACGTCATTATAAATATAGCGTCTTTACAGTCTATAGTTTTACCTTTCCCGTCAGTAAGCCGCCCCTGTAAGAGTTAAATAGATAGTTGGATAGATAAAGCTTCACTACTTTTTAAATTTTTATCTGTATTAGATACAATTTAGCGGTTACCAGTCACTATTGAGTCAGTATCATGTATTCAGAGAGGTTTACCTCATCAAACAATTGAAGTAAAATTGTCAATACGTCAGGATGTGCTTTATCAACCTATAAGACATTACCGGATATCGTGGTACAATATTAAGGGAAATTAGGATATAGCACTCCTAGAATTTTAATGTCACATAAATCTCTCCATGGCATAAATGAACGGCGTTACGAGTACTAACCTCATCGAGTAAAACAACAGCGTTGGAACACTTCTTTAAACGTTTTGTTAATTGACCACCTTCGTCATGACCAATATATCCTGGAGGTGAACCAATCATTTTTGCTACCTGAAAGGGTACGAGTTACGAGCAAGCGTGTGAGCAATATAAACATGTAGTTTCAATATATGATATTAAAGATTGCCTCGTGTTTTTCTTGATATTCAGACATATCGAGTCGAATAAAGCCCTAGCATAAATTGGGAATTAAAACGCTAAGGATTTGATCACATTTGTAACTGAAAAATGAACAAATCATTGCAAACATGCTATTGATTACGTTTTCTAAATCCTTGTGAATATATTTTGCAACTTGCTTTGCGAGTTCAGTCTTTCCTAGTTAAATAATAAATTTTACAGTGAATGTCGTTGAATTTGCCTGTATAACTCCTCTATTTAAAGACTAGCAAATTGCTTGCATGTTAGATAATATTTACTATCCACACAGGTACCTATTCCTGATGAGCCAAGAAAAAGAAATACCATCGGGCGATCTTCGTTATGCCAACCATTCTCTTTTCGGCGAATTGCTAAAAGTTTGTAACGCACGATGCATGTAAAATTATTAGTTTTCATTTGATCGGTGGAACAATAATCTGAATAATTGCAGTAGTTGCACTGCTAACAAATACAAAATGATATTACCAGAAGCAACTGCAGCAATAGGTAATTCTTGTCCAATAATTTGCTCTTTAATACGTTTTTCCAAAGGGTATCGTTTGCGTTCGACAGCAGCTTCCTTCAATTTCTGTGCTCGATACTACGCCATCACAACTCATATTAGTATCATAATTTTTACTTGATCTTAAATATTAAACGTTGACCTTCACTTCAGCATTTTTCAGCGTTTCGATAATTTCTTCATCATCGGTATACTCGACCGGCAAATGTCCCATTTGACTCTTCAAGTTCGGCGCAGCACCTGTTTATTGGACAAAATAGTCATTAATTGAAGTCATCAATGTGTACTATACAGTATTTTAGAACTGGAAAACGTTGAATCATGGCGCTTAAAATGTAAATTTACAGTTGAGCCTAATAAAATTTTATGTATGTACAGTAAACCGACCTGCTTCCAGTAATATTTCAATAATTTGAGTTTTGCGAAATAAAACGGCATAATGCAATGCAGTAAATCCTCTGCAATCATAGTTGGGTCTTAAACTGCTATTGAATTCAGCTTCTCTTTTTTGAATTACTAATACGTATACAATTTAAAATTATCGATATAATTCAATAAAATAGCTAGTAGCCGTTGGAAATGAATAAGTTTCAGTGAGATTGATCATCTTACCTGAATAAACATCGATGCCCTTTTGCTGAGCTATACGGAATGGTGTTGAATAGAAATCACCAGCATCGACATCGGCTCCAGCATCAAGTAGCACCTTTACAGCCCTTTACGATGTCAACAAAATGTTAGCCTGGAGATAAAGTGTCAATCTTAACACTAGGCTATTCATGATAAGTGTAGCGAGACGGATGGCAGTTCAAATGGAATCAAGCAGAGGTACAGTATTTACTTACTCTTGGCAACCATTAGCAGTTGCACATTGAAGAGCAGTCCAGCCTAAAGGATGGCGCTGATTGACATCAGTCCCATTTTGAATCAGCCTACCATGTCGAGATGGATCATATCAACGTTGTTAGGGTTTTTAACGCAACCGCTTTGATATGTATTGCAGATTGTCAATTCATATAGCAAAGGTATTTTTCTATTTTCATACATTCAAGAATACGGTTGTGGTACTGACAGTACGTTAAGATGTTACCTTTTCAATATTGTAATATCATTGACCTTTGCAGCATAGCAGAGCTTGATAATTTCACCCGAGTCTGCAGACAACGCAATAGTAGAATTTGTAAATAAATGATCAATTTTGAAAAGAATTGATGTACGACAAGTAGTCTGGATTATAGTTACTATCATTACGCTAACAGGTTTAGCTATCATCAATACTACATCAAAGGCACCAATAATTTTGTATTCCTTCTTAATCATGAATATCCGAATAGACATACCAGTCTTGCTGCAAGGTATGATGGATAACTGATCGCCATCGTTGACAGTTAAAAGGAAAAGTCCAAGTGCAGCTGTCGATAGCCACGGGACGGTACGAGCTGGGAATGAACAAGCGGAGATCGAAGGCAAGCCATAAGAATATTTTATTCTTGATCTCCAACCATCAACAGTCTTAATGACTGGATTTGTTTGCTTCGATCGTTGTCGAAGTACAAAGATTAAACGGCCAATAAGGCGATCAGTATTGCGAGCTAATTTGCAAGCGAAATTCATCGACATTGAACCAATTCTTCTTGAAAGTCGAGCAATCACTTTCTGGGTCCACCTGGAGTTCTATGACGATCAAATCAGCAACAACTTGCTCCTTTCCAAGACAGTTTTACAAGGCGGTCAACACTACAACCTAGATCGAGCAGATTAATGCTAACTAATACTAACTATAATCAAAAATTAGTCAGATCATCGATAATTATTTCTAATTCATTCTCGATGATGCAATCACGAATCAGCAAAATGTGCAAAAGTTCACCAGCTTACTTGACTTATATACAGTTATCCTGTATGTGGACAACTGGACATTGTAAGCTACAGTATAGTAGGCGTTTTCCACCGGTCGTTTGCTGACAAGCAGTGGTACGGTACTTAACAACATTTCGCTATACTCTAGTATATAATGTAGTATATTGTATAGGACGTAATACTATCTAGTCTGTTTCATATTGATTTTAGTAAAATCATAAATGCTCCCAAAGCAATCCACTCTCTTCACTTTAAATGGATTTTGAACTGGCACTTGACTAAACTAGTTTGCAATACGTGTACTGATTGAATATGCAATGCTCACTTTACCGACTTTGATCGACTGTGCAAGTAGAAGGATTGTGATCGTAGATGTTTAGCATGCTATTATTGGTAGATAGATAACGATCTACACTTACAATGTTATCTAAGTCCTGCTAATAGATGTTTATACAGATGGGCTAGAAAAACGTTGGTATATCAACGCCAAATTGAGATTCATGTACAGTCTATCAGAAGTATAGTTAGTGCATGCTACAACTGCAATAGCAAAACAAACCACTCACGAATACTGCGAGATCGATCATTAATAAATTTCTCCATCGTCCTAATGATTTGAGTTACGCACCAATGTAGTTAACAAAGTCTCTGAGCGTTAGTGTAACCTCAGACAACGAAGTACTAGGGTTGTAAGCCTAACACAAAATCAGATAATAAATGTGCACGGTAACTCAAGTTTATTTTTAAGCAAGCACGAATCTCATATTAATGGAAATCTTTAGATCAAGATAAACCTGAACCAATTTACATGAGTTATCCAATCATACACTGACTACTCATCCAAAATGCTTCAAACGCGACTCCACTTGACTCTAGCAAAAAGCAGTTCAATGCTAATCTTTAGATCAAGATAAAGCTAAACCAGTTTAGATGAGTTATTCAATCATACAATGACAACTCATCCAAAATGTTTCAAACGCGACTCCACTTAACTTTAGCTAAAAGTAGTTCATTACTTAAATATGGCGATACTGCAGCCAAATGTCAAGAAGACATGCCTGACAATCGCCTAGACTGTAGTCTATAGCTTCCCCGTTACAAGTCTCGCAACTGAGTTATATTGGATTAGATGATTATTTAGTAAGAAGTTACAAATTTGAACTAGCTCTTGACTAATAAAGTAGTTTGGAATACGTGTACAGTTTGTATATGGAATCTTTCCCTAGCCGAACTTGACCAACTATGCAAGTAGAGGGATTGTCATCGTGGATGACAGGTGTTTGGCCTACAATCATCTCTATACTGTAGCTAACGATATGTTTTTACGATGTTGTCGAAGTCATGCTAATAGATGCTTATGCAGATGAGCTACAAATAAGTTGGTATTTCAACGCCAGCAAGAGATTAAAGTCCAGTCTATGAGAGGTAGGTAGTTGGTGCTCCTCTTGGCAATACAGCAGGTAAATGTTAAGGAAGACATCCCTGACAATCGTTTAAACAATAGTCCCGAACGTTCTCGTTACAAGTCTCTCAACTTGGCTATGTTGGATTAAGTAACTACATCAATAGTTTGTTAGCAATAAATTACTACAGCATTTTGAACCGTCTCTCGATTAATTAACTAGTTTATAACGCGCGTATACAGTTTATATATGGAATGCTAAGCTTACCGAACTTGATCAGCTATGCAATTACCGTACAAGTAAAGCGATTGTGATCGGGTTACTGGATGTTTTGCATGAGATCAATTATGTAGATAATGGCATACTGTTATAATGCTGTCTATGTCTTGCTAATTCATGTTTATATGAATATGTTAGAAATGAGTTAGTATTTCAATGCCAGTTTGAGATTAAAACTTGCTCTATGAGAGACAGTTAATGCACCTCCTGGCGGCAAATAAGGGTTGGTATGGAATCGTACTGAAGGCGAATGTCAATAGGGAAATGCTTTTCGAAATTTACTTATAGTCCTAACTTTCTTGTTACAAGTTTCACAACTTAGATACGAGTAGGTTGGATTAAATAATTACACCAACAGTTATTTAGCAATGAGCTACTACTATAATAATAATTCACTATTGTTTTCCATAACGAAAATGAGTTCATAACCATTATTATCTTTTTCTGTAATACTAATATTGACATGGAAAGACATCGAATTTTAGAGCAAGCGGCTAAATTAGTTCAACTATACAATTAAAGGATCTTGTAACTGTAAGCTGCTAGCACAGTAACAATTTATCATTGATTTCTATAATGGAAAATGGATTTAATTGATAAAGTATATTTGATCATGTCATCCTGTAATGCATCACTACTGTAATTAGCTAAAGCCATTACCGTTAACCTAAAGGGAAATACTAGAAGCGTAACAATTATATATGTTAAAATCTGCAGGGAAGCCGTATAAAATTTCGAAAGGGTACAATAAATTTAGATTAAATTGACGAAAATATCACGAAAGTTTTCTAACAGCAAGCTGTTAATATAATAAAAATTCATTGTTGCTTCCCAAAATGAAAACAGGTTAATAATCATTTACATCCTTTGAGTAATACAAATATTGACATAGAAAACGTTAGATTACGAGATACGGTAAATAATTTATTTCCAGTATTACTGGAGAATACTGATTAGAATACCCAATAAGTCTAATCCTGATTGAAGTTCAAGTCGGATTCTCATTCTACTTCATTGCTTCAATTAACTCTAACAAATCTACACCATAGCCTTTGCTAGTAGTTAGGAATAAGCTTTTAATGACTTTTAAGGCAAAAATATATCCTACAGATTATTCAGCCTTTTTAATTCACTGTCATTGATTAGCACGTTATTCCATGGATATTGTGCATCGTATAAGAAATAATTGGTCTGTATATTGTCATTTATTCATAAATTCACTAATGATTAATGGATGGTACTAACCGTAAGTAGTCATGATTCATTGATGACATTTTTATTGTTCTGTAATATCGTAAGATATGTCTAGACTTTAAAAATGCGCAAAATTCGTATTTAGAAAAATCTCAGCAACAGTCTCCAGTATGCAATCTTCTGCATAATAGCATGTCAATTATGATAAGGGATGCCAATAAATTAATTAAATAGAAAATAATTCATTAGAAATGAATTTTTTAAATTGGGAGAATAAGAAGATAATGACTAATTTAAGTGCCAATCTCTCGCTCTTGAATATAACTTCAGCAACGTGCCTTCCAGTCGGCATCATGGGCATACTGACTAATTTCTTCCTTCTCGTCATTATTTCTACATCAAAATCTTTAAAAGATCCGATTTATAGGATAATTGCTAATATTATGGTTTGCGATTGTATTAGTTGTCTTCAGTTTTTTGTTATTTTCCTCGGACTTCATCTATTAAAAGATTCAACATTTCATACTAGTCAAATTTATTGCAAGACTCTGATGTATTCCATGTATTCGACATATAACGTGTCTGCTCTTAATTTAAAAGCTATTAGCGTTTATCGTTATGAAGCAGTTGTTAAAGCTTCACGAATTCGTTTTAAAGAGCTTGAGCTGCGAAAGATAAGAAAATTATTAGTATTGATATGGGCTACAAGTTGTCTATTTTCTATACCATCGTGTTCTTTAATGAAACAAATTTTCTTATAACTGGTTATTGCGAAATTGGCTATATCCAAAACAATCTGTATTTAACTCTCATTTACTATCTTATTGCAACCGTAATCACTTATCTTATACCGTTAATCGCCATGATTGTTAATTATTCAAGATTAATTAGGCGGTTATAAGGATATGTAGCCCCGGGAGAAAATCGAATACAAGCTATCCGTCGGTACCATTATCATATTACTAAAATGTTACTAGCCGTTACCACCGCATTTATGCTCTTTAATTGTCCATTATTTGTAAGCTTTAATTTTCTAGCTGGCAACTTTAAAACCTATTACTTGCTACGGCAGCAAAGCTTCATCTTATATCTAATTTTTTTGCTATAATTGCCTCTAGCTGTGGTTGTAAGTGCTATTAATCCAATATTTTATGTTGCATTCGATAAGAATATCTCCAAAGAGGTTAAACAGATACTATATATTAATTCTAGTAGCCGTATAAGATCTACCAGGGTTGTTTTAGTTTAAACTGATACATAACTCTAATTGTTACTGACACGGATATTAACATTATGTTAATTGAACAATATTGAAAACTAAGTCATAATGATATTATCTATCGCAATCACAACGTAATTTTAATCAATATTGGCAAGATTAATAATAAAACTTGAAACAATTATTATAATGATTTATTATTCAAGCGATAAATTCTTTCCATCAGCACCTAGAATAATATTAGAAGTCTTTTAATTGTAATATTAGTGTATGATTAAAAAATAGACTCAGTTTATAATTGAAATTACCACACCTTATGGCCTAAACTTCGTGGAATTAGGCTAAACAGGGTTGGAGAAGAGAATATATTCAGTGTTCTATCGTTATTGTAAATGACTAATAGGGTTTGTTCGGATCAGATTGAAAGATTATAAAAATAATTCGGGTAATGAGTATATTATAATTTATAACTGAAGCTCCATTGTAATATCATGAAGAATGACGAAATGGAGCTAACTGGGCTTCTAGATTTGCTTTTAAAGTAGAAAAAGTGGATACAGCTGTAACTATTTACAATTTTTGTCTTCTTAACTGCAACTCAAATTAAGTGTGGTATTTAAAAAATACAGTTCGCGCAATTATATAAGCCTTAATACTGTATAAAACTTCAAAATCTTACTAACTTTAAAATTAATAGTCATCTCTGGTCCATTAATGTCTCCGACTTGTACATATTTCCAATATAATCCACAAATATTAAAAATGTAAAGAAGTTCCCATCAGTTATTATTAGTATATTGCATTGCATTTCGTGATCCCCAGCCTTCGCTAGGGATGACGACAAATTATACGCTAGTAACAACAGTATCATCACGTAGTTTTAATTTCCTTCATAAAAATAATAATTTTTCCGATAGCAATTGCGGCTCCCTTACTGTAAATATTCATCCAAAAGTAGCTCATTCCGTTCAGAAGTGTAAAATGTTAGTTAAATTTTAAATACTTTTATTGTATGGTATAAAGCAAATAAGATACTAACCGATAAGACAATAAGCTGCTACGTACTTTTGTAACGTAAAGAACGGCTGGAAATAGCAGCATATTTTAGCAGTATTACTACCTGAGCGAGCTGGCTTTTAATAGATTTAATGTGTTATATGCTTTTGCTTTAGTTCTTGTTACAAACTGAACTTTACAACAAGAAAATATAAACTACTAATACCACGAGTTTATTGTTCAACTTGCCCTCTCGGTGTTTGTTCGTATCGCAACTCATTTACTAACGATATCGTATCATCGTGAGGCCACCGTAACTACACAAATCTCTAAGACCATATTCTGAAACTTAAATTTTATTGGAAAGCCAATTAATGCACCGGGTAACTACGTCAATAACATCATCATTGGATAAAATTATAATAATGTACTTCGATGAATAGACAAATACAAATATTCTCAAAGATATGCAGTAGCTCTATCTAATGACAAGCATGAATCTACGTCATATGGAAGCGACATAAAAATTAGCTCTAAGACACTTTACCGTAATTGATTTTGTCACAATCCATTATCTATTACAATATTGTTGGTCTATGGACATATCTTCAGAGAAACAATATCATTTTATGCTACAATCAGTAATGTCGGTAAAATGTGAGGATATCGTAAGTTAGGGGGATTGTTGGTATAAGTTAATAGCTGAGTATGCCATACATTAGTTAAAATGACCATAAGATAATTTCTTTACTGACAAACATACTGTGTAGAATTGCTTATTATTATTATTGAGGACGGGGTTAAAAAATATCAGAGCGATTGATGGCTATACTAGTATGGATTAAAAATGTTAAATTAAGTAATCCGTGTTTAATATAGCACTGCACAAGTTGTACTATGAATTGATTGTTCGAATAGCGATTGCAGTCTTGACTGTTAGTGAATTTGTAAAATCCTTATCAAAATCTAGTGAATAGTTGGTTTTGTTGATCATGTAGATTCATAAGCTTTTTCTTCATAATTGCTGGCTTAGATTGGACTCGATTTCTTGATCTCCTAAATGAGTTTCCTAAACGGGCAGCCGGACGAATAAATAATCCTTTAATTACGGCTGCATTTGTAAAGGTATATAGGAATGGATTAAGGGCTGAATTAACAGGCAATGCAAAAATACCAACAAATTGTAATGTAACAACATCAACACCGTCGCTGCTAAAGATAGCATAACTGTTAACTACATAATAAGGTACCCAACTAATTAAATCGGTTAACAGTATGACCGATAGACGCCATGCGAGTGATTTGTTTTCCTTAGTAGGTGATCTTCCGGCTGCTTTACGGGTATTTTGGGCTGAGATAAACATTCCAATATAAAGTGAAGAAGTAATTATCCAAGCAATAATAGTCGTGGTTATATAGGATATCATCCAGATGCGATATAGAGGGTGCTCATAATTGCTTGGCATGCACATGCTATTATAGGTATATAATCGCTCAGGACCAGGTTTATCGATACTGAATAGTGCTGGCACAATTGCAAATGCAAAGCCTATTAGCCATGCCATACCAGTGATCATTTGAGCTGTATACCTGCTCAATTTTTTTCCTTTAATCCCATAAACGATAGCGATAAATCTATCGATACTGATAATTACCATTAGAAACACAGATACAATACTTGATGTAGTCACAAAAACACAGGATGCTACACATAGACCACTTCGTAGCCAATTTTCAGATTGTAGACCGTATTGACCTTGGCCGCTATAAATTAAATTAGCGGTCGCAATTATGAATAAATATATAGACATGATAAAATCGGATAGTGCTAGATTATTGATTAAGAATATGTGAACTTTCTTTTTAGTCTTTTGTCTAAGAAATTGATTTCGTGCAATAACCATAATGTTGCCAAAAAAGGCCAGAGAACCAATAACCCATACAAAAGTTTGTAATGAAACATGAGCAAGGAGATGTTGACACGATGATAAAGTATCAGATATCATCGATGGCTTACACGTTGTAATTTTAGCAGGTATAAAGCAGCAAAAGTAAGGACGATTTGTTAGCCTATTGAGACATATCGTAGTAAAGAGGATGGTACATTTTAAGTTCTGATGTCGATGCAAATGTACTATTTGAAAGTAGAATAGTTGGTTAGCTATTGTTATTTTGACTTACGTTTCTTCCAACTTAGATGGACCAAAGAAGGATTCTCGAGATATATGTGCTAAAGAATTCATTCGTAAATCTCTAAAAATTGCAGATAGTAAATGTCTTATCATTGGAAGATGCGGTAAAGATTACCTCGCGTAATGAAATAAAGGTATGGACATAATAGTGTTAGCAAAAAGTTACTTCCTGAACCAATATAATATACGAATCGGATATTTATAAAATATCAGAATACTGTACATTATAAAGGTCACTAATATGGTACAGCTTTTGAATTATTTCAAAGTTAGTCCAGTATATGAACGGCTTTGCATGATGTATGTGCAAGTTAAGTCTCAATTTTTACAAAACAAAGCGTAGTAGATAAAATTATCAGTGAAAAATATAGAGTATTAAAAGTAATATAATTTGTTCATTGATTGTGTTCAACATCAGTGAATATTCAGTATAACAATCTTCTTCACCTAATAATCAAAGCTAAAATTGTTTGCTTGCTCATACCGTGATGAGAATGCTACTACCTGTTCATAACAACGTCGTTTTATAGTTATAGCACAAAAAATATTAAGTAAAAGGAGCAATGGTAGTAGTACTAAAATGGTGCCATTCTGTCTTTGTTGAACTTACAATTTTTGCAGGCTTGATAGTCCTTTAAAGCATCTCTTATCGATCCTGTCAATCTTGTTTCCGCTAGCATCACTTTAATCAATTTACGATTTGATAATTTTTAGTCAATAATCTTTGTTTTTACTACTACCAACAAAAATTAACCTAAATTTCTAAAATGATTATTAAATACCCACATTTCGATTATATTGAGAAACTGTCCAGCAAAATCTAGATTTGGGCCACATATTATCTTGATTCGATTATTGGAAATATTGCTGATTCAGAGAGATAAAGGTATTAGATCCATGCTTCTTAATATACTCTGTCAGTCTTAATATCGTGATACTATCGTTTTCTAGTTATGAAATAAATCTACGAGGGCTACCGGTACTGCCTTCGGATTTCGAGGTTAAAAATCTAATCATGAGTATATATTTTGCATTACATACATTACATTACATACATTATACTTACAGCTTTTTCAGCTTTTCAAATCTAACTAATTTTGTAACTTTAAATCCTGTTAGATTATTGTTTGCAAGACTCCTGCAATAAATATTCGGATATTATAGCAAAAATTGCATATACGCTTATTTCTCTAAAAGCTCCTATCGCGTAAAATGAGAGCTTAATCATAAATCACCATATTTACACAAGTCACTTTAATAACTGCAGTAAATAGGCCGCATATGAATTATGTAGAAATTACATATTATAATAGCCAAGAATGGCTTTGATGTCGCAGTAGACAGTCCGTGATTGCAACAACAGCTAATTAAATATAGCTGAACCAACTCTGTCAAAAAGTCTTATAACTGAGTGCCACTGTACTTAGTAAATAGTGTATTCTTCCTACGTAACTTACTACCACAGACATTAGACTGTTCTAAACGGTTGTACTCTAGCTTTTGTTTCTTTAGTTTGATATAATGGTAGGAGTATCACTTTACATTAGGTAAACGAGGTTTGTAAGACTTAAGATCATAATAAGGATCTATTCTGATGTGTGACAATTGTCCACTATTCTTTAAATAGATGTATCTGATATTTTTTACATTAATTTGGAATATGAGTAGTTAAATCATCTTACAATTCCATTAACACATTTGCATCATTGACAGAGATGTCGACCATATCAAATTCGCTTAAGTTGTTGTGATTTAATGATCTGTTAATTTAGAAATATTAAAATAATCCGCCGATAAATCTTTAGTAAGGTTTTGAAATACCATCATTATCTATATAGATCATGGCAATAAATTCCAATTCAAAGTTAGTAGTGGTAGCGAGCTAGAAAGGTAACTCTCACGTAATATTATGTAATGTTAAGTTAAGATACTTACATAATTCTGAGATCATCAAAATAAAAGGCTTTTCTTGGAATTTTCAAAATGTTACATTTATTTAATTGGCTGTAAAGGATTTAGATATTAAAGTTAGAACTGATAGCACCATATAAATATGTGATGAATCATTCTATTTTTTATGACCTAAATTTATTTCGATACTTAAGAAAATTAGTACTTTAGTTCTTAATATTTAAAACTGAATGTTACGCACAATTTATGACTTAAAATCTTTGATATGGAATCATAAGTACGCAAAATTTTAATTTTATGGTCTTTCAGCTATTACTCGTTCATAAAAATTTTCCAGTTTCTACGTATACATGTATAACTTTCAAAATGCTTCAATCATTTTTGGTACTATTTATAACCCCTACTTAGCAACACTTTTGAAGACTAGATTTAATTAGCTAGGTGAGTTGAAATAATAATTTGGTTTTCAATTTGCGTTTAAATTGATTTAATAGTGACTGTTTTTACATGTTAAGCTGTATACTTTTATGTCTAGCCTAACTTGATCCTAATATTTAACTTTTCGATAATAACGACACATTCTGTAAACATTTCTAATTCCTGTAAGGCGCCTATTATTATCCTCGTATTATGCATCATAATAAACTCCTGACATACCTATAAATGGAATGTCAGTAGTTATTTATGGTTCTGGTCAGATATAAACTGGATTTATTTTATTTCTCTGGCTCTATATTTATGACTTGAATCAACTGTAAGTACATGAATGCTGAGTTTTTATTAATTATGTGTTTGTTACACATTCACTTTACCGGATTTAAATTTAGATGTTTTTGCATGTTAAGAGTAATTTTGATCTAAAACTATTGTCAATATTATCATGGATGTAAAATTGTGATGTGAATTCGCTAATGGATTTGCATTAACGACTGTGATGCTTTTAGATGACGATGATAAAGATATAACGTAATTACTATGAATGCAAAGTATAAAGTTTAAGATGGATATTGTCTCACTTTTAGTATAAGATGTTAGATTGCTAACTTCTTAATTGGGCTAAATGTGCTAGCACTCATTATCAATTAATACATATGTGCCCTATAATAAGTATTATAAAACTAAGTCTATAGAAAAGTATGTTAATTGTATAAGCCTAAGAATTAATTGTTTTGTACCAGAAAGCTTGGCAAATGTATAAAAGAGGATTCATTTATTTAATATAACAGTGAGGTAATTGCAGTTGCTGAGTAGAGTACGCTATCATCGATAAAGATCTCATTAAGTAATCACCAAAAAGCTTTTTGTCTGTGACTTACTATTGCCTAAGATTATGCACTAGGTCAGTGAAGTTTGTGGCGCTTAGTAGTAGGGATACTGTACCATAAAAACTAACGGTAGTGAAATAGGGAGTTTTTTAAATGTCGCAAACGCGGTTGTGATGATGTTGTAATTTCGATCGTTTGATTTAATTACTACTATAAAGTACTAGTGACATTGAAAAAGTTCTTGGAAATATTGTCTAGAGATATATCTTGTACCGTTATTTTCTTGTCTAAGTGCTACCTAGAACTGCGTTGTATTTCTTAAAGCACAATAATACTATATAAAGAAGTACTTTAAACTTTGAAACATTACAAGAAACTGTATGAAGATTGTACGGTCTAAAATATCAAAAATGATTATCTCGTTTATCTTAGCCAAGGATCAAATCCGCTTTGTATGAATTTCTAGTGAAGGATGTAGCATAGAGTGTAGTCTCATTTTGTATAATTTTATATGAAATTATAATAGCTTTAGAAATTGGCTAAATCTTGTTCGGATTATTTTAGTCACTTTCGACAGTTGGGAAATAAAGTACTAGTACGACGGATCTTGTATAGATGTTTAATAAATCTTCAAAAATTAAAGACTATATATACGTGTATATATTATGGTCATCATTATTGTGAGATAAGGTAGAGTTTTGATAATTTAGCAAATAAGGCAAATTTAATCGGATTGAAGTGAGCAAGATGAAAGAGTTACGAATTTCGATTTAAGATAGCTAACCTAATAAGAAGAGATAATTATCAAGGATTGGCGATCCTATCTAGTGCAAGTAGCGCTATGTTTTGATCATCTGATTACTATCATATTTCTTTATATTCCGATTATATAAGATTCTATATTAGATATTTAGCCGATTCACAAACAGTTTTGTGTATCCGCAAATTATACTATGCAATATTGATTTCATCTGATCCCTGCGTTTCTTTAATTAATTTTAAATTTACACACATTGGCGTAGCTGCAGCTACTAAGAAATCTACATGTAAGATCGTTTACTAATAGCCTATAGTGCAAAGTGCATATCTAGATTACAGTGCTTTATGGACCTTACTTTTTGCATATTCCATGTTAGTATTATTACTTAGCCATGTTTTTGTTATACGATATGAACATGTTAATAATACATTCTGTTATTTAATGATATTCTAACTATAATGTATAGCATTTCTTTATCTAACATCTTCTATTTCTGTTGTTATTTATGAGTTACAGATTCAATAAATACCAGTCATTCTTGTTTTGAAAGTAACTCTAGTATTCAATAGTTCTGAACTCTCAAGTAGTTGATTCTTTTCGAACAAACTACGCTTCAACTTTTCTATATTTCATCTCATTTTACTTGACAGAGTTCATATATGCATAACATAGCCGAATAACCGAATAATCTAATTAACTAAGCATTCTAACAAATGCTAAAAGCAAGTTATCGTAAGAATATAGAGATATATCAGAGGAATATGCTATTATTTAATCTAATCTACTATTAAACTCTCATTCGATTTATTTAAATATAAAATTAATGATTCTATCAACTATTTTCTGTATTTATGAATAAAGTACATAGCTGCATACTTATTCTCATACTGTCCAGTTGTTATTATTAGTCAGTGTTATTAACAAATACAGTGTAATAGAAACTAACCTTTTGCGGGATAGAGTAAAATATTCCTTATTTTGACTACTTACATGCCAGTTAGGAATGGCCCAACACGGTCGTATAAATCTCTCAGGAAGGAATTTAATATTATTGGATTATCACTCACATCTCTATACGCTCAAAAATAAATACAGATACGATCGTTAACATTTTCCTGATGGTATATCTTTTAAGTTATAAATATCTAATGAAAGCTCAGTAAAATAAACTGGTGATATCAAATGGAATATCGTCTAAATTATATATAGCTAATGATAAAAATTAGTAAATAAAACTGGCGATATCTTGTTTTTCAATTAATAACATTACAAATTTTAGATCCTTAGTAATTATATCATTGTTTTATGTACATACAGTTTTAAGTTTTTCATAGTCGGCATTCCGTTAATAATTCCAGCCCAATTATTCCCTGCTAATTTCCTATGAAAGTAATCGACAAGGCAAATCATTAAATTTGTATAAGCGTATCAATACTTATAGTTAGAGTTTACTTTGTAAAGAGATTTATATCATAAATAGGCTCTATAGTGGCTTGCTATCTAAGTAAATTAATAACGACCCTAATCTGAAGTCAGATCACCAGCGTATTACTTCGTAAAACGTACAAGTCATTAATCAGCTTTAATTTTTCAAGCAAGTCTTTCTGCATATTTATTCCGTTTGTAATCAAATTGGTATAGCTCATATCACTATCGAATAAATACAAAAGCAAATGGGTCACTTAATTCCAAATGCGTATCAAATAAATCATAACAAGTTATTTATGGAGAGGTTCAATCAGTAACCTACATTTTGGTAACTTGATAGAATAACTGATCACAATTAGGATCAAACTTTTTGATATTATTATTTGCTAAAATTCTTAAATTAGCCAATTAAGCATAATAATTAGAGAGTAATATTTCCAGAAATAATTAGCTTTCAATTTAAATACTTAAGGGTGACCGTAGTTAGTAACAGTATCATCAATAAAGAGAAATTGTTAAATGAATTTATTATTACTTACATAGATTTTAGTATTGCAGGCAATCCTGAGCAGTTCAAGTATTTGATGTTGTTTCTCGCTAAATTGCTATAATAAAAGTAGACTTGAGAATTCTATAAGAATACGATTTCATAAATGATACGGTACAGATGTAAGATTTTTTACTCTAGGTTTGATACTATAACATAAAAAGCTACGAAATAGTAATTATATTGAAAATTTAGACGAAGAATTTAAATATTCGCGTTCCCTGTTACAAGTACAAATCTTTAGATTTTATTCGTCCTATTTTCACTTACAGCTTTTCAAGAAAAGTTAATCCCAGATTATCTTGATCAGACAGTGTTATAGCATTATTACTTAAATCTCTAAAAAAAGAATTTTAGTATGCCTGAGCTTCTAGATCATTCATTTACTATATAGTAACTGAAATGGTTATTTATTTAGCTCACAGAATTCTTAAATTTTTGTAACGCGAAAATAATTTGTTTCCCAGCATCGTAATGTAATTGTTGCTTAAATATCTGAAACAAAGTCACTTCAATTAATTTAGAAAGCTACACGCATAAAATGTACTACCATTGTGATTACATACGTTTAGAATTGTATATAGACTAAATTTATGAATATTCCTAATTTGCACTTACAATTGGCTCAGATACGGCAGTTTCACTTTAAAAATTTTGCCAACATTTCTAATATTATTGTAATTTAAGTTCCTTGTATACCGAAATATCATGAAGATATAAAATGATAAGGAATAACTGGGCTTAGCTACAAATGAAGTAATACAATTTGTCTTACAATATCCGTATGTTGCTTAATCCTCCCAAAAAGGTATTTTGATGATCGGATATATGATTATGATGTAGATATCTGAATCATATACAGACGTTATGAATTAATTTATCAGGTAATCATAAATATTTTACTACAGTTAGCAGTATATATTTCCCTGTGTTCTTACAAACTATTTAACATCGTATTTTTAAAAACATTTTCTGGCAATGTTCCAATGTGGTTGTAACCAAGGTATCTGTTAAACATAAATGTAATTATACTGTACTTTAAAAGATATATTTTTCTTTCATGCCATCCTCTCTGGATGAAAAGATTGTTCAGCACTATAAATTTGTTGATAGCTACTCGTATACTTTATAAATGAGTACAATTAATTTATTAAATAATAAAATATTCTCAAGATTCATATTAACAATCGGCGCTTAGAAATATAATCATTGAATGTGACATAAATGACGATCATAAGACGTCTTGTGCAGTCAATCGAGTACAATTTTGTAACGGTAGTGAATCTACTGTGATGAATGATATCTTACTTAATTTAGACACGTACATGTATCACGATAAGATAGTTATCAATTTGGATATGTGCATGAATTATTTTATGACTTAATTAATATAGCCGATACAAACCTGTTCCTAATACAGGCTAAATTACACTAAATATAGTATATGAATTGTCAATGGTAAATTCAATATAAATCCTGTTAATTATAAGCTAGTGAAAACATAAAGTTAATATATCGTAATATTACAAAGTCATTGGATTAGGCTAGGAATAATTTAATGTATTCACTAAGTCTTATTGGTCGAAATATATCACACATCGTAAACCGATTTTATGGCTAGAATAGCTATTTTAATGATTGATTTAGAATATTAAATTAGACTCGTATTTTCTAGAATAAAGATATAATTAGAAGATTCCGAAAGTGCATTTCTTAGTTATTGTTACTTATCTAGGGTAATCTAATTAGTTTAGATTAGGCAAGTTTGGTTAAGTAACACATTTATACTTTTACAAAGTTACTTACAATTCTTTAAGACTTCTTAAATCTTTAAAATCATCGGAGTCTATTGCTTCAATGCGATTATTTGCTACAGATCTAGGCATTTAAAATGACAATTAAATGCTTTAGCATTTGGTATTTGGCAGTATCAAGATAAATTAATTTTTCTTTATATTACCGAGTAGGTTATGGATTGCATTCAAAAGCATCGCAACATTAAAATCATTCTAACGAAGTACCACTTTACGGTATAAAGTTACTGAACCTCTGTTAAATGAGCACATTATCGTAAACCGTCAATAAAGCGACGGGAGTTTGCACTAGTGAATTCTAATTTAAACACCTTGCGAAGATTTATTGTTATAGGCACATGCTCTTTATATGGTATTCTTAATGAAAAAGTATACTAACTAATCTTATTTTCGTAGACAAATATTTACACCATTATTTCTAACGCTATCATTTTATACTTTTGCACTTATACTGATAAGCTGTACAAGTTAGCCTGGACTTACGATAGAAATAAAATACTAGCAAAATTCCCTTTTCAATATATGTCTTACGTGAATACAAATACGTCATTATAATCTATGATATACTATTCAAATTATACTTATTTAATCAAATTTGATAACAAGCTAGGCTAGGAAGTTTATAAGCTTACAAAGCAACAAGTTGAGATAGTGGTCTTATAAAATCTATCTTTCTTAGGTTGTTCTTACCCAAAAATCTGAAAAATCGAAACAAAAAATAAATTATCAGAAAGCTTAAAAAGCTTACAAAGGTAGCTTGCCAATGCTTTATCCAGAAATCAGCTTAAAATGAATCGCTCTTACGATTAAAATATTATGAAGTAAATGATTTAATCGAATTTTACATGCCAATTAATTTAAGTAATATTTCTGCTGATTAAACTTACAGTGAATGTAACCCTGACAATGGTTTTAGTGCGTCTGTCTTAATAGAGTTTAGATTATTGGAAGAAATATTTCTGCGGGATTTGAATAGGAATTAGTAACTTAGAATAAATTTTGAAATTATATCTATAATTAATTTATCAAATACTATTTGAATTAAGTCTATGGCAAAAGATAAGGACGATGCTCTGTCAACCTTATAACATTTTAATAATTCAGATATTAGAAATTTCCAAGTATCTGTTGCAGATTAAGCTAAATTATTTTAAATAAAATTACAGCAAGTGAATTGGCTTTCAATGACGTGAATTTGATTATTAAATGGTAACTTTGTCAATTGTAAATGGACAGTATTGAATACAGTAATATAATATTAACATGTTAGCCGTAATTTGTGCCGTATCTTATTAGATACCCCAGTACTAGAGCTTATATTAGAGTAACACACATTACTGTTACAGAATTACCGTAAATTTCTTTTAAAGTTGATTATTGTGTTTTACAATACTCTCCATCAAGAAAGTTCATTATCTGATAATTTACATCTTAGGTGCAAACACCGTTGTCATTAAACTTTTTAATATTTAAATTATAATTACGTCATAATAATTTCTATCATTAATTGTTATAACATGTTAATTACCGTATTACATATCACTATGCATGCTTTAGGAGTAAGATAATTACAATTTTCATATATTGCCTGATGCCACATACAAACCAATAGATAAAATATTAACGTAATATCAATGTAGTTCTTTATTTGTTAGCATACCTAAAGATACCTTCTAGAAATTATCATATTAGATATCATGTCATCTTAGCGTCTTCAAAATAATTTCTCAACTAATACAGTATAATTTAATGAAGAAGTTTCTGTTCTAGCAATGTATTCTAATAATTACAAATCATTCTCTCTATCTCCGTCCAACTAGAAACTATTGACACTATATTACACTTGAATTTAAAATAACATAACATTAAGCACCTGAAAAGGAGGTATCAAATCTGGAGGTGATAACTCAACAAATATGCTCCTAGTACTACACTAGTTTAACCTGATCAAACTTTGATATTTACTAAAATCGAGTAAGAAATTATTAAGAATCAGCACGAAAGATTTTAATATGAACTTAGCAGTTAGACTTCCTATATGGACATTTTATCTTAACATTAACAAGACTTTTGTGCTACTATTTAACATAATTGGAAAAATTTCCGTAAATATCAGCATAAGAATTAAGGTAAATATGCTATCAGACTGTGAATATGCATAATAGCTATCAAACTGTTATGTACAAATGCTGGTAGCTATTTTATTTCCTCATATATTGTCACTTACAGTGGGGCTAGATAATTTAATGCAGAAAAATTGAGTGGATTTGATTGATGTAGCTTGTTATAAGATAAGTTACTGTTTCAAAGAAGATCTTCACTAAGGTCATATAGTCTTAAAGTGATTACTTCTTAAGAAATGCAGCAGTAATTAAAATTATTGCTTTAATTATAACTTGATGTTTTACAATGGTTACAATTGCAACTGAATCATGATCATAAGCATTACAGGGTTCTGCAGTCTCCAAAGTCTAAGTTTTTTATTGTCGATAGGAAATTATTGGTTAAATCCCTACATTGAAAAAAGATATCGAAAGATTGAGTAATCAGTAGATAGAAAAATTATTAAAAGATATGCTAGTGTATCAAAGTAAGTTTAAATAAGATTAAATGTTTCCTATAATACAAGTATGATTGTGAAAAGTGCTTGTTCCCATTTTCTTGTTAAATTACTGAGTGCAAATGTGGTTAGGGTTAAGGTTACACTATTTGCTCAATATCTTTCAATTTTTATTTGTATGGTATAGCATTTGAGCTGTGAAAGTGTCTACTTCAAGTATATAACGCCTATAAGACTTACAAAGTCTCTATTATAACTGGGTTACTTGCTCTGTTGCGATTTTCGTCCAGCTTCAATGGATATGATCTTGATAAACCCCTTCGTAAGTCAATAATAATCATAAATAATAAGCGTAGAAAAAAACTTTTCCAGTTGAAAAGTGTAAAATGTAATGTTATATCCTATTTAGGGTCTATATATATAATAGTTTAGTTATGGTTATTCACTTAAGAAGGCTTTTATGAGATTGAATTATAAGTGAGAAGTACGACATACAAAAAGTTCATCGATGCCGTATTGGGTAAATTGAATTCTCGAAAATTTCCAATAGGATTACCACTAAGCTGTCTAATAAAATTATATTAGAAATATATTTAATTACTTTACTTATTTATCTCTTATTATAATCTTTGTTTATAATTGGTGAAAGTAAACAGCATATAATTATATCGTTAGGAATCAGGCTATATAGTGAAGGAGGTAACAATGATAGTGTACTTACAGCAATTTTAGTTTGTTTAGTCCGAAAAAAGCTTTCCTATCAACATGTTTTATGTTATTTGTTTGTAAACGTCTGGAATACACGTAAAACATATCAAAGATAAGCATTTAAATATTATATTATATAAATACACTGAAGATATGTAATTCCACCTTCAGCAACAATATACCGGACGAAGAAAAACTTCTTGAACTATTAACTGTAAATCATTATCACTATTTTTAATTATTGTTAGATACGATTTGATTAAGGTTACAGTAAACTAAATGAGGGATTTCAAGCGAAAATCTTCTTAACTGCAATCTATATAATGCACCATACATTACATGATACGCATTCTGTAAAGCACACGGTACAGCATGTAATTTTATTACTAATTAGTAATTCATGTTATCGTATAGCGTGTAGAGTAGAATGAATATTTACTTAACCTTAACTTATAAACAGTGACATTGGAAGCAACAGTTGTTAAAAATAAAGCCTAATTGTCTCTTTAATAATGTACTTTGCATGTGCTAGTAAAAAATGATTAAAATTAACGAATTCCGAATTTTACCAGTTACAGTGATCTTCTACTTCTTTTGAGTTAGTTACAGACTACGATAATAAGCTATGCACATAACTGTTCCGGAAAATACATTCATTTTCTATTTTATATGTCTAACAAGATCGACTTGCAGTTTCATTAGATATTTTGACATCATATAATGATTGAAAGATGGATGAAGAACAAATTGTAGTTTCAAATTTTACTTAGGATTCGCAAAAATATTACAATATCTAGGCAAAGACCATGCCAGCTTACAAATTATGGAGATTTGAAAGGTACTCAAACTGATTGGGAGCTAAATTTTTGAGTTCATTTTCATTTATATTTCTAGCCAATATTAAGTATTGAAAACGAGCAATTATTAAAATGACAGTTAGACCAAATGTTATGATCTCATTAATAAAAGCAGTACTAGTGAACTTACAAGTCCTGAAGTCTGACTAACGGTTGCAAACTTTCTGAGCTCAAATCGGTTAATTTATTTCCTGCTAAATCTCTTATCGACATAACATAAGAAACTATGCAATTAGTAGATTGATATTCACATGTTATGCGTAAATAGCTTAATAAATATGATGATTGTAATAGAGAATATATAATATGTTGATGAATAATTGCATGTTCTTAAATATACTGGTACAAAGTCGGGAAAATTTTCTAATGTATTATTATACAGCATTTATATGTGAGTTATAATGGCCAGCTAAATAGCTACGAATAAGAAAGGACAGGTAAGTTATGATGTATGAATGATATTTTATCTTCTAAAAGTTTGGAGAAAATTCTAGGTTTGTTATGATTGTATACTCACAGAATAGCAACTTTGTCTAGGTCCTTAAAAGCGGTAGCATCGATCTTAGAAATATTATTAAAGGGTAGTCTCCTAAAAATTTAATTTGATTAATCTTGATAGGTATTTCCTGAAAGCTTTAAATATGTAATAATTGATTCTAATAAATTGATTGGTATTAGGTTAATTTCCGTTGCTAACTTTTACTTTCAAAATCTAAATCTTGTGACGCTTATATATAGATTAAATAATTACAGGGTTATAAGGCTTTTGAGGCCCTTGAACTGGTAGCTATCCAACGAAGTTAACTTGCCATTAGTGATATTCCTATTCAATATTTAAAACATCAATTGTTATTTTAGAAGTAACTTCAAAAGATATGTCAGTATCTAACTAAGTGCACTTTGTTACCTAGCTATTAAAATATAAAAAATCTATTAAAACTTCTCTTTTTGAAGGTACGAATACGTTTAAGTATAAGGTCTCATTTAGATTTAAAATTCCAACTTTCTTTAACAGAATTCGTCAGCACTACTGTTGGTTATTAACTGAGACTAATAGCGGTTTAAAAATATTTAACTTACAAAATTGTTGTCTTAACCGTCGATTTAAATAATTCAGGAGGAAGATTCAATATGGGATTGTAATCCAAATTTCTAAAAAATATATAGTTAATTAGATGAATAATGCACTGGAAAAAAAAGATCATTTGCTAATTTTGTATTCGCTGAGGTAACGAGTAGTTTATTATCTTAAACTAGCCATGAAAATCTATAAGAAACTAGTTCGTATGGAAATTTTTAATTAAATTCTTATTTATTTTATGTTGATATCTGCAGTTCCAGCGACTTTGTACTATTTTCATACTTACATCAATTTAATTGCAGTCAATGGCTGGAATGATGTTGAGGCAATTAATTGGATATTATTATAATCTAAATGCCTTTATTATTCCGGTTAGAAATCGGATTTAGGAAATTTTGTTTTCAATTATTCAAGATAATTGAATTTGGGTTATGTAATAGTAACTTATAATAGTGATCATTTGATTCTTACAGTTCCCGCAAGTTTGGAGCACATATAGTTTCAGGATAAATAGTTGTTAGATTATTACGATCTAAGCTCCTAAAAATGAAAACCAGTGGTGTGTTATCATAAGCTTATAATCCAATTAAATGGCTGATATCTTATAGGAAAAATAGCTGCTAAGAGCCGAGATATTCACGGCTTACAGTATAATTAATTATACATTATTACTAGGTCTAAGCCAGTTTGAATTTCAACACTTTTCTCAGTAAAATATAGTTGGAGGGGTTCATCATATTAATACAAGGTCTTATCGCAGTATCTTTATACAACGCTTTATGTTTAGACAAATCATACCCCAAAAATCTAATGTAACTTTCTATGGATTAATAGTGAAATTAATTTGTACATAGATAATCTAAAATGAAGTACATATAATTGATTACCGCTTACACTATTGTAATGTAACATAGTATTGTGATTGTAGACTGTTAGCCATGTAATCGTGCTCCCTAGCAATTAAGAATTTAAATTTTGATATAGTAACGTTACTTGGTAAATTTTTAATAAGACTTACAATACTTCTAGTTTCTTAAAGTCGCAAAATGTATTATTTTCTATGGCATGCAATTTATTTTGAGCAAGGTCACTATATAAAAGAAAAGAAGATATGCGAACGAAATTGATATTAAGGATTTATGACTACATTAACACCATTTATATTATTTGCAATGTAATTATATCCTAGTAGACGATAGGATATGACATTTAGTTTAGTCTTTTGCTTCACATTATTACTTGTATGTGTATATCATGTAAATAAACGCGCAAACAATTTAGCTTAAATAAAATGTCAGAAATATATACGAGCATTACAGATTTTATGCAATAAATTCTCTCAGTTTGCTTACAAATCTATCAAATTTGTTAAGCTGCTAACAGAATCACGTTGTAAATTCTCCAAATTGTTGCCTGCAATGAAACTAAAGCATAAATAATCAATACTCCGATTACTATTATCCAAAATAAGTTATTTGTCGTGATACTGTAATTTACGGTAAAAATAAAGTCAGATCAATAATTAAATTCGAAAGTGTATCGTATCAATTGAATTTAGTATTAAATTTGTAGTTGTTGACGTATAATGATTACCAAATGGATATTAAATATGAAGATTGCATTAGTAAATATATTTAAATATGATTTTACTGTAATCCATTATTATAAATGTATCGTGCATTAGATTCGTATTACATGAAATTAGTATCAGAGCTTATACTTTAAAGCAACTGTCATCTAGATTTAGTTAAATAAATGATCAACTATCTTCAATTAAAAATTGCTATTAACCAGCATAACTACAACTGTTATGTCAGCAATATACAATGTGTTGAAATACTCGTAGACATTCCAAATCTTTGTACAGTTTGTTTGAAATCTTACGTACATCCTCCTAAGCCGGTTTGAGCCACTAAAAGCATTGCTTTCAATTGTTTCAATTTCATTATTCGAAAGGCATCTAATTTGAAATAGTTACCGTACTTCATTATGACTGATATTCAAAGTAGCATTCATTTCTATAGAATAATATCAAAAATTCTTAGCTGGTAAGTTATATGTAGGCTAGAAAAATTAAACATTTGAACTTCTATTTAAAATGATAATTAAAAATTATCATCGTTACTACATACAAGGTCTCCAGGTTATGAAGATCGATGAAATAGTTCGATCTTATGATTGATAGCTTGTTTTTGGAAAGCGATCTGCATAAATATAACAAATTTAATCAATGTATGAATACCTGGCTGCCATAATACTTAAATAGGCCGATCAAAATTGCAACTTTTTCTTCTATATTCACAAAGTGGAGCATAGATTGATTAAATTCTACTTCAGTAATCTATAGCCTTTCAACCTCAATAAGATACTATAGATCTTTATATGGTATATTACCTGCATACGATACGCTCCACTAATTTTCTAAACATGTTTGTTTGTTAAGATCGTAATGCAATCGATTTATACTTTCTTTTTCAACTGTTATTATTACTACTACTTACATTACTTACATTATTCACATGATGGCTTACACTGTAATATGTCTTTATTAATAACTATCAACCGCGAATTATAGCAAACAATTACGGATCTATTTCCTGCTAGAGTATCTATGCGAATCCAGATGATAGTCATGAAATAGGGTTATTTAGATTAATTGAACTCTCTATCATAAAAGTGAAATACAAACTATAGTGATATATCGTAGGCAATTTATACATTATTCTGCTTTATCAGACATACAACAAGTTCAATCCAGCAATTGGCTTAAAGGCTCCATCATCGATAGATAAGATTTCATTAGATTCCATAGTTCTGTCAATAAAATGAAAAAGATAGATAAGGATAAATTTGTATAATATAAATTCTTAGTCGTCAGATTGAATTATTATTTGTAGAACCAAAATGCAATTGCAGAAGTATCCAATTATTTACTGTAAATAAAATGGTTGAATGATAGTTTCAGTTCTATCAAACGAAAGTTCTAGCCACATCAACTAGAGATTAGTCTGTAATGTTTTCATAATTAATTAATGGTTTAATGATATTCAATCATGAGATTAGCAGTAATTTATTTGGCTTTATATCTTCGAAAATCTTATCTGAAATTGGCAAGTGTGGTAGATATAATCTTTATCATTAAATTAATAAATCGAATGTATTATTAAAAGACATTAATCATCTACGGGGTATTGTAAAATACATGACAAAAATGAAATGACATTATAATATAAATCATTAGGAAATTTTTCTTACACTTCCGTTAGTTTGGAGAGGCATGCAAAGCTACCATTTGAAACTTTAGATAAATTGTTATCATTGAGGTCTCTAGAGAAAACAGTTCAAAATTACAATTTTTTCTAGCTTCAGAGATAAACTTGAAATTACGTGTCAGAATATTATTTAAAGTACGTATGTACAAACCAATTAACGGTTTTACGCCGCCAATGTTATACATGAAGTAAAATTGCTGACATATAAACATATACTTGTAAATGATTACTATAAAACTGCTATGCAGTATTATATATACATCACAAGAAGTAAATTGATTAAAAGAAACATTAAGAAAAGGTGAAATTTTAAGGGGTATAATAAGAACTAATATCTAGAAACAGTTCATGTTTCATTTAATATGCATGCGATAGTACCATTATCTTGAAGTATGAAAGACAATTAAGAATTTTTTATGATTGAGTTAATTAAAATTATTACGCGATTCAATGCGTTAGGTTGATGACCATCAACGATAATACAATATTTTACCAATAAGTTTCAGAAAAAAATAATAAATTTTGAGCTTTACTAAACTTACAGTAACCACAGATTGGGCATTGAACAGAATGACCCGCTTTCGATAGAATTGATATCATTATTGTGTAAACTCCTAATAATTAGAAATGCTACGTCAAATTCACGTACTTTACATCATATAAAGAAATACTAAATGTGCTATTTAATTAACATCGAATTTATAGCTAAAGTAGTACAGTACAGAATGGAATAATACATATCATAACTTAATTTAAGTAAGAAGGTATCCATAGTTTTATCTACAAATAACCGGAATGAAGCAAAGCATTTTCGTTATCGTAGTTTGTATATTATAATAAAGAATAAGTCTGATAGATACTGCTCGATGAAAGGTAAGAAAAAGCCTAAGTTAATAGATACATATGCCTTAACTATCGATAATAAGGTTAAGGTAACAGAGAATTTTGCTTTATCAGATACTTGAGTATTTGACGATATACATAATAAGCACTATTATTTCATTTTATCTAATAGTTTACAAGTTTTTCAAGTTAGAAAGACAAGCAAAGGTGTAACGTTCAATTTTCTGAATTTTGTTCTGGAAAAGCCGTCTATAGTTAAGTCAAAAAAAGAACTTAGTGAGTATTAATCGTTTGATTTTTATGTATATCGCGTACGGATGAGGCAGTTCTTATGAAGATAGATACGTACAGATTCGAAACACTTAATAACGTACAAAACGAATTCGGTTCGATGTAAGTAATTGAATTTTGTTCTATGTCTCTAAAATATCGAAATAGTTGAGGTTAGCACTGATCTGCCCAAATTGAAATTTTTACGGCTAATTCCAATATGGTTATTGGTTGATTTTGTGAATTGCGAGGAACCATGTAATAGTTCACGTAGCCGCTAGCAAGTCATTATGATATTTTTTGAAGGACATGCTTTACATGTTCATTAATGGCATCCGAAGCTCAGTGAGTATTTACCGAATTGATTATATAATTTATTTTTGAAATTCAAATTCTTACAGAAGTTGCACTGATGATAAGCCAGTGAAGGCCCATATACCAATTGTTTTCAGCTGATTTCTTGCAAGATCACTAATTAAAGATGATGTTTAGCGAAAAATTTAGACCGTATAGTAAATTAAGAATTTAAATCATTTTCATTTCCATGGAAAATTAGCTCTATGTAATGAGAGAGTGTAATATTGTATTCTAATTTTATGATATATTTAGTACTGTCTACGTAGTTATTGTGTTCAACATGTGATAGATATTCCGTTAGAGGCTTAAGTATTTGAGATGTTAATACGGAAGTGTGTAGCAAGTAAGGTGCTAAGATTGTTGACGCGGAAAAGTTTATAAGTGAATAGTTTAGCACGGTAAAATAGTTCTTTCTCGTTAGAAGTCCTCAGTTGATTGATTACGTTATATTTTGGTAAACGAGATTTTGTTCAATAAATCTTAATTTTCTAAAGTCTTGAAGATTCTTTATCTATCAAGCTCACACTCTGCTAATTAAAAAGTAGCGGTGGCTAATTATAGTTATAAAAGTAAATTTGATAAACTACATTGGTAGATTGTGCGATAAGCTTTTGATACTATAAATATAATACTACACTATTACTGTCAATATAAAAGAATTCTGTAAAAGAATTCTATAAAATTTCAATCTTACAGTGTACGAAGTTTGGTCAAGTTACGGAATGAATTTGGCTCAATTTCTTCGATAGCATTAGCTTCAAGAAATCTAAAATATTAAATAATGGTATTGTTATTTACTAAGTACTTGTATAAGCTCATTCAAGTTGAAATAGATTTTTTCGTTGCTAATGGTCAGAATATTTCGGTATATCAATGATCGCAGCTATTCAGGATGAGTATGAAAATATCACTGCGCTTTTTCTTCTATATTAACTTATTTTATACTTACAAGCCAATTAATGATATCAAACAATCCAAACTATCATTTTTAATCACTTTCAAACGATTGCCTTTCAAATTTCTAAATAGTAAATTTCATATGTGCCAAAAAGAAAAATATTACTTCTAATCTTAGATAGTTTCATAATTAACTTACAATGTCTGTATTGACTCAATCGTAATTAAAGAAATTTATTAATTGTTCTTTAGCTACGATGTATGATAACTCTGATGATTAACTTATTTTTACATATTAATACGTACAGACGAGTAAGTGACTGCAAACCACATAAGGAATTGGGTTCAATAACCGAAATGGCATTATGCCTAATTCGCCTGAGATGTTGATGAAAGAATGATAGTTCTAGATTAGTTGGTGAGAACACTGCCATTGCAATGTATTACATTAAAAATGAAATAAATATAATAGCTACTGATTGTGCCACATTGAATATTTGATTATAATTGTAAATCAGAAATAAGATTTTGAAATTAAAAAAAACACTACTTATACTGTACATTACAATGCGGTCTTAAAATGATTTACTGGGAATGAAATTCTACTGGATGATAGCAGCCAAAATTTAGAGCGAGCTAACGCACATAGATATATTATCAGATAGAATATCATCTATCGCAGACTTACAAATACTTCAAATTCGATAAACAACCGAAATTGTCTTTAGACAGGGTTTTAATTCGATTATTATCCAAAAATCTAGTCAAAATTCAGATAAGATTTAAAAGTGGGATCAAAATGCTAATATATGCTAATACAGCTAATGCAATTTCCCTCCGATGATACTGTTAACAGAGTATGTCCGTGTATTGCACTTACAAGTACTGCAGATTTTGCAATGTACATAATGCTTTTGATTGGATGTCGATTAGAGCGTTCGAATCAAGTTTCCTACAAAAATTGGATATACAGATATTAACCATTACGTTTACTAGCTAACGCTACAATTGTAATGATCATGTATAGTCAAGGAAGCAAATAAGGCAGCTAGGACTTGGATTTTTAATGTAGTTATTGGAAAATGATTTATGACTTTTAGTGAAATTTCACTATGGGGCACAGAGGATTATGTAGCAACCGCTTGAAAAATAATTTCAAAGGGTTCTTTTTTAACTTTTGCAGTGTAATCTTAAATTATTACTATCAATATTATAAGAATACATAGATAGCAAAACGAATCATTTCACCGAGAATGCATTACTAGGACAATATAAGCCTTATACTGTATAAAAGGAGTGTAAGACTTCAAATTTGAGCTTAGGTGCGGGGTTATTCTGATTTGAAAGGCATAACTTACAGTGATTTTAGGTTGGTTAAGCAATTAAATGATCCATTTGTAATGAATTGCAGTCGATTAGCTTCTAAAGACCTTAAAAATGTATAAAACAGTATGCTGGATACATCTCGACATTCTTTAAGTAATACGAGTATACTCGTAGACAAAATAAATTTTGAAAACTTACAAATTGGCTAGCCGTGGCAAGCCACAGAATGCATCTGGTTCAATGGTCTCAATCAAGCTGCTGGTAATATTCCTATATTAAGTAATCATAGATGTTGGGTATCATTATCTAGAGATACTATTAACAACTGCTTTAAAGGTTCTTATTGCTTTTCACATGCATAGCGGACAGAAAATTTAGCAGTAGTAAGAGTTATTGTAAAATTAACTATTAACTGCTAGTCCATTATTGATTGCAAGGACGACTTACGAGCGTCGTTCACTCTTGTAATGATTACAAATTACAAAGTTGTAGCATACACAGTAGATTATTTAATGTTTACTCGGTGCAATTAACAATTTTTTATGTAGAATTAAGAAGTACAAATTAGCAAATGTAAACATCTGTGCTTACTATACATTACATAATATTTATACAAAATTATAGTATTAATCTTTGCAGCATACAGCAACTGTAGGTAATTAGTCACCGTTGCTAAGTAATTTGTAACGATAACAAGTTTTAAACATGAAAACGTAAAAAGCAAACTGTAACAATGGTAAGTTTATGGCTTCCAAATTCTCATTAGATGAATGGAATTAACCCACTACATTATATGTCATAACATCACAATTACCGTCAGGAAAAATAGAATTAGATTATATTAATGTATAGTGATATTAGATATCTTGCGTTAAGATACTATAATATTTGATATCTTGTGTTAAAATATTGCGATAATTCATATTTTGCGTTAAGGTTTAGTGATAATAGATAGTTCGTCTTAAGATATTGTCATATTGGATATTGTAGATATTTTAATACAATCTATTTGTAAGTTTTAAAAAGTATATCAGCATATTATAAACAGGCAAAAGGAGAAGTAAACAAATTAATTCTCATCTACGTGTCTTGTATTACTGTGTTCTTGTAAACTTTGCTAAGGTAGACGATTAGGAATTATCTACAAATTATAATAGAGTTATTTGAGTTAAAGTGCCTAATGTTAAACTCATACTGATCGTGTAGAAAATGGCTATACATTATTGGCAGAACAGCAGTGAAAGTCTACATGGTAGAAGAAAATTTTTGTATTGCAATTGAGGTCGTGACTTCACGGTAGTCTGAAGGTAATGTCAGGTAATTTTTGATAGCCTTGTGTTGTGGAGTGACTTTTACTTACTATTTGCTTATCTTATTATCCTGACGTTGGTCAAGTTAGATTGGAAGACTTGGAGATTAAATAAAGGTAACTTATTTAGTAATTCTAGATTGTATGTCAGGGAATTACGACAAGACAGATTACCCGATATAATCTCCCTCTCCCAAGGTAGTGGGAAATACTAAGAGTGTAATATGGCGCATGGCACTAGTATTATCTAAGTAAGCGCTCATTACTAATGCTTACATAAACTGACTGTAAATTAAGTGATTTTTCAATAAAGTTAAGGTTTAGTTTTATTCAGAAAGACCAGTAGTGCGACTGTTCCTCCTGCCGACTGGAGATTGTCAGTATCTAGAGTGGCACTGCAGGCTCGCGGTTGTAGTTTTCTGCAATAGCTTAACTTTCCTCACGTTACAAATTTAGACTTACAGTGCATTGGTATTTATTTGTATTTAGTTGTAATAGCTGTCTATTCGTACAAATATTCATTGGTTTAAACTAGTATAGGATAATCAGCGAGGAATTTTCCTATCTATAAATTCGTCATTTGAAGTATACATTATTTATTGCTCGAAAGCTTTTGATCCAGCTGGATAGTCAATAGTGAGTTCTGGAAATAATATTGCTCTATGTGGTAAGTTTATCAACTCAAATATAATAAAATCTCATCTTAGGAAGGCATACCATGTACCATCAGTATGTGATTACTAAATTATCCTCTCATGAATTTTTAGGCCTTACAGCAGTAGGAATGCAATATTCTTGCTAGATTTTATTGCAGATTAGTGTAGTACAGTCATCTATTTGACCAGCTAAAGTCTAGTTAACTTGCTAGAAGGCGATCGGTGATATATATGGCATTGATTACTTCCAATAAAGTCATAAAATGCTACCGTATCTTTAAGTACGTAATAATGTTTTATAGAAGGCAGAATAAGCAAAATCCTCTAAAAATAAGATGAAAACAGTATAATAAGGTGAATACTTACAGGATGACTAGTTCTGGATAGTTTATAAAGCTTCTTGCTTTAATCTTTCTAATGCTGGTGTTGTTGATTATCCTATAAAATTAAAATTAAGCATCAGTTATCGTCTATAAATCAGTAGTGCAGTCATTTATCATAACAATGTATTGAGACTATGATGAGATATAATTGCGACAAGAAATACTAAAGTGAATATAAATTCTTCGTTTAATAGTACCCCTGGCTTTAATTACAGATATTTTGGTAGGTATTCTACTGTGACTATTACTAGATAATTTAAGTTTGAGTGCTAAATGATATCGTTTACTGCCTAGTACGCTTCGATTATTGTGCAATAACCGTGCGTTATCAATAGAAGCGATCTTAAACACAAGTATATAAATAACAAACATTGAAATTTTCTATTGTTACAATGTCTACTAACAGTGATTGCACATTTTCAATGCCAGTGAAGTTAATGTTGGGCAATTCGATTAAGTCACTGCTAGAACAGTTTATAAACGAAATGTTGCACTTGCAGATACTTGGACAACCTTTGCTGATTTCTGTTAGAGGTAGTAGCAATATATCACTTTATATCATGAAGAAATTAATAAGGGAAGGCTGGCTCTTTGATATTAACGTTAACTGCACCTGCAATTCCACCGCTATAAGCTGTTAGAAGCCAAATTATTGCTATAAAATGATTGTAAAGGATCCAATGCTCTAAATTGCGCTTGCTTTTCATGGCTACCAAGTAATAAACTTGTAGTTAATTTTTAAAATATCAATTAAAACCACAACAGTAATCGCTATGGTTTATATTAAGAGTTGAAAAGTTTAGGCTAACTGTTTGACCTTAGTTTTTACAAGAAAGCTAAGAAAATTTTTATTATGATGCTGAAGTTGACAAATAAAATTTTAAGCAATTCTATAGTGATGCACCCCTTATTTGATTATAAGGATAGCTATATTTGATATAGTCAGGTTACTAAGAATAGATATTATCTTGAGGCTTATATTAGATGATTGATAACTACTTGTCATTCACAGGAGTAACTCCACTGTCTACTCTCTTCTAATGTGGGTGATCAACTAACTTACTAGCTACTTAGTCAATATTGTTGTTTGCATTAGGGAGCAATAGCTAAAATTAATGTCTAATTCAGTGAATGAATCCAAAGTTAGTCGTACTAACTATCACTCTTGAACTATTGAGGGAGAGTATATAAACGTAATATATCGTATAATAAAGTTAATTCTTAAACTTAGTTTTTAGCGTAAAATACGAGGCATCTAAGTCTTTGTGTAGTCTGCTAGTAGAGCAAAAGTGTTCCTGATAGTGCAGATATCGTTTCTTGATACGTGGTTCAAGGAATTGACTCATTGATCGCACATTACATTATCGTGTTGCAAGCTGTTTTGTGACAGGTAACTAATCAAATTGACAAGAAAAGAAGAACTTGAGCAACTTACCGTTAGCCTTGTAGCTCTTACTTTGCTAAGTCTAATATTTCTGGTACTAGCAATTTTTACCGCCGATTTATCTTGCATGCAATACAAAAGTGTTGATAGTACAGGCTACGGTAAATTGTATACCCATACAATGAAATCTAAGTAAGAATAGCGTTGATAAAGTAAATTGTAGAAAAAGCTGTTTGATTTGCATTATAATGCATAAAAAAGTATATTATTTCTATTCTTATTTATAAGTAATTTCGTTATTACTAAGGGAACTTTACAATACCACTAGCAACTCGATTCTCAACAGTATCAAAGACAATTACTGTCTACCTACCGTATGTACATAAACTACCTAACAGTTAAGTAAAAATGATTATTAATCGGCGAAACCTGTTACGTGCCAATTAAAAATACGGAAGTGAAACCTGTTACGGGTCCGTCAATGGACCAACACCGATATACAATTTAACACTGTAACGATTAATTATAATTGAATATTAAGTTTTATCGTTTGTCCTAAGTATAACATTGTCAATGTCTATAAAACTATTCAATCTATTATTCAAGTTCCAGTGAACTAATCAATTATTGAGACGTTGTTCTACAGAAAGAAATCGTAACAATTAGTTATCTTCTTGACCAACATTAATTTACTATTATCGCGGACATCTAGATCTCAATCGAGATCTTGAAGTCCAGGCCACAACACCCATTACCTTGCACATACGGCGAAAATGTAAAATACATCGATCTATTGTAGAAGGAAACCTTATTGTTCTATTTTTTTCTTCCCGGAAGTTATAATTATTTAAGCTTGTGCATAGAATTTGATAGAAAATATCCTTAATAACTTTGATTGTTAAAGTAAACAACAGACAGCATAGGGTCAAATTTGACGATATTATTCAACGGAAGTACAATATGGTAATTCATAAAAGTATCAGTTAGAAAATAAAGTTATCGAACGAGCAGGCGCTTTAATAAACTGTTTATTCTTAATATTGTGATGTCAATTTATTGATTGATTTTATGATTAGCAAGAGATTCGTTTTACAGTTACACTATTGTCTAGTACAGTTATTGTAAAGATATGATTGACGTTATTATGGTGTATTATTTGTACCAATATTCCATGTATTTACAGCCATTCAAGTAGGTGCTAGTATCTTACTTACTGTTCAGCAATTAAGGAATGGCCTATGAGATTACCCATTGGATGATTAAAATGGAGATAAAAACAACTCCTAATGGAATTTGTAATAGTCCAAATTCTAGATTTCTAGAAATTCATTTTCAATCTGACTGAACAACTGTAGAATAATTCAAGAAATAGATTAAATCAGTCTAAATGAGTCTTATTGTCAAAGATAATGTAATATAACTGTAAGAATCTGATAATAAAATTAGACATTAACTACAGTTTATAGATTTACCGGCTTTATTGATTTAGGCTTAAAAGCAACTCTTATTGACTTATGGTTGTATTGCAGTAAAATAAAATTGAATAAGAAACTGGGAATGACCTTCTATGAATTGTTGACTGAATTTTTAAAATGAAGACAAAAAACAGCTACTTATGGAATATGTGACAGTCCATTTCTTACAATTTTAGAAATTCATTTTCAATCCTACGAAACAATTGTGGTATAATTGAAGACATAGATTAAATCCGTCCAAATCAGCCTTTCAAAGACAATATAATTGACAACTGTTAGAACCAGATGATAAAATGAGGCATTAATTGCAATTTACGGATTAAGCGGCTGAATTAAATTAGGCGTAAAAATCAACTGTTAATAACTAATGTTTGTATTGTAGAAAACTAAAGATTGTACCATAAATTGGAAATGAAATGATCTAAAGTCGACTTAAATTAAAGAGCTATTCATCTCGTCGCTTATAACTAATTCAGTGTTACAGTGTTAAATACTGTATTACAGTAGAAATAACTATGTTAGGATAATTCTATTAGACTATCCTTATTTAGTTAACTTCTAATTTGGATATACTGTATTTTAATATAGCACTGACTTTTTATGACAGTGACACTTATACACATACTGAAATTAATAGTTCTAATAGGGAATGCAAATCATCTGCTTACAGTTCGAATCATTGTGATTGTAATTTACTTATAGTAGACTGTAAATTATCATGGAAATGTTCCGTGATAGGACATATCGTAATCTGACTATTCTGTATTAGTCATTATATGTCTATGTTCGTAAATACTGTTGTCTGCATTAAGGGAGCAGTAGCTAAAATTAATATCTAATTCAGTAAATGATTCTAATGTTAATTGTATTAACTATGACTCATGAACTATTGAGGAATAGTATATAAATGCAGTATATCGTGAAATAAAGAAGAGATGTCCAACTTAGTGTTTAACGTAAAATACGAGGCGTTTAAGTCTTTGTGTAGTCTGCTAGTAGAGCAAAAGTATTTGTGATAGTGCAGATATCGTTCCTTGATATGTGGTTCAAGGAATTGACTTATTGATCGTATATTGCGTTATCTTGTTGCAAAGCTGTTTTGTGACAAACTCGTAAGATAGATCACTTTGGAAGTCTTCTGATTTCACTGCCCATTTTATTCGATGTAATAAGCCTTTTGAAGACTACAAGTTATAAGCGTTTTTTAGCTACGAATTTTATTACTTATCAATCATTTCATCTCGGACTTGGCTATATTTGACATTACTGCAGATATTAGCATTACTACACCAGATTAAGCTGTCTGTATATCTAGAAGATACAACAAATAATTTAATTGTAATTTACAAATAATCATTTAACCTATTCGCCCAGTTTACACGCTTAAGGCCACCTGTATAAATACAGTTACTATAGGAGCATTTATCCTTATTTCAACCATACATCCGATATTTCTCGTCATTATTACAATTCGCATGTTCTTCAAATATAGCATTAAATGAATTTTGTATCATAGATCATCCTATTGACCCTAATAGCTTAGCTTTCTTCACATAGGATAATCAACAACACAAGCATTAGGAGAATTAGAGCAAGAAGCTTTATTTATTATCCAGAATTAGTCGTTTTGTAAGTATACACATACTTCATAGTTTCGTAACCTTATCGCCAAGTTTTAAGATAGAAGGAGGTTTTAGACTACTATAGCCTTCTTTACTCATACCGTTGCATCGTAAAGAGGCCAAGAGAATTCATTAGTATCTTGTAAGTTTATTAGAAGCACACAGAGTAGTTTGCGTCACGGATTAGTTCCTAAAGAATCAGCTAGGCAGCAATAGGTCTGCTTAAGATGCTGTCATAAATGATTATTTTTTAAATTAATCAACAATGTTAAACTGTAAGAACATATTCTTCTTTGTAAAAGGGCAGAATTCTATTCTTCAAACCTTGATATAAGATACGAAAATGTTTTTGAATGGAATTGCTTGAATCGTTTATTTACGTCAATATGCATTCAGTCAAAACGTTAAATGAGCATTTCATGGCAGTTTATGCCAAAATCATTTAGAAGTTCGTGCTCATTACTCACAATCGAAACCTAATCTTAAATATGACAGTGTATTTATTTTTTAACTTAACAAACACAAGGCAATAATTATATGAAGTTACGTCCTCACCAACAATTTCTATTTTCAAGTTTACTCATTTAAATTGATGAATGCAGGTCCAAAAAGAGACGATTTCATAATAATTATCAAATTAATCAATACTAATTTGGCTAGATGACTCACACAATCAATATCTAGTACACTTAGTAGCATATTAGATCTATCGATATTATTTATTTCGAAAAAATAATCCTATCTTATTTACAAACACTATCATAAGTCTTACTGCTCTGTGACGTATTGGATCTTAAATAACATGAATGATCTCTACATTTCGAATATTATATCCTTATGTGACCGATACATGTCCATATTAATACCTATATTAGTAAGTACCATGCAATGATTTACCACCAATTTCAGCGCTAGCCAATACGTGTAAAATGACTTATCTCACAAATAGAGTAGTACCGGTATTTCAACTGCAAGGTAAATCTATTTTAATAGAATCTTTCTCTGATCTAGTCAGCGGGATTGAATTTATTGATTGGTCGTAGGATATTATTTTAGTGCAAATAATAGCAAAGAATACCAGTAACTCGCCTTTATAACAGTACGGTAACATATATCGGAGTAAAGATTTTATCACCGGTTTAAATAATCAAAACTCGAGTCGCAACATCTATAGTAAATATATATTATACTGACAATAAATAATAGATGAATGCAAATCTTGAATCATAGAAGCAGAAAGGCATAGATGTAATGAATTATTTATTTTCATTATCAAATTATAGAATTATAGATTACAATTCAAGAATTATACTTTATTTCTGCTACTTACATAACAGATATTAAGCAAATAAAGTCTTACAATGCCACCCTTAACTTTAATTGCGTCTCAGGAACATTACTAGTAGCCTAATTGAAGTCATTGAAACTGATGCATTCTGTGGATTATCACATCTAACCAATTTGTAAGGTTTTCGATTTTTGGGGTTACTAATGAAAAACGGTAACAATAACTGCTATTATACATCATGTTCTTTATCAAAAGGTCTTTAGAAGCTAACCGATTGCAAGTTATTGAAAGTGGACCTTTTGATTTCCTAAAAAGTCTAAAGCAACTGTAAGTCACTCTGTGACAGTGTTATATACTGTATTGGAGTAGAAATATCTATGTTAGGATAATTCTGTTAGCCTATCCTTATTTAGTTAACTTCTAATTTAGATATACTGTGTTTTAATATAGCTCTGACTTTTTATGACAGAGACACATATACAAATACAGCATTAATAGTTATAATAGGAAATGCAAATCATCTGCTTATAGTTCGAATCATTGTGATTGTAACTTACTTATGGTAGATTGTACATTATCGTGGAAATGTTCCGTGATAGGACATATCGTAATCTGACTATTCTGTATTAGTCATCAGATGTCTATGTTCGTAAATATCGTTGTCTGTATTAAGGGAGCAGTAGCTATAATTAATATCTAATTCAGTAAATGATTCCAAAGTTAATCGTACTAACTATGACTCATGGACTATTGAGGAATAGTATATAAATGCAGTATATCGTGCAATAAAGTGAATTCTCAAACTTAGAGTTTAACGTAAAATACAAGGTGTCTATGTCTTTGTGTAGTTTGCTAGTAGAGCAAGAGTGTTTGTAATAGTGCAGATATCGTTCCTTGATACGTGGTTCAAGGAATTGACTTATTGATCGTACATTACGTTATCTTGTTGCAAGCTGTTTTGTGACCCACTTCATTAATTTTACAAAGCTCGTTCTATTCCTATATCTACGGGATTATATATGATTGTAATGTCAGAATAGCAGAATCTCAAAAATTATATTCGACGAACATGTACGAGTTATTAAATAATTTATTTCAATAATTTAAATTTGCATTATAAATACAATAAAAATTTTATTTGAAAACTAAAGAACTTTCATGATTTAATTGAAACCTAGTTAGGGAATATTTTTCTAACATTATTTATCAGTGTTTTAAAATAAATTCAATCTTTTCGTATCCTAGAGAAAATTTGATAACAATATGTCGTCTATCGCCGATTATTACAGCAAAATCCCAATCGGATTGATTTGCTTCTAATCGGTCGATATAGTATTCATAATTGCGCAATTTGCTATAAAACTGCTAAATGCACAACAGATAAAGTATATTAATCTCATAATCAAAATAAACTTAAAAATAGGGAAACTCTTGTAGCCTCTATCTTGGTCTAAGCTCGTTGTCACAAACCAGCTTCGTGACAAGGATAACGTGAAACAAATCTCTAAATTACTATAGTCTCCGGGATTCAGTATCCCTTAACTATCTCACAAGAATTTAGACGCCTTTGATTCTACGTTAAAACAACTATACAATTGAGAACTGCTTTATTCAGCTATCTGACGGATTTATATACCCTTCTACAGCAGCTAACATTCACAAGTCATCTTATAAAAATACTTGTGTGAGAACATCTACTAACTAGTTTTTCACAGTCGGACTACAATATGTCCATTCACAGAATCATTTCAGTACACATTACAGCACAGCAATAAATTTACTGTAACACATTTATAATTAGAGTAATTTCTATTGTCAGGAACTAGATGTAATATATTATCACTATATTATATTAACCAAATTTAGATAACTATTTCTTCACGGTAGTTCGTACCGTGACACTCGTATATCAAATTTAACATGCTAACCGCTAGTAAATATCTATATCTTCCATTCTTGTAGGACACTTCGATCAAATGCATTGACAAGCATTCAACCCAAAGCTTTTTGTATGTTGCAAAAGTTACAACATTTGTAAGTGGAACATATTATTTTACACTATCATTCGCTAATAGGAAACTATATAATAACAATTACTTTTATTACTGTTTAAATTCTGGTTTTAATAAAATAATGATTGATTAGAATTCTAGACAATAATCGCCTTAAAACCATGTCTGAGGGTGATTTTGGTTGTCTGTTAAATCTGGAAAGTTTGTAAGTTTGTAAATGATGTTACAGTTAATTACTATTTTACTAACAATCACTACAATTAATTTGTGGTGATTTAGTTACATATGTTATGAAGCTGTATCTAGATTGCGTATCATTTTTAAAGTAGATATCAAATGATTTTAAATCCATTTGACTCAAAATAAAACTAAGTATCCGATAGAATAAATTAGCAATTATGCTAGTACACTTAAGTCTCCGTTAACCTATCAACAAATTAGGTTGTATTATGCTTTAAAGCTGATCTGTTATCCTTCTTTTATCAACTTTTCAGACGGCTGAAACATAATGCAATATCTACAATTGAAACTAACTCCTTGTGCGGTTTAGAATCACTTGTTCGTCTGTAAGTATCGATATATGAAATTAAAGTATTAATTATTGCCCAAGTAACAAATAATAATTTTAATTATAATCAATAAATTTAGTTGTAATATTTGTTTAGTCATCAATATCAATAATTATTTATGATGCTATCTAGAGACTTGTACTATACTAGACGCATACAAGGAAAACTTGATTTACGCATAACGGAATTCTTTTCCCTATCTGTAAATATATTATACAGAAATTTGAAGGGCAATCGCCTAAAAGTTGTTAAAAACGAAAGTTTGGCTTGTCTGTCATCATTGGAAGACATGTTTGTATAAAATCAGATATTACAGACATTGTAAAGAAATGATAATTTTATATTAATAGGATAACTTGCAGACTAAAGATTTTATTATGACTAGTAATTGTCAGACTCTATTTTTTTAAATGAGCTCATGCATAGTAAACTAAATACTTTTCCAAATTTTTAGATACCTTGAATATAATGTTATCGAAGACATTGAGCCTAATTCTTTTCGAAATCTGACTAAACTTCGCATGCTGTAAGTTTAATATGCCTCAATTTTACCCTTGTTTTATTGCATCATTGACGGTAGGCGTTATGCATCTTACATCGCCTAAAGTTCATACTATAGATTGTATGATTCATTAATTTATACTCAGATAACTTAAAATTGCAACTACCATTTAAAAGTTATAAACTTTATTTAATTCTGACGTAAATCATAACGAAATCTCGATAAATTATTGTATATAAGCTATTTTTAAACTTTCATTTCTAATTAGTGATATCGCAGGAAATCATCTGAAAACCGTACGCCGTTCTGTATTCTTTGGCCTACAATCATTAGAACATTTGTAAGCATATGAATTTTTAAATATAATCAATTGCAATAGTAGCTGTTTATCAGACGCAATTTTAGAATAATATGACTATATTCGCAAAAAAATCAGTAAGAATACTTAGTGTATTACATAAGTGCTCCTTCAATGTAAGAAATCAAAATTAGATATCAAACTAAGACAAGAAATAATCTATATTTATTCACTGTAGTAGGCCAACAAAAGTACCCCTGATCAATTATAGCCCATATTCATTTAACAAATCTATTGTTAGCACATTTTTGAGCTTTAAAAGTTTGCTATTAATATTGCTGCTCTACGATGTTTACAACTATTCATCGAGGCTGTTAAACACGTTATCTCTTAGATCATAATTTACTCACTTCTAAAATAAAAAGAACTAGTTACATAGCGCACATTTACATTTATTTGTTTGCTTTGTAGTCCTTTAATGATTCGGTGAATTACTTTAAACAATGTAACAGCATATACGCCATCTTTAGCAAACTGAATTTTTTCGACGTTTTAGAAAATTAGAACAAAATTCAATCACCAATATAGAACCGTATTCATTTTGTGGAATGCCTAAGGTATGGGAGCTGTAAGTACCATTCTTTATTTAAGCTACTTTATTCTTACTTAATTTAATATACTTATAGAATACTGATAATATGGCTGCATACTTATTTGTTACTTTTATATAATTTTAGTTGGCTTCACCTAAACAAAATTAAAAAACTTGAACGGTATACCTTTGCCTGTACTATCAATTTGAGACATATGTAAGATACTGCGTTCTAAAATAATTAGTTCGATAATTATCAATATATTAATACATGATGAAACTGATTTCTTTGCGCAATATTTACTTGATAGAATTAGTTAAAGAATATTTTCTTATTCATATTTCATTGATAGTACATTCTTAAAGCTGTATCTTTGATATCAAGTAATTATTACTAAAAAAGACTACGGTATTGAAATCCCATATTTCAGCTATTCGTAGTTTTCTATACAATTATTACCTCCTTCACATCTGAATCTAATTTACGAATTATATCATTGTCGACTACCATAATTCAGCTCAAGTTTGGTTCAAAATTTTATTAATGGCGAATTCGATTTCATTTAAATATTTAATTAGCCTTCCCGTAAATTAGCATAATTCTGCTTTAGTCACTGCTTTGAGGCAAAATAAATCTGATATATCTATTCTACTCCATTAGAAGTATACACAATAACGACATTGAATTTATCGAAAGCGAAACATTCTGCCCAATGCGTTATTTGGAAAAATTGTAAGTTAATTTAGATTCAAGAACTCATGAGAGAATTGCTTAAAGAATTTATAAGATTTCATGCTATCGATGATAGCTATGAATAATTAATTTAGAATATGACATTGCACTTGAAATCCAAAATAAATTAGTAAGAAATTCTAGTGAATTCTGATAGATTACTTCCAAAATACCTTCCATTGGATTTAAAAATACTGTAGAAATCGCGTTCTATACAGGCAATATTATTTTCTTTATATGCAAAATTTTAAAGTTTGGATTACTTTCGATACTTCCTTTGAATCTTTTTCACCGTATATAGTACGAGTACATAGTAAAAAATTCAGAGTAACATTTACGTGCAAAATGAGCTTATTCTTAGAGACCACATGCAACAGAAAGCCAATTATAAATTCGAAGCTAGTCAACTTTTTACAGTGCCACATAAGTTCAGGCTTAACATTTTTATTAAAATTTATCATATAGCTAATCATTATCATTTATAAAATTATAATACTGAACTATTTTTCTCTAGAAATTTGAATAACAATAAATTACCGAAATTATCCAATGGTAGCCTTGCATGTCTTTCTCAATTGACAGAATTGTAAGAACGTGATTTAGTGATGAACATTACAATGCGTTCAATTTTTGCATATTTCTGTCATATCAATCAATACCAATTTACAATACCGAGATGATAAGATTTTTTCAACGTTAATGTAAAGTATTGCAATGTATTTAACAACATTATTTTCTTATGACTGGACTAATCAGTCGTGCACAAAACATTACTGCGTTTACCAAATTAAATGCTTTCTTAAATATATTACCGAATCCTTATATGTTGGTAATCAAATCTTTTTACAATACGATATCTAATTCATTCAGATATAACTCCAATTCGTTGCTATTCTTTTAGTTATTACCATCGCTAGCTATGTAATAGTACTTTAACCGTTGATTATTAAAAAATTACATTATGTTTAGCTATTCTTCTATATTTCAATTATATCTACTGTCAGATACGTTATATCAAATCAAATTACTTACATCGAAGATGACACTTTCAAGCCAACCAATAAATTGGCCAAATTGTATGCCTACTAAATGTAAAATACGATATAACACTTTATGATGGTTTCATAACTTAAATTTGTCTCTAATAATGCTAGCTTCTATAAATTCATATACTAGCAGTCATGGAAATTAATACTAGACATTTTACTAGTTAAATAAATTCTTAGTTATCCGTTACAATTATTGCCAAATAGAAACCATTTACAGTAGATAAAACTGATAACTGTTGCGAAAATAATAAAAACGTAAGATGTATATATCCTACAATGTGAGAAATCACCAAGGCATTCACCCTGGTAAACAGTAACGAATGTGCAATGTCTGCTTTAATGTAAATGACAAAAAATTGTTATTTTCTAATAGAAATTTTACCGATAATGGTCTTTCGATCATAAAGCCAAGCTATTTTGTCAATCTTGATCACCTCTATCTGCTGTATGTGGCAAATTAAAATGTTTTAATCCATAAGATGGAAATAATTAGTTCTCTGCCTTAATTTCAGCATTGACTTTAGTTCATAATTTTATCATATTAATTATAAATTGGAGTACTAATTTTTTGGTTTGCCTTGGCTATATATAAGCATTTCAATAATAATTTATTGATATTGTTCCACAATATTTAATATTATACAGCTTTTTATCGTAATAATAAAATTTCTGAATTAGAGAGCTAGCAGATAACAAAATTAGAACAATTGAAAATGGTTCTTTTACTAAATTAAAGAATCTCGTATTTCTGTGAGTAAATGATTTAAAAATATCTAGGAAAATTTGGGGCTATCTTTTAGAACTTTAAAAACATTATTAATGTACGATAGTCTTTCTTTTTATTGTTTGCTAAAGCATTTATTTACTATAATTCTATATTCTGAAGTTCTTATTATAGTTATGCTAAAATTGAGTATTGCCAAAGACCTAATTTTTATTCCTCATGTTTTTATTAGCTCCCTCTCAGGTAACGATCTGAAGCATATACAACGTGATCTTGTTAGAGGCTTAACTAAGCTTCAAGAGTTGTAAGTAGATCAAAAAACTTTGCTATGTATCGCAGTAGCAAATTTTCTATCACTTTAACTATATAAAAAATTGAAATAACCGCGTAAAAAGAAATAAATTGCGTTATAGCAGTCATTTTAAATAGTTTCGTCTTCCGCATTATGTATAATTTAGCATTTGCATATTCGTAATATCCTCTGCTAGTTAATGAAAAGTCTTTCTGTAGCTTCATTGCATGTTATTACTAAATTCAATTTAAGTCATCTTCTCTCAATTCTTGTAGTCAGGCTTCTCTAAATAAACTGGTTTCAATTGAAGATGGTACATTTTGTGATTTTAGACACTTGAAAACTTTGTAAGTCCTACAGATATCGCATAGAACAATAGGGTCAAATTAATAATTTAAATAGCAACGAAGTAAAGAGAAACATTTCTGTCGATGTTCCTCTAAGTTTATTTATCGAAGATTAATACTAATTCTCCACAATTCGTTATAATATAAAAACCGCTATATCTATATAGTTTTAATATCAAGAAATATTAATCTAAGGCCATATATATGTCACATACATTTGGAAAGTCCGTAGAAAGTTTTAGTTTATTTTTCTTAGTAATTAGCGCAACAAACATAGCTGTAGCCACAATACTTAACCTTCTAGTAGCTATTTGCCAATCTAACTAATAATTACTGCCTAGTAACACTAAATGCCAGTTACAGCTCTGACAGCAATCATAAATGATTACTTATTAAAATCTTTCTAGCTATAGTAAGGCTATTGATTACAACATGATCAAGATATAATGGCATGAAATTTACTTATCTTTTTATAATTAGCCGACTTTAGAGATCCTAAATAAGTTGAAAAGTGGTTATAATATCGTAATGATTTTAACAACTAGGAGATTAGATCGCAACAAATTATCACATGTTCACCCTCAAACCCTGTGTGCTCCAAGTTTACAGAGAGTGTAAGAAAATCGAATGATCATAAGCTATAATTATGCATCAAATAATTCCTTAAATGTAATAAATTGTATATCACAATTTCCGACCGGAACTACATAGGTACTTAAACAGCAACAATTTCGATTCCATTGCACCAACAACTTTCCAGAATTTGGCATCCATTGATACATTGTACGTATGAAGACAACATTCAAAATAATTGTAGCTAAAGACTTAAGTTAACATTTGACGATTAATTGTTCAAGATTTTCAATGTGAATTAATGCGTTCATTAATTACCTGAGGTACTTTAGGCTATTTAGTATTGCTAACTCAAAGATAAAACCTGGCAAGCGATCTTGTTAGCTTATTTATCTATTCATTTAAATTTTATACCAAAAATTTTTTAACAAGAGTTATGGATAACAACAACATATCCAAACTTCCCACTAAAGTATTTAAATCAATGAAAGTGACTTTGACGCTGTAAGTTTCATATTATTAACATCTCACACTAATTATATTCTCAGCTAGCAGCAGGATGCTTTAATGTCATGTTAAAATAGTTAACTAAAAAATTTAATGCCTGATAAGAAATCTGCTCATAAAATATGTTCGTCGATAGTGAAAGATAACTTAATCATAAATCTATCGTCTTTTGATGCTCTTACCTAGTAATAAATATTAATAACTATATTAAAATTACTTCATAGAAAATAAGAATTTATCCCTTTCTTTAATATTAAATAGGACCATTATCAATATTCAATTAAATTCATTGGATGCCTATCAGTTTTCAGGACTTATAAGCCTTAAACTCCTGTAATCATGCTAATCATATATTAATTAGGCGTTTAAAATAAATGCTAACAATACTGATTCATTTATTTTACGGTAGTAAATCAACAAATAGAATTTACTATACCTAAAATCTCCTAGCGTATAGTAAAGCTAGCGTAATAATTAATGTGTTAAGACGTGTAAATCGAATTCTTCATCCTTAGACGACTAGCTTTCAATAACATCTCTTCCATCAATGATACTGCATTCGAAGATCTCTACAATCTAACTACTTTGTAAGTACTCCTTACACTTACTGCAGTTTAAAACTGTCTAAACTAGTTTACTGATAATTGAAAAATTTTAGTCCGTATCATGCAGGAATTTCTTTAATCATTATAATTGAGTAGACGGTGACAATTGCTTCGCTAAAGTGATAAGTAATACAATAATACAATAAATATCGATTTCATAGCTATATCATTTAGCACATCTAATAAATGGAATGATATATTTTCTCCGGATTCATTATAGTAACTATAATCAAGAATAGCTAAATAGCCTGTAAGTTTTGATCTACTGACTGAATTATTTCTTATTTCTTATACTATTATAATTAGAGATTTGACAGACAATAAATTGAAAAGGTTCAGCTCTACAATTTCTTCGCCGTTAGTCAATCTGCAAGACTTGTAAGTACAGATTAGTAGTGATTTACAGATAAATCTTTCTTAGATTCTAAAAAAATTTGTCGTAATTGGCTCACAACTATCTAGAAATTTAAACGAAAACGAAATTCAGCGGTTAAATGCCGGTCAATTTAAGCATTTACAAAATCTAAAAGCTTTGTAAGCATGAGTCATAATTTTATAAAAGATTACAATATCTTCTACATTCTAATATACGTTGTAACGTTAAATACGATAAACTATTCACGCCAATTTTATCTTACTTTGACATCGGCAATACTGATATAACTGCGTATTAACGTTTTTAAGCAAAATCTATATTTGCTGCAATGCATTAATTATTAGCTAAATTTGCTTAGCGACTAAATTAAACTCTATTTGAGCTGTTGCGGTCGATATTATACTGCTTCTAGATCAGGAGGGATACAAATCTTACATACATTCCTGTAACTACTGTAACTCTAGATCAAAGAACAGAAATGATCTAAATTTTGTAGTTTAAAATTTTAATTTTTTATACTCCTTGCATTCTGCGAACATTGTAGAACTAACTACAGGATGTTCAAAATAGTATTAATATTATTGTTATATGCTAATTTTTAATACATTTATATCTTTAGACGCTTGCGAACAAATGCTATATCGTATATTCACGAAAATGCATTTATAGGCCTAAATAAACTACAATTTCTGTGAGTGCGATAAACTTTTATACCTTTTTAAAATAAGTGCCTCAGCTAGATTTCAATTAAGAACTTTTCGAATGAAATCTATTAATATTTTTACATGCAGTTTTATTTTGGATAAGGGCTCGAGCTATGGATAAACGTATAACTATCAAGCAATTTAATTTATTAATAATGTAAACTTATTAGGCAACTTAGTGGCAATCCCATCAGAAATTTTCCAGAATTTCAATTACCTAATGTTGCATCAATGGAATTTTTGTATGCTGCAGTTCTTTTCTATAATTAAATCTTATCAAACTTGTATATTGCATAATTTTCTTACGCTAACTAGTATAGTAATGCTCTATAGATTTCAATCTTTAGTCCTATGGCTATTATTAAGATTGCTTTTATGTACTAAGGGGACTATCAAGATCATATCCGCTAAGACTGAACGTACACAATGGATCAGTAGAAAGAAGTAGAAATTCTACGGTCATAAAGACTTTGTAAGTCTTAAATATATTCTGAGTATAATATGGAGGCAGTCAAAGCTCCAATATCAAATATCAATTAAATCAGCAAATAAATATCAGCAGTATAATAGTAAGTTCATCCATATCACATCTCAATTTGTACGTAATACCTGTGGCAAGGATAAGAGAATAACTACCTACTACAATTAAAACTTAAATTTTTTAGGGCTATATGAAACTATAATACTCCAATATTTCTGAATAATCTGCTATCTGCTGATTTCGAAGTTTTAAGTTACTGTTTTTTCTAACAGAGATTTGACGAATAACTACATATCAGAAATACGATACTTAGACTTTGCAGATTGCAGAACCCTGTAAGTCCATGTGCTCTAGATTTCAATTGCTATTCAAGTGATAGTGAATTATCAAATTTATAGTCAACATTGTAAGTCTGATCAATTTTTTATCATTTATGTTCCAACTATATCAACATCATATCAATATGAATATCAAATATCAATATCATGTAATCTTCTGTGAACTTGGTATAAAATAGTAATCTATCTTACAATAAATTACATGAATCAAATCCGCTCAATTTTTCTACACTTTTGAATTTAGCCCACCTGTAAGTATAAATTTATGAATTCTCCTGAAATTAATATATTTAACTTGTACAAATATATTTAGTTCAATTCAACTTTAACCTTATCATTTCAATTTATTTTTCTTAACAATTTCGATGCTTTATTTCCAGTGATCTAACAGGCAATCGGTATAGTAACATCAAAAATGTTAAAGATTCTTTTATTATGTCTAACTACAGCAATCTGCAATCATTGTAAGTATTTCCATCTGATAAGTTCGCTAATAAACCTTACCTAATGCTTGAATGTGATCTAGTTTAAACTCTAATTTAATACATAATTTTTAAAACGCCTTTATTAGTATTCATACTTACTAATCGCTATTTATATTCCATAGAAATATCTCTTCTAATATGCTGTCTAATATTGATATGAAGGCACTAGAACCGCTCTCAGAGTTACAGTCGTTGTAAGTTTAATATACAGCATGACCTTTATTTTATCTCGCATATATGAATTAGTAGAGTGCTTGCGACAGAAATACTTGAGTTGGAGTAACTATTTAATTGATTATGGGTTTGGCTACTGTGATATACACCGATTACGAAATTCCAAATTTTAGAAAAATAAGGGCTTTATTGAATCTTATACAAAGATTAACTACTCACAGCTCTACTTTAGCCGAATACTAATACTAAAGACGTCTACAACGAACTAACAGAATAATCTAAAGTTGCATGCTTTTATACTTTTCGTAGCATTCGCAGCTACAATCCGCATGGCAACCTTTTACCTTATTTTACACATAGTTAAATTATTCTTAGTAATACTATTCTACTGCGGACCATCATTAATCCGATGTGGATACGACTACAGTATTTACGTAGACATTATTTACACTAGCTAAAGTACAATGAATTAACCATATCCTAATATATGATTTACAGTTCTATTTTTGCCTATAACCTTATTAGTAACTTCACACCTTACTTTATATAGTCATCTGTACTCTAGCATAGAGTCTCTACCACTACAGTCTATAGTTATAGCTACCAAATATCTCTTAGGACAAATATAGAAGTTACGCTACCGTACATTATACTAAACATGGCTAACAGTCTACAATCACAATACTAAGTTACATTACAGCTACGAAATATTGATGTAGCATTTTGGCTGTGCTTCGAAAGTCCCAAATGACTTGTTATATTTTTATTGTGTAGAATTCTGCAAGATAACAAATTACAGAAGCTAGATTTTATAGGAAAGCTATCCCAACTTCTTATACTGTAAGTACGGCAAGATTAAACAGAGACCTTTATATCAAATATCTCGTACGTATTAGCAAGCGTTTATGTGGAGTTGTAGATTTCCTAGTATTTACCCGGAGATAATTAATTCAAAAATAGCTTCAGATCTTTATTTGCACATGAATACAAGCGAAAGTAAAAAATGAGAGTGCAATATGCTTATTATTTAAGCGAATTGTAATTATTATTAATAAGATTCGCTTGCACTTTACCTGTCTCTATAACGGTAAAAATTCTTTAAGATTTTAATCAGAACATTGCTACGAGCTAATATTATAAGGCACATAGCAAAGTAGATAGACAATTTTCTGTTACCTAGAGCATTATATATTCTTAACTATAATTCATACAGAACAGATTTAAAGAGTAATATTGAAATCAGGCTGTCTGCAACTTGACTTTAGAGTTGATAAAGGTCATAAAATAATGTACCAATGATTTTACTGCTCCATAAGAGTATCCATGATTGTTTCTTCTATTATCTAGATCTGTAGCATCTAATCACATTCACAGAGTAAATTCTGACCACTTTAAGAACTTACGAAGTCTCGAAGAATTGTAAGTAAATGATTGGCACAACAGGATTTTAGATGACTGTAGTTAAATATTAGTGTCATGAATTGAGTTCCATTCCAAACTATTAATTAGTAAAATATGTTATGCAAACACGCAACTATCTCACTTGCTAGCCTAGTTTCAGATTTATAATAAAGACTTTTACATGGATTTCATGCATCTAACAATTATTATTAATTCTTTATTAAAGATACCTAGATGATAACTTGATAGGCACTCTTAGTGAAAATTATTTTATGAATACGAAATTAACTTCCTTGTAAGATATACACATATTATTAACAGCAAAATGTTATCAGTGATTAATATAAGTATTCGTAATACGCTTATGTTGAATATACAAAATAGATATCTACAAAATAATCAAATATCGAACGTTAACCCTATTTTAAAAGGATTACAAAATCTACGAATATTGTAAGATGAGCTTATTATCCAATTCATAGCTCTCCACACTCAATTTTATCTTTTTCGCTAAATTAAAAATTTTCGATTTTACTTCTTGGAATGTTTATTTTAACGTAAATTATTCCTGCTTCTTGGTATTTTTATCGCCCAAGAAACTTAAATACCAATCGTATTGAAAAAGTTACAGAAATTTTTAACATCACATTGCCCTACCTCAGCCAATTGTAAGAAATCTTATGAAAAATTTTGGTGATAAAATCTTATTATATTAACTTAAATAATTTAACTTCAGGTATTTGATTAATAATAGAATCAAATCCTTGCAAAATAAACCGTTTTCAAGATACCGAAATTTAAGAATTCTGTAAGTAGTACAACGATTGTTTCGTACATCGATAGTATAATTAATCACTTAGATACTTAGCTAGATTGTATTTCCTTCTATAGTGATTTAAGCGGTAATGAAATAAAACTGTCTGTGCAAGATGATTTGGGATTAACGTTTCTTGAAAAACTGTAAGTATAAGATATGTATCCATAGAATCTATAATAACCCAATTAGCAGACTGCAATTCTTGTAAAAATATTCTCAAATATAATTAATTCAATAAATTTAAACATCCGAAAGAAATGATTTATGAAATATGGCGTGTTGTACTTTATCAAATACTAGCGGTAACGGTAATATTATTATGGCTGAAAGCGATGAATTAAGCATTATTAGAGAGAATAGTCTTGAAAGAGTCGATAATTGGAGCTTTATCTTATTGTCTATACTTGACATATTTACCTAACTATTTATGCTCGTGATTTAATACAACAATAAACCAACTATAAATATTAATTATAAATTATTGATACTTTTAATAAAGTTCCTGAAATATAGCATGATGTACTGTTTAATGCCATAACATCACCGTTCCATTCATAAGAAATTTTCTCTTAATTCTTTATATCTGTTTCAATGATAGAGATTTGGCAAAAAATAAAATTTCAAATCTGACTTGCTCAGGATTACCTCCAGTACTTAGATCTTTGTAAGTAGCACACTCATTCGAATATTTCCTTGGCATAATAACACACTAGTAACTATTTTAAAAAATTTACGTTTAAGAATTTAGAATCAACAGGTATAAAATAGACTAAACAGTATATCTGTTCATATCTTTTAGAATACTAGCGCATAATAATATCAAGAAGTTTGACCGTAATTGTGATGGTTTATTCTTCCAAATTAATAAAATGTAAGTTGCTGATTGAAATTTGTGATCCAAGTCACTTAAATCTTTTATTTGATATACGTTCAGAACTAATTAGCTATTTTGCATTTGCTGACTAGTGACATGAGCTACACGAGACTAATAGCGAACGGAATAGATATGAAGAAAGATTTTCTAGACAAATTGAATTTAGTGAATGACTTGTAAGCTTTAACACAATAGCATGATAATAATTAGATTTTAAACTTGTCTATTCTATTATTAAACAGTAAATCGTTTGCAAGTATTATAATTGCGGTTAGAGTAAGTTCATTTACAAAAAATTGATTTATAATTGCCTGAATGATTATTTAATAGGAAATTAGCAGGAAATGAATGGAATGCAGATATTAGAGAAATAGTAGCTTTAACTTACCTG